AATATTACAATTTTTCAACGACATTTTTCTACTTGTTTCTTTCTTTCTGTTTATAATAAAATAATAGAAGGAATAAAAAAGGAAGGAATGTATTAAAATTCCTGCAAATTTATTATTAGAAACTGAATGCACCATGAGTTATGAAACTTAATTCTATGTCGGTCATGGTCATGTCTTAAAAATGATTGTTTCAATGAACAGAAGCTATAATGAATTAAACAAATGTTATACATATTTATATTACTTATATTTTCGCTTTAAACTTTATAATACTCATACAATATGTTGAACTTTCAATATTAAATTACTATTACCTATTACTATGCACTTACGTTACTTACAGTGTCATCAATTCATAAATCGTTGATACGGAAAATTACGAGTCAATTCATGAATGAAACGAACAAACTGTTAGTGTTACGTAAGATATATACACCTACTAAGGATATTGAGTTAACATCGGTAACATAACTCCTATGACATTTAGTAATTAATCAAATGTATAATTTTAAGGGCTTTGAATGAGTGACACTTAAATAAGATAGGTATTAATATTTAATACTATCAGTCAAAGTTAAAACCATGTGCTATATGATCAAGGATAGACTAAACAAAAATAAATGAGTGAGTGAAATGAGAATGATTTCGAAGTACTTAAATTTATTAACCTAACATAAGCAGCTTAGAGATATTTAGTAATGTGTCAAAATATTACACGACATTTCTATATTAAGGACGAAATATGAAAAAATCTAAGTAATATGTTTGTATTGAATATAAAAGATTCAATTGTCAAATGGCATGGCGTCATTATCTTAAACACCATAACAGTATATAGTATAGTAAATACCGGATCTCAGCTGCTAAAACGACGTTCACATTTTCTTCGTCCAACATTCTATCAAATCGCACAAGGTCGGAGAGATTTTATACGCCATAATAAACGATACAAAACAATTTAAAGTATTTGTTATAAAAAAAACTTTAAACATTAATTCGTTACTCGTTGAAATACAACGAACCTGTGATGATTTAAAAGTGAAGATTCATCAAGAAAAGTAATTTTAACTGAAAGAAGAACTCACCAGTAAAATACGCAAATAATTTATCCTTCCATAATAATCACAAACTTAATTCATGCTATTGTTTGATCACTAACATCGACACTTCAAGTCACACGACGCACATATTAACCCCAAGACGTCTCGCGCCCAACTGAGGATCGTGTTAGCGTTGAACGCTCATAGCAAGCGACTCAATTCTCAAACTTGCTCGGTCGGTCCCAGCATTGAACGGATTGTCCGGTTTTCGCTTGTTTCGACTTCGTCTTTTGTCATAAGAATATTATATCAGTTTCCTCTAACAGATATTATGTCATATATATCTTAATAACACCATTTATAGTGTAAAACTTGTTGCTAAATAACATACTTAATGGTATAAGATGTCAATGGCATGTGTGAAATAATTTCAAACAAAAAAAAAGTAGATCAGTAGTGTTTTTACGAAATAGTATTGGGTCATTATAATATGCAGTAGATAGTTCTTAACATGAAATGGATCGTAATATACTGTAAATAAAGTACATATTTATTTTCAAGTAAATGTATAGAATTTTATCTCGTATAAATATTATCATGATAAAAAAGACAAAAAATGATATATCAATATCTCAGATATGAATGACCTATTCTTTCAAAAATAAGGATTTTATATTATTTTAATATAATTAAAAAATATATGATTCAAAATTTTATTATAGTCTGTGATTCTCAAGTATTAATACTCTGTCGTTTTTTATCCGTGTTAGATACAATTAAAACAAAATGAGCAAACCCCGTAGTGGTAACTAACAGAGGAAAATTAACTTTAATACAAGGGCATGAAGTACATATTTCTTAAAATAATATCTTTGATTGTATTAAAAATTTAAAGGAAGCCATCAATCTATAATTAAAATTGGTTCTTAAGAAATGTTTTTGAATTAAGAACGTTATTTTTATTCCTTATCTAATACGTACTGTTATTTGCTCTGGTAACATATTCAAATTTATTTATAAAATTATTATCAACATTGCCATGGATTTTTTTGGAATCTTTTACAAAGATGAGTTGTTAGTGTATTTGGGAAAACTAGGACCCATGTAGTTCTAATCTTGAATTTATCTAAGACTTCCTTTGTACTATTGTTTATAAAGTTTACGAAAATGGTATCGACATGTGTTAATAAATTTACAAAATAATTATTATACTAAAAAACAGAAGTATTGTTAAAAATGTTCTTATAAAAAAACGTGTAATTCCTTAATTATCAGGAGTTTAGGGATATCATGAACTAATACATTAAATATTTCGATATTTTAAATTAAACCATAAAAATTATAAACCGCTACAAAACTAGAAATATTATCTACAGAATTGTATATAAATTTATAAAAACAAAATTATTTAACACAAACTAAATTTGCATAATAACGTAACCTTACATAATTACGTTGAATTAAACGGATGGAAATTAAATAACTTTTCCTTTAAAAAAAAAAACTGATTAGTTATAATTTGTTTGTTGCTCTGCGTGTATTGTATTGAGGAAGAATAATTTAGTTATTTGTTCCTCATTGAAAAAAAAATGCCATTAACCGCCATTTATATTTTTTATCCGTCAATTTTTCAGCTTCACAATTTTATAGCTGTAATAAATTCAGCAGTTTTATTCATTCTTTTTGCTACTAATTACAATTTTATTCACTTACTTTAAAAATATTTGATTCCGTATAATGTCAATCTACACTTCATAATTTTAAAATAGACGTATTGACAGTGACATTGACAACTAAAATCCACGATTCCAGTTCGAATGAAGGCATAGCACATAAAAAATAGACATTATGTACCTATAGGTATAAAAATGTATCTGTGTTTTTACAATTAGAAGGTTTTGAAGATGAAATCTTAAAGTTTATTTGATGATGGTCAGGCCCTATTATTTATAAATAAAAAAGTATACCAATAAGTGTAAATTTTAAAAGCACTTTAAGTGTTAAATATGGTATCGCATAGCATTCCGGATGTGTTCAAATCGAGCTCTCATTTATTGTCACAAAACCAGCTCATTGACAGATGGAATTAAAAGAATCAGCTGGAAAATTTAAATGCAATTCATTTGTATGCTGATATTTTTTTTATTTAGAAAAATATTGCCAACTTGGTGAGAAAATCCTACTCAGTCAGAAAGCAGTATTATAACCTTTTTGGAGTTGCAGAAAAGTTTTTATTTAAAATGAAATAACAATTTATTACGTCATCCCAAAAATTTAATTCACGAAGCATATATTTTTTTCTTTCTGTAGAGGTATGTTTATATTTTCGTTGAACATATTCACTAAATTTAAATGTATAGTCATACCTAATCTTCTATATATATAAAAATGGATTGCTGTTCCTTAGTCTCGCTAAAACTCGAGAACAGCTAAACGGATTTATCTTATCTTAGTCTTGAAATGTCCGTGGAGGTTCAGGGAAGGTATAAAAGCTGAAAAAAATTGATTCATTACTGGGAAAACCATAAAAACAGCCCTTTTCTATTTCCCATACAAACGTCTATTTTGACATTAGATTTGACAACTAACTAATATGTCAATCATTCTGTCGCACTTCAAAACACGGAGATTTATGGCTTACAGGTAAACACCAAAAAAATAAATAAGACATTATTTATTTCTTGATTGAGGCAGTACGAAGTCTGGCGGGTCAGCTAGTATATCTATATAATCTATACCTAAACTGATTTTAAAATATACGAAAAACCGATTGCAACCAAGATTTTTAAGCCTCATATTAAATATGAATTAAGGATGTCTCATCATATTCGTATATTTAATATAATAGTATTAAAAGGCTTCGAATATTATTCTTGTATAATATAGCTTAACATTTCCGATAGAGTTAATCTGAATATAAACATTTTTATATAAAAAAGGTAGTAGATTTTTCTAGCGTTATGACTACGTTCTTAGAAATGTCATCACCAAGTTTTTGCGATTATAATAGACAGTGAAATTAAACAGATAAAAAATACTTCATATCATCATGTTGTTATTAAAAATTAAAATAATAGAACAAAGTGCAGTAAATATTACAATTATTATTCTTGAAGTTGAATGGAAATAAAATTTTATAATAACAATGTCATTTTTTGTGTTTTTTTTTTCAAAAAAAAGGATAGGTATTATTAAAATCCTTTTTTACTGTGGTAGTGTGGTAGCTAAACTTGATTATGCAAATGGTAAGCTTTATTGTTTTGTAATTGATATGCATAATATGTGAGCAATCTTTACATGTAAACACTAGTAATAGACAAATATTGACAAAAGATAAAGTAAATTATGTACTTTATGACGACGTTTTAGTTTTAAAATGCAAATTTACTGCTCGTTTGTATTGAGCATGCAATGTTAATATGTTCGCTAATAATAATAAACGTAAATATTAGACACGTGCAGTAAGTTTCTTTAAGATGAGAAAATAATCTTTTTTTAATATATTTCGATGTCGATCCCGGTTTTTAATGACACCGTATGAAAGACTTAAACGAACTCGATCGAATTTGTTTGAGCTTTAAATTGTCATTGCGTTTTAAATGTCATCTAATTCTGAACAGCGACATCTTCCGTTGAGCGTTGAAACGCGAAACTTATATGGATAATAGTATGTATTTATTAACTTATACTAGTTTACTTAACACAAATTTCATCAAGAAAACACTTTAGTAATAGTTGATAATATATTGAATTAAAAGTAATCTAACCTCTCAACTTCTCTTTTCTACAAAATATAATTTTTCAAAGAGTAGTATATTTTGTCTGTACATTTTAAATTGACAATTGACAGTCATAAAATATCTATTGATATTGTTGTTAGCACTCAGGTCTCAGTTATTGTGGGCCTTAATTCTTTATTACATATATTCTTTAGACTTTTCATAATAGTTTTTTAATGACATGATGTCGAACATAAAAGAAAGTAAAAGTGTTGAAACTCTCACTACTGATATATCCACCACAAATGGAATCAGTGAAGAGGACAAGAAATTAAATGAAATTTTAAAAAACAGACTTAGGAAATACATAAAAAAACTTGACGGTAAATTTTATATATTAAAATATTGTCTCATAAATGTTAATATGATCGCTGGCTGATAGTAATTAAAGAAAATTTATTATTTTCTGTTTCTCTAGAAACTTATGCCAGTATTACTAAAGAGGAGAGTGAGAGAATTGAATTGGACACATTTAAACAGCTATATAAACCTAAAACTGAGGGTGATGCGGAGACATACAAGAAAATACCGAAGTTCCACTTCAAATTACCCAATTCCGATGATATCCTAGCCCAGAAGCTCAGAGAAGAAACAAGATCTCAGTTCTTACAAAAGAAAAGTAAAGAATTGTTGGATAATAGTGAACTAAAACACCTGTGGAGTTTGTTAAAGAAATCAAATGGTAGCTACAGTATGGCAAACAATGAAGAACTTACAATAGACTATTTACAATTCAGAAAGATAAGAGATGAAGCTGGACCCAAATATAGGTAGGTTTATAAATATAACTTATGATATACAAGTTGCAGCACAAGTGTAAAAGGATAGAATTAGATTAAATACCAGAATAGTCACTTCATGTAGTACCTTAGCCATATTTTTGCATTATCAAATAAAATACTGAAATTTTCTGCTTTTAAATATATGAATCATTGTATATGATAGTTTAAATGAAGGTTATAAATAGAAAATGTAAATACTCCTTTATTTTATTGCTAAAAACTTACACTATGGGAACTGTTGTAAATTTCTTAGAATATTGTTAGTTATTAGGTTGATTAGAGAAAATTGAGGTTAGAGAATAAGCCAAGCTTTATGTGTTTATGACTAAACTATATTAGTAGCATGGTATAAACATTATAAAGAAGAATAAATTTTATATATTTAAAATTAAATTCATAATACTATATTTTATTCAAATATGCATTCACAAGCAGTTTTATCAGCAAGTGTGAACTGTGAAATGTCACTGTAGTCAGTAGAGAAGTTACTAGCAGTTCATTATGCTGGTCTGTTGAGAACAGTCATCACAAAAGCCACTTGGGTTATTAAGAAACACAAAATTTCTTAATTGGTACAAATTTATCACATGTGAATTATACATCATTTTATATATATTTACATTACATATGTAAACTTGCATGTTGATATTTACCTTTTAAGCAACATTACTACAAATACCGAAACATCGGAAGTATGTAGTTTTGCAATAAAAAAATATGCATAGTATAATCCAAAGCATATAAGTTTCATTTAAATGAATCCTCGCAAAAGTCTTAGATCTCATTATTAGTACCAATATTCAGATAAATAGTCTGTATTCTTTAACACAACAAAATATTCAGGATTTAACACCTTCATTGTAATGTAAATGTTTTTCAGACCATATTTCACTGCTGAAGTGTTTGGTCGTCTTCAAGCTGCCGAGGGAGGTCTGGGTCGAGTGAAAGGGGTTTCATTATTCAATTACGTGATGAGACGTGTTTGGCTTCAACAGACAAGGATAGGATTGTCACTATATGATGTAACGGGCCAGGGCTACCTCACTGAACAAGTAAATAATTTTATCGCTAGGAAACATGAAAAGAAGAAATTACTTATGGTTATTGGAATAATAAATTATTTATTTACTTGTGTGTTTGTTAATTTCTAGGACCTGGAAGGCTATATAGCCGAATTAGTTCCATCGTTAGCCGCTCTCGATGGTCTAGATTCATCATTTACATCATTCTATGTGTGTACAGCAGTCCGGAAATTCCTTTTCTTCTTAGATCCATTGAGAGTGGGTCGAGTCAGAATAAGAGATGTGCTGTCATGTTCATTCTTAGATGATTTATTGGAGGTACGAAGTATTCATAATTAATATTACATGTACCCTTACCTATTAAATTATTTTTTACTTTTTATGGCTTCATAACACTTATTTTGCAATTCAATTGCATATATAACATATTTTTTATTATATTTCAAGTATTTTCCAATTGCAATTGTTTTCAATTATAATGTAAAGTAAAATATATGCACTTTTTCTTTAGTAATTATGAAAATATATTGTCATTTTATTGTATTGTTCTTGCTTGTATATTTCAAAGAAATCTTGTAGCACTAAGAAAATATTTTAAATACTAATTTCAGTTACGTGAAGCAGATCTTCCGATGGAGATCCAAGAGCAGAATTGGTTCAGTGCAGCATCAGCTCTGAGGGTTTATGGACAGTACTTGAATTTGGACAGAGATCACAATGGAATGCTTAGTATCAATGAACTGGCTGGGTAAGGAAATCAATTAAGAATCTTTGAATAACTCCCTAATAGAATATTATAATATTGCATAATGTTGTACTGAATAATATAAGAAGTATTAAAACATACATACTTTCCCTTTATTGTATATACAAATGCTTGTAAAATGTGACTGACACATGTCAATAGTACGCAAAATACTTAGAAAGTTTTTTCCATAAAAAAATTGTGTTATAGGTAGCATAACCACGAGGAAAATATAGAAAGAATTATATCAATATACTCATACCAGAGACAGATTCAATTATTCTATTATGATTGTGTATTTATAAGTTATAAATGTTGTACTGAAATATTGTTTGCAATGTAATCTCTATTGTGACATTTAAAATCAGTGTTTTCTTAAAAGACACATTTTCCATACAAATTATTGTAGTACATAACATTACTTCAAACACCATTGAAGAATAGCATTTCCAATACATACTTTTTTTGAATTTAATTATTCAAAAAGTTTTTGATTCTTGGTACATATTTGTTAAATAAAAATTCACCATACTAGCGGTAATAATATTAATTTATTTACAGATATGGTTCTGGAACTTTAACAAGGGCTTTCCTCCAGCGAGTGTTCCAGCAATGTCTTACATATGAAGGAGAAATGGACTACAAGACCTATTTAGATCTAGTTTTAGCGCTAGAAAATAGACGTCAGCCTGCCGCATTGGCTTACCTGTTCAGAGTATTGGATATTAATTCTCAAGGTTACCTGGATGCTTTCACACTTAACTATTTCTTTAAAGTAAGTAAAATATTAGAACAGTTAAATATTAGGTACATGTAGTTTAAAATCAGAAATATATTAATACATTTATGAAGAACAAATAATCTTGAATACTATTATATTCTCAGTTATATTCCCTTTTGTTATAAAACAAAACTACACATTTTTTTTGGTAAAATAATTTGAGTTATGAGTATTTTAAAAAAGTAGATTAATTTGCAAAATTAATAGCTTTCATTTGATATTTCCAGGCTATCCAAGAACAGATGGTGGCTCATGGGGCTGAACCGGTCAATTTTGATGATGTTAAAGATGAGATATTCGACATGATACGTCCTGAACATCCATACAGGATAACTCTTCAAGACCTGGTGAGGAGCGGGCACGGACATACAGCTGTATCTATACTTCTGGAACTTCACGGCTTCTGGGCTTACGAGAATAGAGAGGCTTTAGCCGCGGCTGGCGATCACGCTTGATGATTTCTATAAGTGCCTTCTACAAGTATGACTGTTTACTAGCTACATTTTTACCTAAATCGAACAATAGTGGCGTAAACCAGGTAGGAGTCTTACAATTTTTATTCTCAGCCGTGTAGGAAATTATAGTATTTAATGAAACTATATATGTATCTTAAATCCGCAATATATGTATATAAAGAATATTATCGTGGATTTTCAATGTAAACTACAATTCGTTTCTCTGAAAATACAAAATTTTATTTTATTTAACACGCCTTTACAATATTATAGTTATTATGGTTTAACTATGACACTTACACTTTTATCTCACCTGAAAATACAAAGAAACGACATTAAAGTCCACTAATATCGCCTCCTCAATTATATCCCATAGTTTATGTAAAATGTATCTAATGTATTTCAAATATCTGTTTTACTTTAAATTTTCTAAGAGTTTACATTTTAGTTTTCTTTTTAATGATGCTATGCTAGTGTCTTCAGCAATGCTTCTTAACATATCTTATTATACATATATGAACGGTGTCAAGTATTGTCTTGTCTGTTTGCCATAGTAGTTTGTTATAGATGGAATTACGTATTTCCCCTTCTTAGCAAGTTTAGTGGAATATTTGTGTGATCTCTTGTCTTTGTATTTATTTATATGGAATTGGTCTATAGCAATAAGATATTCGACTTTCATGTGTACAGGAATTATTTTACAAATGTTAAATAATAATAATAATTGATAGTTTTTAGTAATAAAACACTCTTTTTAACGAGTTAGGTTTATTACAAGAAAATATAGTCGCTATGTCACGGAGTAGTGTTGTAAGCATAGAGAAAAATTAAAGCATAGAGAAAAAGTTAAATTTAAATAAGGCGCGAAATTCAAATATATCCAACACCCTTCCTGAATTTAAGCCATTTTCAAAATAAACACAAAAATATTTAACAAACAATCAAGGAGAACGGTTAATTACATAAGCAGATGTATGAACTGCCTCTGCCCAATATTGTTTTGATAATTTGGCATTAAGTAACATACATTTTGCTCGTTCAATAAGACTTCTGTTCATTCGTTCTGCTGTCTCGTTTTGTTCAGGTGTGTATGGTGTGGACGTTTGATGTATGATACCAGCACCTTTCAAGTAGGGTGGGTGCACCAGTAACAAACCGATTAAGCGACATTTTTTAAGTAATTTCGGCACTGTGACGCAATTATTACAACAATTATTGCAAAAAAAAGAATTACGTACTCCTTGTCTACCATAGAATCATGTAGCTTATTCGAATTTTCTTAATAGATGTTAGGTTTTTTTTTATTAAACAGGAAATTTTGTATTGTTTTCTTTTAATTTTGGGATTAATACTCTGGGTATTTGCTATATAGCCGTAAAAAACTTTCGATGTCATCCATCCCTTTTCTGACTTACCAATGCTCCAATCTTTATTAATTTGTCTAACGATTTCAGATGGTATTCGTGCATATGGGTATATAATCAAGGGTGGTAATATGGTACCAGATGCTGCAAAAGTTCCTAGTACGGTTATGTTCTCCTTCTCTTTTTCTTTTATTTCGTAAAAATTTTTATACCCTCGCGGACCTAACACTAAACCAGATGACGGGCTTGTTTGAAATCCGGATTCATCTGCATTAATAATCCTTTCGGGGTCTTCTAAGATATCAGCTACGCCTTCAGCGACTAGGTATTCTTTCAAATTTGCATGCCACTTTTTCAAAGCAGTTTCTGTTACCAGACTTCTAGAAATGTTTATAGATTCCGCATGGCGTGCAGCTACATCTGGATGTCGTTTTAAAAAACTGGAAAACCATTTTCTACCTGGGGTATTCTCTTTAAAGGGATTTGGTCGATTCTCGTCAGTTATAATTTTCTTAACAGTGTCAACTACCATTTCCTTATTGACTGGAAATCCTTTTTTTGCCATTGCTATTATCGAAGTTTTGAGCAAAGATTCCTCTTGCTTGGTCAATATAGTGGGAGGTCCCATATTTCGTTGAATTGGATATTTTAACTTCATTTTGTTTATCACCGTAGTGTGGGGTATGTTGTATTTTCGACATGTTTTTCAAATTTTTGCGCCTTTACTTATTTCGTCAATCGCTTTAAACACATCTTCCTCCTTGTAGTTAAATAATCATAGAGTCTTCAGAACGTGTAGATGTCGAGGGCTTAGCAAACAAGTCTGTGATTGATTCTTCCTGCGAATTGTTTCCCGACTTGACAGTATGATCCTACAACAAAATTAAAATTGGTTAAAAATATCCTTTAGCATATGGCCACTAAACTAAAAAAGTATTTCGTATCATAGAAACCAATCAAAATAAACTAAATTTTGACTTGGTTAACCACTGTTTAGATCGTAAATTAATTTGTTATCTGAATCAGTAAGTATATCTTTCGATTTGTAAACACCCAACCCTAAACTAGAACTGTCAAAATGAAACTTTGACTTGTCATTAATCTTAATGCCCTGGAATTTTAAATATTATCCTGAATGACCCTGATTTATCATTTGGTTGGTTCCTAGCAACGAAAATAATAGGTCAGTAAATATTAAACGAGTAGTATATTGCTAAATTGACACCGAAATGGACTCTAAAAACTAGAAGCGCAAACTATTAAAGTGCTTAATAGAAATAATATTCCCGCGTATTTCAGTCGTTTACAATTCTAAAATAAACAATTAACTGATGAACTAACAAAACATTTATCTTTTTAGTCTGTGCAAAATGGATAGGTAAATCAATTTTGCTCTATTATATAGTGTTCTTATAATTATTCATTAAAAAAGCTAATCATTGACAGGTTAGTATTTGTATAGAAAGTGATCCAGTTTCTTAATAATTAATAGTTGTTATTAAATCCAAATTGCAGGTACTTACCTCTTTATTTTCAATACTACTTATGATACCAGAGTGTTTCCTTTCCATGTGCTGTTTTAAATTGGTAGTATTACTGCACGTTTTTAAAATTTTGGGGCAATATTTACATTTAGCATTGCCAGATTTATTGTCAACATAGAAATATTGACGCCAACTACTTGTCGTCCTTTTAGTCGTAGACATTGTTAAAAACGAGACTTTTAATGCCACTAAAAACTTTTTATCACGAAAAACTTTGGAAATTGTCGTTTGAAAAATGAAGTTTCACCAACGAATAATGAATATCAACCAAATGTCGGTAAAATAGTATAGTTCATTGACTCCATCTCGTGAATGTTTGGTTAAATAAATCAACTAAACTGTTTCAAAAGTACAGAAGGAATGCAATCATAGATGCACAGATGGCGTTAATATAACATTATAGAAATAGTATTCTTTGGCAGTTCGCGTTCCGGGCCAGAAGACCAAACTTAATGTCGGGAGATTTCAGATGAAAAATCGGTAGTAATTGATTGAATGATTTAAAAAAAATCGATTATTAATCGATTATTCTTAAAAATATAATTACGTATTAAAATCGATTTTTACTTTAAAAAAATCGATTATTTCTATAATCGATTATTTTTTCACATCCCTAATTCATTTGCTACCACAATTTCAGGTATACAAGACGTGTTATTCATGTTTTTAATCCAAGATTCGTTTGCCATCATACGTGCACTTGCGCCGGAGTCTACGTACCACTGTTTTGTTAAACTTTCCATTCAGGAAAACAACACTAAAAGCATTTGTTTGCTTATTTTTCTTTAATAATGGGCATTGGCTTCGATAATGACCATCTTCTTTACATTTATAACATGTTTTTGTTTTTGATGTATTTGATGTATCTGTCATAGCTGTCACTGTCTTCTTGTTTGACGTTGACGACCCGCCGTATTTTTTTGTCTTTGTGACGCCAGAGTTAAATTTATTTCGCACGGCAAATGCAGCTCCGTTTCCGGCGCTGTCATTGTCACTGGCGATTTCCATGTCCAGACTCATGATGCACCAGGTAGATTTTACCTGGATTCCGGAATTGTTTTGTTTCGTATCAATATCCGGAATCCATCTTGAGTGATATGTTTGTTATCTCCCGGTCTTTTATAGAATTGTTGACGCTATAATGTGTAGTAGATTATGAGAAAATAATAAATAAAATGTTTATTAAACGTTTATTTTTTAACTAATTAAAACATTAGATTGATTTATGTATTAGATATCAATGAACTCGGTTGAAATAATGAGATAAACACATATGTAGATGATGAGCTCGAATTATGTGAATTATAATCAATTAATTCCCTCTGGTAGTAGTTTTGAAATGTGTGAATCGTTTTCAAATTACTAATTGCTAGTATTTGATCTATGGGAAAGCTTTCAATAAAATTAAGGGAAGCCACGGCTGATCGTACTGAGCCTGGTGACGCTTCAATATCAGCTTCTTTTAAAAGAGACTTCACCCATCCAGCAATCATTGTTCTTGAAGCTGGTTTAACTACACCTCTCGGTGTAATGAATAAGTGATTTAAATCTTTTCGTCGATCTGAACTCAGAGACAATACTCTTTTAACCCAAAAGTTCGTGTTCAAGTTTTGAATGGGATGTGGTTTTAATCTCCATCCAGATTGCCTATGGTTTGAATTGTCAGTTTTGGACCCGAAAGCTGGCCAAAAGATCAAATCATCTTCCTCATATAATAAACTCTGATTATCAATTCGCAAGGCCGTGAGATCATGAACTCTATGACCGGAAGCAAGTAACAAAAGTGTCGCGGCATGCCTTGAAACATCGTAAAGGCTATTTTCCTTAGGATTGTGTGAAATCATATAATCCAATAGCTTTTTTCGGCTCCAGATAGGTGGCTTTACGGATTTTTCGAAAGGTGAAAGGATTTTGTTTTCACCAGCATATTGAGTCGTTTGAGATTGAAGATCGGACGGAAACCCCCGTTGGGTTTGGGTACTAAAAAGAACGTTGACAGGAAGCTGGGAGACGGATCCGCGCGTTCGATTAATCCTGTTTTATCATGGTTTTGACTTCCGCGGACATATTGGAAGTGGTTTTTGTTCTGTTATAATATATCGCATGACTATTTGACTTGGATAAATAAGAGGAGGCTGAAGGGAGAAGGGGATTCGAACACCACTTAATAGTTTGTAAATTTTTTCTGGTGCTCCAAAATTGCTCCAAACATTTTGAAATTGCTTCAGACAACCTCCTCGAAATCTCAGATAGTCATTCGCTACGTTTATACTTAACTGAGGTATGAAACTGAGATTTTTGGGACTTAGTTTTGTCTCGTCTTTTATTTGACATAAATCTGGGGTTGCTAGACTGCTGCCGCCGTTTTCCCCTTTTCGAATGGTTTTGACAAAAAAAGGTGTCATCCGGTTGTTTACTAGTAGAGGGTTTCGGATTTTGATAAAATAAGTCTTTAGACTTTTGTTTAGACTCATAGTTTGACCTTTCGTATAGTTTATTTACCCCTCCTATTTTCTGAAGGTAATTATGAATAGCTTCACTGTTAAAAAGATATTCTGAACTTGGGGGTATTTTATAAATTTATGCATCTGCAATGTTTTATGTAATTCCGCTTTTTGATTAAGTAAGGCGTTAGTTAATCCAGCGAATGAACGTTCTAATAAATAAGAACGGGGATCATCTTTTAACATTGCCGATTCGTAACATTTTAATTCATCGTTGACAGATAATTCTATAAATCCGGGGGTAGCTAAATATTTCTTTTGTGTATCAGAAAATCGAATAGCATACCAATCGTCACAATTAAATCTCTGTAACTCAATTAATTTTTGAAGGTATTTATAATTTTCTTTGACAAAAACCGGATCTTTCACTGTTGTTCTAATTTCCGATAAAATTTTCAGTTCATTTGGTGATTCATCAACAGGGCGCTCTAAATTTATATCGTTTGACTGTGTTGTGTTATTCCTCTCCTCCTGCATGGCCTTACCTTACTTAACTTACCTTACTTACTTGTTGCCGTAGTCGGTGAACTGCGCAAGCGCTGTGCCGGTGCTGCGCCCCCGTCGAAATTCATGCTGGGCATCGGATATTATACTATGTTTTTCTAGGAAATTACTTATTTGATTAACTATTATTTTTTCTACTATTTTATTTATTACTGATAATTTCGTGATTGGCCTATAATTACTATAATCTAAGTGATTTCCATGTTTAAAAATAGGTCGTATTATAGACTTATATAGGATATTCGGGTAAACTCCTTCACTGAAAATGAAAAAATGTTTATTAACAAAAAACAACATTATACAATGAAATGTCCGGTGGTACCCACGCTAGGTATTCCTGTGTCGTGGGTACCAATTGATAGTTTTACAGTCATGTTTATTGTTGTCGCTCGGCTTAGAATATAAATTATATAATTGTTTAACATACATTGCATAATTTAAGTAGAATTAACTTACAAATGGTCTTATGTTAATGAATAGGTACTATACTAAGTGCAATAAAAGTTTTCGGTGGTATCATAGTTCAATGAGTAGAGCCAAAAAATAATTGTTGTTTTGGCTTGTTTAACGGAGCAACGTTTAATATCACAAGCGTTGGCTACTTTATTGTAAATAAACGACTCAATGAAAGGACTGAAGCGTCTAGCAAAAGATGTCTTAATTTTGGGCAAGGGGAGCCTATAGTCCAGACGTTTGAGTAAAATTTTGTAGTCTTTTGAAGATATAGTTGTGTGATGAACTTTAAATTCGATTTTTAGTATGTATATATGGCGTACAGTTAGAACTTCGCTTTCCTGATAAAGCTTGGTTGTTGAATAGTCAAAGGGTTTATTCAACATCGTTTTGAGCACTCATCGCTAAAACACATATTTACAAATTTACCTATTATAGGACTTATTTCTTTCTTTACAGTCTTTATATCTTGTACTCTTATCATATCTAATCCTGGTGCTTTGTTATTATTTAATTTATTAATATATTTTTCTACTATGTAAGCATCTACTTTCTTAAAATGAAAGGATACATTACTTGCTTGCTGGAACTTATTCCTGGGCTTAGAATGTTGAGGATAAAGGAGACACTAACTATGTAGTTCACGATTTATTTCCGAGTGAGTACAATAAGACACACTGATTTACATATGCAATGATTCGACTTTTATACATGATTTATATCAAAGAATATGAGATACACAGATGTGACACATTTTAGACAAAGAATATGTAACTTACTAACTGTTTACTTATATACCTATGTGCGTATACGGCACATTACTCCCCCTTAGAAAAAAATAATAATAAGAAACTGTTAAAAATATTGAAGGAAATTCATGATGAATTATGCGTATCGAATACAATTACACATTACAAAATATACGAATATAAAAAGTATAATAAGATAGATTATATAGACTATATTAAAAAAAAAACAAAGTAAAGAAGAATATATCTTAACATATAAGTAATCTGAATATAGATAGGTACCTATAGATATGTATATTTGACGTCTCTACAACTTTTTTAAACATATACTATGATCCTTAACTATTAAACATATAAGTTGAAGATTTTTCACGAAAAATAACACAATTTAACTTTATTATTCACTTTATCACACAATGATTTGTTATTGATCATATGATACTCTAATTCTCTGCGTATATATCTTCTATAATTCATTTTGCAATGTTTCCACATCAAATATCCAATGACTGCAACAATAAATAAAGTAACAAATATTCAACATTTATTAATTTGATTGATTGTTTTTCGTAATCTCAACCGTAATCGGTGTCTTAGTAATTATTTTTGGGCTTAAAGTGTACAAATTTTCGAAAAATAATTCCCTGCGGCCATAGCTTCTCATCTAGGTACATTGACAGCTTACTTTGAGATACAAACAGTTTGTATGCATCGTATTGACAATGTCGTTTGACTACGATTTTTTCTAGGCTGACTTCTCCCTTTGTTTTATTTTTTATATACCTAATTATATCAATTTCCGATGTGCCTTTATGAACATTAGTTAGGTATAAATAACGGTACTTTACGATGGGCAGCTCTAAACTTTTCTTCCGATTCTACAATTACGCTTTCCATTTGACCTATAAAACGGTTTTTTGATTTCTGTGACTTTTTATGTACCACAGTCCAACCCTCATTAGTATTATCGCTCTTAAGCTACGACGCATAAGTTTGTTTTTCTATTATCTTCGGATGTTGACCGCTCGGATTGTTTATCGAAGATGATTCATTCCCGTTGACCGGTTTTAAAATATGCCATTCTTTTCAAACCCACTCATAATATTATTTGGTGCTAAAGCTAAAGGTAAGGCAGTGCGGACAAGTCCAGGGATATCATAGATGGTCATTGTCTTCCCAGCATTATTCCTCATCCATGCGTCTTGAGGTGAAGAGATATGTCTTTTAAAAGGTCCGTATACTGCCATGTCAAGCGGTTGTAACTTGTGAGAGCCACTACAATTTCCAGCACCTATGCAATCAGTAGGACCATCTCCAATAAATATGTCTACACCAGGACCATAATAAAAATGTCTACACCAGGTTGCAAGTTTTTTTTATTGCCATAACAATAATAATAAACGAAGAGTGTAATCATAGGAAAAATATGTATTGTACTTGTACATAAATATATTTAATATATATTGTCCTCGGACCACGGATTAGCAAGACATTCTTCAACACTAACAACTGGATAAGCATCTTGCAGGACAGTTGTTGGCACTGTGCTTTGTTGAAAATCAACATCGGTTTCATCACTTCACAAATTCTTCTTTTGTACAATATTTTTGTTTTGCATTAGCCCACAACTCATTAAATTCTTTCTGAGCAATACTAGGTTTTTTTCCTTTCTTATACTCGGGGAAAAGGTCTTTATACAGATCACCTACTTTAAACATTGTTTTAATGAAAAACGTACAAGGTAACGGTTTACGATTTAGAATAGAATTTAGAATAACTGTCGACTGCATGCCGAGCCGGGCGGCCGGCGGCGCATGCGCGCGAGGCCTCCGTCCGTTGCCTGGACGGCGAGTCGAGGTCACTACACGCCGCGCCGTGCCGCTTAATATTTGTTTAAAAATCGCGCGTTAGACGAAAAAATAAATACACAAGATATCTTACTACACCCCCCCTCCCCCTTGTGTTATTTTCGTGATTTTTATCAAATCACTCCCCCCCCTTTCAAGCCTCACGTGATTAATGGACAGCCCCTTAGGCTTGTTGCTTCAGATTTTCGAATAGAGAGTCTGTTATTTCGTCTTAGAAATGCAGACATCCAATCTTTCCCAGCCATTCGTTTGAATGCCATGTGCCTGGAATATTTATTTTATATTTAATAGCATAGTCATAAGCCATGCGACGAACTTCTTTAGGACCTATACCATGGAAAATTTGTGCAAGTTTGAGCAAGTATTCTGTTAGACTGTCTTCTTGTTCTTTATTAAATATTTTCCGACGAGTACCATAGCCAAATCTCAAATTAATAGGATCATTCTCCATCCGTTTAATAAATCTTGATAATGAAGTTTTACTCAATTCAAAATCACGACACACCTCCCTCAATGATTTATTTTCATGTAGAACTAAATTTGCTGCACATTGCATCAATTCTACAGATTTTGTCCACGTTCTGTTTTTCTTCTGTAGTTCCGCATACTAAAATAAAAATAATTATTTTATAACCAATACGTAAATGATGTGGGGTAAAAAGGTCCGGTTGGTCTTTACATTGTGAGTATTTAACCCTTAATCAAATATTTTTTTTTTTTTTTAATAAAATTATGAATGGTTTCTAGGTAAAAGGGCTTTGTAGATTTCGAAAAAACATCATTTTTTTTATAAAAAGAGGGGAAATGGGGGTTTTACGGTGGGAAATTATTTCCCACTATCCAGTATGGAAAAGCAAAATATAAGTAAGTCGGAAATTATTTCCCATCATCCGGAATAGTTACATTTTTTTTGGGAGATTTTTACTACAAATTCTATACATATTACTTACTCCTACTTTACTTGTTTATTTTTTTTATATAAAAAATTCAATATAACATGATTGAGTGATTGAATAAAATTATAAAAATAAAATGAAACTAGAATGTTACAAATAATATTTTATTAAGAACTTTTCAAATACTATATGAAAATAACATTACTGAGTAAGAACTGTGTGAAAGGTTTTGAAACAGTTTTTTTTGGCACAAAGAGCTACTCCACAGGAGGAACATACTATTTTTGTCTTCTGTTCTTTGTGCTTTGTGCTGCAAAAGCGACATCTTTTGTAAGTGGCACTTTCTTTAGGCAAGTGTATGCCAACATTTAGCAGCCGAATCTCATCGGGAACGCCAAACCTACCACCTTTTTTATTTTTTTTAAAAACTACATCTGTTTGTGTGTGAGTTTTTCGTGTCGTGTGATTATCTATAAGGGCACGTGCTACCGTAGTCTGAAATCACGGTGGCCATGCAGGGTCGGGACATGGGAGTAGTTGAACGTTATGTAGGCATTAATTATAGATGCATCGAACAGAAAGAAAATAGTCGCATCCAATATTTCCTGGATTTCCGGTTTATAGGGTATGACGATCTAAAATAGTCAAAAAGATCTACTCCGCCCATACTGAGCGTGTATGAAGCAATTGCAGCCGGGCAGAGAATGTCAGCTCTAGAGCCATCCTTTTGGGTTCTTTTTATCATCCTTGTGTCTAAGGGCTGATGTGCTGTTGTCAGGACAGTAACTTCCTTTGTGTCAAGCCATTTAATGGCTGTGATTGGCTCTGCAGTAACCGCTGAAAACTGATGTTTATCTAATCGCAATGGTTTCGATTGTTTTTTTTTTTATCATATCAGGTAAGTCCTTTCTGTTGCATCTGACTGTTCCCACTGCATAAATATTTTTATCGTAAAGATCCTCCATGAGGTTACAGCTAGTAAAAAAGTTGTCAAAGGCAATTAAAGTGTTTCTTGGTACGTTACTGCAGAGTTTCATGACAACATTGTAGCCTAACCCTTCATTTTCGGTGCTGTCGCCTTTTCCTGAATACACTTCGAATTGGTACAAGTACCCAGTTTTGGCGTCACATCTTGCCCATACCTTAAATGTCAAGTGGGAAATAATTTCCCAATATTTGAATAAGGGTTAAAGAGTTTATATTTAAAAAAACATTCAATCTTACTTAAAAATAACAACAAATTTTAAAAAACAATAAAGTAGCGTAAATGTTAAAACTGTGTTTAGGGATCGTTCACTTAAAAATAGTCCTTCAAACTAAAAAGTTGAATACCAAAAAAAAAAAAAAAATACTTACGCTGATATTTGGACACGTGACTGTGTATCTGTATGTCCGCTAAGCGACGTCGCTCGACTGTCCGCGATGGCGCGTTACTCCCCCCGCGCCGGCTTTATTACACCACTATCGTTTGAAAGAATAATACTTCACTTGTTTTTAAAATATTTGTGGTGGACCGTTTTACCCGCGGACCTTTAAGCCCCGCTCTACCCTACCAAATGATAGTTTTACAGTAAATGTTTATTGTTGTCGCTCGGCTTAGAATATAAATTATACAGTATGTTATACAGCAAATGGCGTTCCCTTGAACACGTTAATATATATCACTAATAGATTAAAATTAATATATCAGCATAGAAAAATAAGCACAAAATAATCTAAATAAAAAAAAATAATTTATTCACAATAATTTCGAAACCTCCTATATGTATGTGGCGCGGAATAGAACGTAATGTATCTAGCGTAGTAGCATTGCCGAAAGTGGCAACGTCGCAATACGCACGATGCCGAGCGGCGCCTTTTGTAGTGGCGGCATATTGAATTATAAAGACACGTAGTCGGATTGTTAACAGTAAAAATAAACATTTTAAATGTATGTTTAGTTTTAGAAATAACACTTAACCCGTCTCAAATGTATTGCTGACTAAGGAACGTGTCACTGAGGTACCTATTCGCAAACAGTAAATAAAAAAAAAACAAATTCAACCATCATATCTAAGCCACGTTTCAATAACATTACAATAATAATACAGAGAATTAGACAGAATTTGCACGCAGCGGCCGAGTAATGAACGCGGGGCGGTGGGGCGGTAGCGCCTTTGAGTTCTGCCGACACGTCGCCGTCATGTCGCCGCCCGCTCGTTGTTACAAAATAAACAAATACTAGTTAATACAGAAGGTCTACTCGCTGGGTACATGAATTTGCTTTACATATTAAGTTGGATGAAAGTTTATTTAAACCACAGTTTAGGCTAGCATTTAAATGATCATGGTGGTATTACACAATTTATTTACAGTTCACATGGTACCTCCATTAAGCAGTTTTAGGAAAGAGTTCTGAACTTATTAATTTTGTGGCACACTCGTTTAGTGTTATTTTTTTTTAATGTTCTCGAAATGTTTAAGGTATTATGATACATTTAAATAATGTTAAAACTTACCTAGATTTTGAACTGCTCGATATGCTGACCTCCTCAGTCTACACATTGTTGCAATCGCCGACGGTTATTTTCGTGCACTCGTCGCATTAAAAGCGGGTTCTCGCGTATTCTGCTCCTTATAGCACGGAATGCTGTGCGGATTCGCATTTCCATCTCCTCCCGCGAGTGGCTTTCTTTTTTATAGACGAGTTGTTTGACCCAACCCCAAAAAAAGAAGTCGAGTGGCGTTAAATCAGGTGACCGTGGTGGCCACGCCTGGGGACCGTATCTCCCGATCCAGCGGCCCTCAAACAACTCGTTTAACCGCAACCGCACTTCTGTTGAAGTGTGAGGGGGTGCTCCATCGTGTTGGAACCACACATTTCGGAGTTCGGCTAGTGGCAATCTGTCGTGGTAGCGCGCGACGGTGCCGTTAAGGAGAGCCAGATATCTTACACAGTTTAGAGTCCCTGGGATGAAGACAGGTCCTATGATTTTATTTCCTTTTATCCCAGCCCATACATTCAGTGACCATCGAATCTGATGCGCTAACGGCCGAGTAGTACGCGGATTATGGCCCCTTTCCGCCCAGTGTTGGCATACACGCCGATTCCACATGCCATTGCGCGTAAATCGGCTTTCGTCTGACCAAATGACGTTTTGGATGAAGTGGGCGTCCTCCGCGCATCGCTGCAGTGCCCACTGGCAATAACTTAACCGGCGCTCGTAGTCAGCCGTACTAAGCAGAGCTTGCACTTTTTGAAGTGAGTACGGATGCTGCTTGTTTTTCTTAAATATTTTAAACACTGCGACGTGACTCATATTGAACAGGCGGCCGGCTCTTCTGGTGCTTGAACCGGGCTCCTCCTCAAAATGCCTTAGCACGTTCTCTTCCTGCCGCACTGAAATCACGGGTCGCGGGCCACCTGAACGACGCGGCACTACCGGCTCATTATTACGCATACGCACCAGGGCACTCACAATTACACGAGAATTCCGCGGTTGGTGTGCATTAGGGTACCTCTCAGCATACATCCTCAGAGCACGTGCACCATCATAGTCACACTCAGCATAAATGAGCACCATATTCACATACTCCTGCGCACTGAACTGATAACGCGGCATCTTTCACACGAAAATACGTAGACGTAGTAATGCGGAAATAATAGACGTGCGATCCCGGTCAGCGGCGTGGGGTTACTAAATAGTAAATACTAAAAAATAAAATTTCGCGGACGTTCGGGGGCGGGGGTCGGGTGACACTTTAAAATCGTAGATCAATCGAATGCCGCATACGCGGCCCGTCTTTTATAAGTAAATTGCGACGTTGCCGTTCTTCAAATAAGCGTGTACAGGATGTTTCTTTTACATGTAAATTTAATATTTTTAATGATTTTTTTTAAATAAAAAAAAATAAAAAACATTTTGTTTTCGATTGGTAATATTTTTTTTAGCATGTATGGATGCTACATTATTGCGGATTAACGGGAACGTGAATTGTTAGTTAACATACTGTATAATTGTTTAACATACATTGCATAATTTAAGTAGAATTAACTTACAAATGGTCTTATGTTAATGAATAGGTTCTATACTAAGTGCATGAAAAGTTTTTCGGTGGTATTATAGGTCAATGAGGAGAGCCAAGAAATAATTTTTGTTTTGGCTTGTTAATAAACGACTCAATGATAGTTATAGGATAGTTGCTCCACTTTTTGAAAAGCCTTATTATTTTTAATTATGAACTTGCTGAAAATTCTTTTATCTTTCATATTTGCCTATTTTTGAATACGTAATTAACAATAGTTTTGATTAAATCCAGTTTTATATGACCTCTCAGAAAAGGGATAGTTGCCTACTATGACGGATAGTCACCTCGGTAGGATTTTAATTTAGATCGGAGAAAATTTATTCAATGAAAATAATTATTATAATTTACTCAGATCTTTTATAAAGAAAATTTAAAACATTAATTAACATTGTTAGGTATATTATATATACTTAAAATTATATGAGTTATTATAAAATATTAGAATTAATCTCAAGTACATAACAATATTTGGTAGCAGCTTTGGTTTTAATATTAATCGTTACCTAAAGCTAAGGTTCTTAACTTTCCACATCTCATACAGTAGTTTCTAAATTTTGTACAGGTTTCATGCATCCACATCTGACACGTAACCACATTTAATCCAATTAGATGTTGATATAGTTAAATTGTAATTCTCAAAACATTCAACATAATAATTATTATCAATTGAAACTTTTTTAGTCAAATTTACTAACGAATTATCATTTTTAAATTTCAAATCAAAATAATCTTTATTTAGACATACACAGTTTACATATAAAAAAACAGTATAAAAAAAGAACAACGTGAACGTGATGCTTAAATTGGTAGGCCACTCAGATTTTGTTGAAAAATCATTGTCATGAGTTTCAACGCTGGTATTCTGTGGCTGCCAGTAACTACGCACGTCACGTCGTAGGTAGTGAGAAAATTCGTCATAAATAAATAAAAATATAAATTTTGAAACGTGTGATTCAATAACTTACAATAATTATTATTAGTCTAAACTTAAAATTAGTAAATTGTTAATTGTTTTACCAGAGTTGCAGTGTATTTTCAAAATCTTGTCAGTGTCTCTTATCAATTTTTCGTCCTTGCTTTTTTTAATATGTAATCCTAGTGGTTGAGACCCTTCGCTCTTTCAATTGATAAGCCCTCAGCTTGTCTGATAGATATTTCAGGATTCCTTTCAAGAAAGCTTTTTAGTCATTGCGGTCCAGCCATTTTATTCTCATTGTTAAAGTTGTGCTTTAACCCCAATTTTTCGGCGAACTGATAAGCTAATTGGCGAATCACAATTCTGTCAGGAGGAAAACCAGCATCTTCGAGCTTCAATATATGAGCTACCAATCTTTTTTCAGTCTCGAACAGGATATTTTCCTAGATGTGACAAATTTTTTTTTGATCAGAAATGAAGGTATGTAGATAGAATATAATGTTTATACATACTGCTAGTTTTACACTTTTAAATCAAAAGTATACCTTGAGTTAGCAGCTGCTGATTATTCTTTTCGTAGCGTCTTCTTAAAGTTCGAGTGGATATTCCGTACAGTCGCGAAATTTCATTGATACCTCTTTTTTTTTGTCTCAATTCTTCCAAGGCACGACTAAGCTATCTGTTCTGTCCACTTGATGTCCCGTGGCACCACGCCTGGTTGTCTTTTGTATTTGCGAGGCATTTGTCTTATCTAGAATTGATATATAAAACAGTTAAATAGATATTTATTTTATTTGTAACTAGTTAAAGTCACAGAAAGTTCGAAATAAATCACAAAAAAAATCCGTTTTTACTAGTAAAAAAATTTACGCAGTTTTGAAGCTTATAATAGGTCTTTTTTTTTAATTCTACTCCCTCAGACATGGTCCGAGACCTTGTTAGCTAAGTTATTCTTGCATACCAGTTCTCGCTCGTTTGATGGCCTTTCATTCTTCATACTGTTTCTTTCTTTCATTCATCTCATACTGTCTATTCGTGTACCTGATTTTACTTTCTATTTTCTGGGATCAGGGGGGTTTCCGGATGAGCCTTTATTCCAATCTCATTACTAAATTACATTGCTATTGACATTTGACTTTTATATCCTTACTAGTTTTTGCCCGCGACTTCGTCCGCGTTAGTTTCGTCATTAGTAATATATGTATAGCTGACCGGGCGAACTCTATTCCGTCTTAGAGGCCATAAATAATCAGGTTTTTCCTGTTTCAATCAAACAGAATGATTGACATATTAGTTAGTTGTCAAATCTAATGTCAAAAAAGCGTTTGTATGGGAAATAGAAAAGGGCTGTTTTTAGGGTTTTCCCGGCAATTATTCCAATTTTTCTCACCTTTTATACCTTCCCTGAACCTCCACGAACATTTCAAGACTAAGATAAGATAAATCCGTTCAGCCGTTCTCGAGTTTTAGCGAGACTAAGGAACAGCAATCCATTTTTATATATATAGAAGATTATTACATTACATTTCGTATTCGTATTTGCATTATTATCTCACTAATACATTATTTTTTTTAACAATTTACATTTATCTTAACTTTAACTTCCAGTATCTACATCTTACAATTTGGTTATTCATTACTTTATTTACATTATTTCCTATTTTATTTCAAGAGTAACAGTTAACTTTTCTTGGACATTTGACTTTTTTTTACATTTTATAAAATAATAATTAATAGTTTTATTTGTTCCTGTGTAATATATGAAATAATTTTAATTTAGTTAATAAATTCCTAATAATTATGTAATAATAAAATTGATAAAATGGTAAAAATAATTGTATTCTAAAGGTTAAAAGTATTTAAATAATGAATTAATGACATAAATTTAAAGTATAATATTAAATATAAACTTTTTAAAAGAAATGACTTATGACAATGGAAACGCACTCTTTTAATGTCGTACTAGCGACGATCGTTGTCCCGATTTTAACATTAAATTCCCTATCCAAATCAGATTTTTAATATGTAGGTCCTCGATCTACTTACTGAGATATCCGATGTCAAAGTCAGGTCACGCAATGTCTTGTCCATTTTGTCAAAATTACACTTAAAACTTAGCCTAATCGTAAAAATAAGATTACACTAGTGTCCCTATGGCTATTGTCTGTATTTTAAGTCACTTTTTGTACACTCAGACACACTAGTTATGTCGTATTTGCGATATTTCACTCTGTCACTGTGGTTTTGCCGTATTTTTACGATATCTCGTTTGTTTTCCAACCGATTTCGAAAATTTTTAAACAGATCGCTTCGTTAATTAAATTTGTATTTTTTGGAGCACTTTTGCACTTATTTTCGTTTTTTTTTTTAACTTCTAGCGGTCGGATCTCTTCCGGAGGGAATTGGGACGCGTGCGTGCACCTCGGGGCGTGAAATGCGCCTGCTTATGAGAGGTCACTACTTAGTGTAATAAAACATTAACACAACTGACGTTCCTAACATACCGTATTTAAAACCGCGGCATGTATCCCACCGAGGCAACTATCCGGGTTTTACCCTAATATATTTTTCTACTATGTAAGCATCTACTTTCTTAAAATAAAAGGATACATTACTTGGTGTGACATAGGAACTTCTATCCAAAAAGTAATTATCATAGTTATGTTTTATTTTTTGTATTTCACCTGCAAAAGTGTTAGAAAATTTATTACAAATATTTAATGTACTAGTATTTGATTTCCTCCGAAGAGGAGTGCTCCCTCAACTCCGAGACGGCCGTCCTTATATTGACGACCGCCTCTTTGAGACACCTCGTGAAGACCCTTCAAATTTCCGACCTCGTGGCGACCATCAGAATCAACGAGGTCGGAAATTTGAAAATACTCGCAAATGTTGCAAATTTGGTTTTTTACCAAACCACATCTCATATGGAGTCTTTTCATTACCTGAAGCAATAAACCTGTTCTTGAGGTAGACTGCAGTATTTGCAGCTTCCGCCTAAATTTTCTTGTCCAATTCTGCTTCGAAAAGTAAGCATCTAGCTCTCTCCACAATGGTCCGGTTGTTTCTTTCGCTGAGTCCGTTTTGTTCTGGTGTGTTAGGATTCGTTTTCTGATGAAAAATTCCCTCATACTTCAGAAAATCTCGAAAAACGTTGCTACAATACTCACACCCGTTGTCTGTGCGCAATATTTTTATTTTTTCGTTTTGATAATTCTCCACCATCGACTTTAGGTTTAAAGAAGTTTATTTCCAAAAAGAACAAAAATCGCTTACAAAAGAAATTTTAAAAATTATAACTACAATTAAAATTACAAATAATAAACAGTAGTGATATTGAACAAGATCTGTGAAATCATCTAATATATGGGTTCTTAATCGTTTTTTAAATATATTTAGAGATTTTGAATTGACAACACTTAAGTATTCTAAGTATTCTTTATTGTACAGCAAAGAATAAATAAATTATACAGTACAAAACTTGATCAAAATGTACACTTAGAGGCAAAGAGAGACTTTAACTTTTTGAAACAAGTCAGTGTTTCACTTTTGCACTTTAAAAAGTATATAAAGGTCATTCTGGTAAAGTCATCTATAAACAACAAAAAATAACTTGCACCACCTATTGATTTGCACTCCATCGGTCCACAGATGTGTGAATGCACAATCTGTAAGATTTCTGTAGCTCGTGTACCCGTCGAGAATGGTAATCTCGACTGTTTTCCGTCACAGCGAACTTGACAGCTAGACTTACTGGTCAGTGGTCACAAACTTGTCTGAGTAATCCATTCCACTGACTAAACCTTGCTTCATCTTGTTCATATCTGTGCTCTTTAAGTGCCCGAGCCTTCTGTGCCATGTTTGTTCATCTACTGTTGATGATGATAGCGAACAGGTCTCATTTTTTAAGATTAACTTGTATTGCATTATTGACAAGTTCCGCCTCAGCAACTAAATGTCCAGATCTGTTTTTCTGTGTCGGTACGCACAATACGTTCTTTGCTGTGATCTCGTTACAGTAACTCGTCGTGATTTCTACGTCGCCGGCACATAATACAGGCACTCTCGTATTGTTTTGCTATTATGATTTCAGGTAGATTTGACGAATCTTTCCTATTTGTCAACCAACTTTCGTTTGCAGGCATGTGTGTGCTGGATCCAGAATCAAAATACCAATCACTCTTATTAAAATTACCGCTCAGAAAAACTACAATAAATGCATTCGTTTGTTTTTTCTTCTCCTTTTTATCATTTTTAAATGCACATCGCGACAAATAATTTATTTATTTAAAAGGTACATCAACATCACATATTCAGCATACATAAACAACAGGTAAAATTTAAAAAAATCTAGGACCTGATATGAGTGACAATTACCGATGTACACAACATTCACACAAAGAAAAAAAAATAAAACTTATTGTCTACCTGTTGAATTTAAGTGATAATTAAATAACTATTTTTTTTGATGACGCAGGGGAAATTCTTTTTACGAGCCGTCAAACCGGCCTTGGTGGGGTGTTCGACTCCAGCGTTTGGAGTTGGTCCTGGCTGACTGGGCCCTCCGAAGCCTCTTTAGCCGCCGCAATCCTCTCCTTTCTTATCTCCTCAAATTGGAGGCGATGAGCTCGCACCTCCTCCTTGAGACCCGCGTTTTCTCTTTGGAGCCGACCTATGTCGGCTCTAAGGCGTTGGGTCTCCTCTGCCTCGGTGCGCGTCACCAGGACGCCTTCATAATTTTTGAAGAGTACCCCTCCTTGAGGTTGGTACTTTTCCCCACCAAATCTTTAATCAGGTTGAGGCTCTTCTCCGCCTCAACCATGATTGCCTCCGCCCCCATCGTTCCTAATTCCGAAGGAACCTCCTTTTCCTTCTTACCGGCCCTTTCCTTCGCCAGCCTCCTCTCCATACAGGAGTCGAAGGCGGCCTCCAACTGCTCTTCCTCCCTCTCCCTTAAAAATTTTAGGTTAGGTTAGCAATTAGAGCGGCTCTCGATACGGCATACGCTAATCACTATATCATCAACCATAATTAAATAACTATTAAAGAAAAAATCTTAAGCCCCAATATACAATATTACAAGAAAAAGAAAAATAATGTCCAGATTGCTTGCATTTGTAGCATGTTATTGTGTTGTTAGGTCTGTCACTTAAGTATGACATATTAGGGGCATAGATATTTTGAGTCGGTCCGCCAACTTTATCAAGTTTTTTTTCTAACAACTTCGCGCGATAAATGCGGAATTATTATCACTGCTGCTTACTGCAACTGAGTCGCCATTTTCTGTATCTAACAATTTTGTTTTTATGGATAACCTCATCCCCCACTGAAGCAACATTCTGGTCTTGTACTTGAATCATACATTCAGAATTAATTTCTGGCTCAACAATGACCACATCTCTACTTGTAAACACAGTCCTTGTTTCTGGATTATAGACTCTGTATCCCTTTATGTTATCTGGGTCTCCTGTAAGAATACATTTCACAGATTTCTTATCCCATTTCTTACGCTTTTGTTTAGCAATATGTACCATAACAGTACCCTTTTGAAATTAGTTGACTGACTGATAGTAGGTTAGTAGTTAGAGATGGTATTTATTTATTTATTTATTTATTTTGAGGACCACTAGCAGCTACTACATGTTTAAATGCCGAATATAAAACAATTAAATGGAAATAGGTTACATGTGTAGCTTTTTAAAGTGGCCACAACGATCACAATGTTTTAAAAATATATTAATATATAATTATAGCGAGAAGATCTAAATAATATTAATAATAATAACAATAATAATAAGTAAAAACTGATACAAATTAAAAACCACAAAAAACAAACAAGTACTTAATAAAATTAAATAATTTATTAAATTCATGCATAAAAATCACTAAAAATATTCAAATCAATACAAACTTAAATTAATACAAATAGCTATTAAACATTTATAATTTATTTATTTATTTGCATCTCTCAATAATTCCAGCGCCCGTTTACGAAATGTCATGGCAGAGTTACTAAAAATATCTAGATCTTGACTTAAAATATTGTATAGCCGAGATGATCTAGACATAGGGGCGTTACTTCCTAATTTAGTTTTTGACATTCTAATATCAAAGGTACCTAGAAAACTGCGAGCATTGCTCCTTGGAATACGATAGTGTATCTCATTAAGTAAGCAGGTACAGTCGACCTCGTTACGAATTAACTTGAAAAGGAATAAAAGATCTAACAATTGTCGGCGTACAGAGAGACTATCCATATTGAGATCTTTCAATAGATTGCAGTAATTTTTATTAAGTTTATTGTATGAAATTTTTTTGTTTCTGGATAGATGGTATACAAATCGCTTCTGTATTCTCTCTATACGCAGACGATGTACATTGTAACCAGGATTCCACACCACACTACCGTACTCCAGTACACTACGCACGTAAGCGTTATAGATTATTTTTTTCGTGTTATTCGTGAAGTGTTTACAATTTCTAATTAAAAATCCTAACGTTTTGGAACTTTTCGTAATAAGCGACGTATGCAGAATATGTCTTCTATCATATGTATCAAGTTTTTATATGTGTAACAAGACCACTTAACATGAACCATAGGTAGGTATTATTATCGCTTTGCTAAAGAATTATTATAAATATTAAAATAATAAGAAGCTATATTGAAAGTAATCTACTTGGTTTGAATGTTTGGGATTCAAATTATTATCCAAATTATTCTATGTTGAGATTTTACTAATTCAAAACTAAGTAATTTCCACTTATAAAATAAAATAGAATATACTTTATTGTACACCACAAACAGTAAATTTTACACGGAAAAAAAATAATAGTAAATTGAAATGTACAAAAATATATGTATAATAACGACAACTTATGACCTAATTATAAGGGTTTTTCTCTAATCAGAAAATATTTCAAAAATGTATTAAGGTCCTACCAATCACGAAACGCACCGCGTAGCCTCGTTTTTATAAAAATAAATCTCATTTTTCCCAGTCGGACAAATCTCACAGCTGATTGATGTTGTGAAGCCAGCTTTTAACGTTTTAATGTTTTCCATGATCGAATTTGGCAATAATTTCTGCATCTAAGTTACAATGGTTCAGTATTATTATTTATTATAATCAGTCATAAAAATATTTCGAAGGATTATATTACAATTAGTGCAGCATGGAGGGCGCCACTTATAATACTATTCGACTGGTTTTTCTATATATTTTCATTATTGCATCCTTATTTCTCATTTTCAATAGGTAATAAGGTACAAAACTCTTTTTATACATAACACTGACTATTGTTAATTTTTATTATAGCCTTCTACTAAACTAAAACTAATATGTCCTAGTTAGGTCCACCAAGATTTCAGAAGAGCCTTTATTACTTTTAAATGAAATGTTCAGAAATCAAAAACATTTTTTAAAATAACATTTTAATAAAGAAAGTAAAATTTAACCTTTGAAATATAATTTTAACAATATACAACAAAATAAATGAGATTATAATATGAATTAATTATTTTGATTATTATAACAACATAAAATGTATATATTTCATATAAAAATATTGCTTAACATAATATATATTTATAAAACGAACACCCAAAAATTGTACTACTAAAATAAAATTTATCATGTACCTTTGATGTGTGTAAAAATAACTTGTGCATTATTAACATTGTATAAACGACTATTTACTCCTATAATAAGCCACATGTTATTGTCTTGTATTATTTTGTTTACATTAAACTATGTTTTATTATATTTTGTACTGTTTTTGTGAATGTGACAAATATTTAAACTATTTTTTGTACTCTAGACCCTATGACATTATATGTCTTCCTATAAGAATTAATTATTGTTGAATAAAAATATATCATTGAATATTGTTTCATTTAAACTGATTCTTGAGCACTTCTATATTCATAGACACTTCCTCTCTCCACGAATTCATTATGTTGTATGTCTGTCTGTTCGTTTGTCTCATCTCCTGACGGTCGACCATAGCCACCGCCTCCCGGTGAGTTCATGATGTATTTATCCTGTAATATTACGATTATATATACATATATACCCATTCTATTGTATTATAACTATGAACAGTAATTGTATCAGTGGTCTACTTAAGACACAGTAAATCTTATATATTTAAATGAACAATTCTTGTATACATATAGATAATTGTATAAATCGATCTAGCGAGGAATCATTTTTAGGAAATGTTATTGTATTTAAAAAAAATACAAAAAGGTGTCGTATAAAATATGACTCTTCCTGACATCTGTTGGCGAATAATAATACTACTTTTTGCTAATTGCTTTTACTAATTGCTTTAACAACACAACAGCAGATGGCGTTGTTAAGTACCAGGAAGTCAATGAGTATTTGTGTTGAGGTTACACTAAAAAAATAATTGTTTATTTATATCGTTTTGTGTTTTCTTAACATGTTCACTTAAAAATGCCTACACGAAAAAAAACACTAAATAAATACTAATAATTCCTAAATACCGAGCAAAGCTCGGATACAAGATATGGATACATTATAAACTATTTTTAGATTATTTATATTTATTGTTTAACCTTCCAATGAACATGCTTAGATTACTATCCCATTGGCTTAACTGATAAGATTAGTATTACATAGATAGCAAATGTATTGTCAATTAATATTGCAGTTTGATATGAATATAAGAGAAATTAATATACAGTTATAAATAAAATCTTATCTTACTCCAGGAAAAGCTGTAACTGAAGATTTTCCTCCTAGATTAATTAATCTTCCGTCGGCTCGTTGAAGGAGATTCAGACCTCTAGCACCTGGCTCACCTCCTGATATAAAATATACCATTCATTAAGATTTGATATTAATAAAATATAATATAACGACTGGAGGTTAAAGGGCCGCCTCTCATGCATGAATACAATGTGATTTTTCCAAGTCATTTGTACTTTCTAAGAGTATTTATACACCAATGACTGATGAAGTAAAATATCGCGAGGAAACCTGGACTTATAATTTCAAATTATAAGTTTGAAATCACCAACCCGTCTTGAGCAAATGTTATTAATGCTCAAAAACCTTCTCCATATGAGATGAGGCCTTTGCTCACCAGTGGGCTCTGATAGGCTGATGATGATGAAAATATAATATTTCTATAATATTTTATGTATTCTACCGTTCATTCCGTATGGCTGGAAGGCTCTTCGTTCAGTGAGAACGGATACTTGCACCGTCCGTCTGAACACTAGCTCGCGAGTCACGCCGTCTCCGCCGCGCCATTTACCTAGCAACAAAATATATAGGATTTCCACAGATTATATAAATTTAGATACCACACATTTAATTTGAACCGAAACTTGAAATTTCCGAACGCATCGGAAGTGATATTAAAGCGATGACGTTTGGTTCGTTCACTTCTACGTGGGAAAGTAAATTGTCGACATGATTTTTGTTTTTGTAAATTGAATTAAACTTATTTTAAGTATTTTGGTTTAATAAAATAATTAGTTTGTTCTAGTTAACGTTTTGTTAGTTATTTAAAAGTACTGTCTTTTAATGATTTTATTAGAATCCTAAATATACATTATTTTTTGCCAAACAAATCTACTACTCGACTAAACCAAAAATTCTTAATTCCGTGATACCTAACAATAAAATATATAGGACTTCCCCAGATTATATTCATAATTTTTTTTTGCCAAAAAAGTACATTGTAATATAAGCCAAAAAATCCTAACGTTCCTTGCTACCTGATAACAACAGATATAGGATTTCCAAAGACTAAATATATTAATTTTTTGTCGATCTATTCCAATACACTACTAAGCCAAATATTCTTAATTCCGTGAACTAACCTCGTCCCCCGGAGCCGCTCCTCAATGAGAAGTTGGTAACAATCATGGGGTATCTCGTCTCAACTATCTCTACGTCTGTAATACGTGTGTTTGTTATATGAGTGTGAACTCCCGATGCGCCGTGCCAACCCGGACCCTGGAAGTAATGGAAAAATTAATGGGAATATTATATACTAGCTTTCCGGCCGCAGCTTCGCTCGCGTAAAGTTCGGTTATATCGCGTTTCCAAGAGAACCTTTCAATAGTCTGGGATAAAATTATCCTATGTTCTTTCTCAAGGTCAAATCTATCTCTGTACCAAATTTCATTAAATCAGTTCAGTGGTTTAGACGTGAAAGCGTAACAGACAGACAGACAGAGTTACTTTCGCATTTATAATATTACTTATACATATATTAATTTGGTAATAATAAATGAATATTTATATTATTTATTACCGCTCCACTACCGCCGGCTACAGTCTCGTAATATCCCCATGTAGTCTCGCCGAGTGTCAGATTGTTGGTGCAACCTTGAGAGGCGGCACAAACCTAGACAGACACAGATTATATGAAAAAACAGTTCAACTGTTTAATAATAATAATTTATCTAGTATACTAGTTTTTGCCTCCGACTTCGTCCGCGTGGATTAAGCTCAGATAACAATATATTACATAGTGTGTCAAATATATGTTATATATGGAAAAATAATATAATTGTTATGTCACTTTAGAAATACACGGAAAGTCGGTATAAATTTTACCCTAATGTTATTCTGATGTCTGTTCTACAATCCTATAAAGTTACATCGAAATCTACATATTAACCAGTTTTTGGTGAAAGAGCAACTAACATATTATATCCATACTCAAATACGTTTAATTTAATACTAATATACATATTATTTCACCTGGAACGCCTTGAGTATAACGTCTACGAGTCTCTGTGACGTCAGCACGTTGCCAGCAACCACGGCAGCTTCATCACTAGGGTCCAATAAACTACCGGGAGGTATTATAACGGTGACTGGATTCAGACAACCCTAGAAGAATAATTAATATGATTAAAGACAATATTTATTAGTATGGAAATTGTTGTTTGAGCAAAGTAAATATATAAATGTGTTTAGATATGGAATTTAATGTTTTACTTTTCTGCTTGTTTCAATAATATCACTCTATGCAGTTATAATACATGTTAAATGAATAAGTTTGATCGTCATGTTTGTTTCTTTCAAAATAAAATGTAATATTTTAATTCAGTCACAGTAACTTACTTCGTGATGAAAATATTAATCTCAAGGTTTATTTATTTTTTTTATGGGAAAACATACAACTTATATTAAAATAAATTTCGGTAGTGTAAAAACAATTTGCCTAAACAATTCCTAGAGTTATTTTGACATGAAGTGTATTATACCTTACATGAGAAATAATATGTTGTAGGAAGGTTATATAGTTATTTTTGTCATTAAAGTACTTAGTAGCGTGTCGTAAATGTAGCTATATAGTATGTATGTATGTCTGTTACCTGGTTGAGTGGTATATCTCTCCCAACCATACACCGCAGACAGTATATGATAGCAGACATAGTAATGGCTCGAGGGGCGTTCAAGTTACCCCACACCTCTACGCCAGTACCACTGAGAAAACATAATAATAATTATATGAATTAATTTAAATATTCAAAGTAAATAACACAATGTGATATGAAATCTACGGATATTTATGAAAGACTTCTTAACATAAAAACTACTAGCTTTCCGCCCGCAGCTTCGCCCGCGTGGATTTCGGTTATATCGCGTTTCCAAGAGAACCTTTCAAAAGTCTGGGATAAAAACTATCCTATGTTCTTTCTCAAGGTCAACTCTATCTCTGTACCAAATTTTATTAAAATCAGTTCAGTGGTTTAGGCGTGAAAGCGTAACAGACAGACAGACAGAGTTACTTTCGCATTTACAATATTAGTAGGGATTAGTAGGGATTTAATGTATAAAAAAGTTTGTATATAAAATGTATACAAAATATCATATCATAAAGTAAAAATTAAATATTGCTATGCAATGTTGATGTGTGTTAAGAAAAATTTCAATTGATATCAACTCAAACACTTTAATAGCATAATTATTAGACGATTTAATATTAAATATAGAATTTCCATTGTCAATTTGATTATTAATGAATGAATAATATTGCTTGTCAAAAACTTGTATGCCGATAGTAATGTATGTACTCACGTGAAGTCACATATAGCGCCGCCCGTGTTGGGGTCCAAGGTAACAGTTAAAGTGATCGGCGCGCCGTTGTCCAAATACTCTATAGCTTTTAGAACACATGAGCCCGTCTTCTTTATTGTCTTCTCTGCTATTTGCTGGAAAACACATATATATAATAATAATAACATTAATTTGTTCAGATATATTCTGAGCACTAAAAAAAAGGACGAAAATAGCGTTTTTTAGCGTTCTTTTATATATAATTTATAAATAACAGCTATATTATTATTTGTTCCTATTTGAGGCCATGTAAAATCTCTGAGCTAAACTTAATTTCATTTATTCTTAAGCTGTGATTTGTGTCAAAGTAAAGTTTTTGAATAATATTTGTTTATGTCCTAGGACAAATTTTTTATACTTTACTTTAGTATATCATAAGAACTAAAAATCTATATATATATATATAAAAAGAATAAGTGTTCGTTAGTCTCACTAAGACTCAAGAAGTCGAGAAAGAGTTCGCCCCGTCAACTATACATATATTACATACTATTGACGAAACTAACGCGCACGAAGTCGCGGGCAAAAACTAGTTTAAAATAAATTTCTAATATATATAAATACCTTCAACATGTCTCTAACAGCTAGTTCAGCGTTCTTCTGTATATGAGTCATATAAGCCTGGACCACTTCAAGGCTGTATTCTTCTATCAGTTCAGAGACCAGTTGTATGCCCTGTAAAGAAATGTTTATAGAAGATTAACTTAATACTGTAGATACGAGTTTTTAATTAATATACAACGTGTAACATAATTAACGCATACCCTGAAAGTAGTTTGTTCAGAATCGGAATCTGGGTCGATTTTTATAGTTTTTTATGTAGGTAATTTTTTTCTCAAATTTAGGTAGAACTAAGTAAATTACAGTCATCCTACACACAGTTATCCAAACACTTCATTGAAACGAAAATGGATAGTAAGTCAGATAAAAATCACTATTGAAATACCTAATAAATTAAAAATCAATTAAAAAACATTGTCCAACGGACAAAATTATGAATCTAAACCATTCCCAGATCCCCAGATTCCCAGAGTGACATACACACTCACAGAAGAATTATATATATAAAGATTTAGCTATACATATTTGGCTTTCTCAAAAACAGGGCATTTTTTTTTGAGTTTATCACAAACGGCCAGATATATATATATGTGTGTGTAGTAATGTCATATAACATACCCTTTGGTTAGCAGCGACTTGAGCCTTTAGATCTGAAAGGTTGTCCGCTAGATTCCTAGTACCAGAACATCCGGGGACTTGACCGGGCTTCATCAGCTCTGAAATGTTATATGTAATAATTAGTATTTTATGTGAATGTCATATTAGGTCGTCATAAATTTAGAAGATAATGCTTTTAAAGATCTTTCATTTTTATTTTGAAATATACTTGTAGAGGCATCATTATTTTATAAACTCTGTATCAATTACTTTCAGCAAACATTCGCATATATATTACCGATATATATATACATATGTATATATGCGAACAACCATACATATTATTACTAAAAAAATTATAAAAGTTAATTATATATATTCATTTTTCACAGAGAATTAATTTATTTCACTGTTTCATCCCCACTACTCTAATTAATTAATGTATGTATACAGTTTATATAATGTATTTTTATATCAATTCACCTTCAACCAACTCTTTCTCATTGAACACTCCTCTCTGTACTAACATCATGGACTTGAAGGAGGCTCCTTCTTGATGTAGGCTTGTGGAGTGAGGAGGCATCGAGCCCGGAGTTAGCCCACCGATGTCTGCGTGGTGACCTCGAGACGCTACGAAGAAGATTGGCTGAGAACTAGACCTGGACAGAGAATATGATTAGAAAATAATCATCATCACTAGGCAGACCCTGGCTGAAGCTGGGAAATTGCCAGGAAGAAGAATCATCATCATCAGCCTATCAGAGTCCACTGGTGAGCCTCTTCTCACATGGAGAAGGTTTCATTAATCACCATACTTGCTCAAGACGGGTTGACGATTACAAACTTATAATTTGAAAATAAGTCCGGTTTTCTCAAGATGTTTTCCTTCATCAATCAGTGATGTCTAAATAATCTTAGAAAGTACATATGACTACAAATCACATTGGTATTTACCAGGATCGAACCCGCGCCCTCATGTGAAAGACTTACTGATATATCAACATATAAGTGTATGTATATTATAGTATGTTATTATAGGGTCGTACTCATGGAAGACAGGTGTGATGACGGTGAGGTCCGGCAGGTGTGAGCCGCCGGCCCGCGGGTGATTGGACAACAACACGTCCCCGGGACGGAGAGACGAGCCGCGGACCTTCATCTGGACATACAATATACATATATATACATTGTATTGTATACATCACTATATATAGTCCGTTAGACTTAAGCTGAGCTTTGCATTGATGTGAGTGAAAGTAAATGTAGAGTTAGACAAAAAAAATTTAAAATTAAATTCTATTACATTTTAAATAGATACATGACATAAGTGCTAGTGCTATTCTAGATTAAAAATAAAATAAGCAAAACTTGTAAAACGCCAAATGGAAATATTATGGAAAAAAAATTAAGTAATAAAAATTTTGAAAAAACAATACAAATTTTTCTTCGCTTGACATTGCGTTTTCAATATTTGACGTTGCTACCAGTACAAAAGGATGAAGTGTGGAAAGTGCGGGGCGGAGAAAAAACAGAGTAAACCGGTTAAAAACTAGAAAAGAACGTGGCATATAAAAATTTGACATCACACCTACACTATCCGTGTGCAATCACACAAATGCAAAGCTCAGCTTAAACCAAACGCACTATACAATTATATCATGTATGTAGAATTAGTTTTGGTATATTTCAAATATTGTATGTATGAACATGGGTAGGATTCGCGTTGTTTATGTGTGTGTTATTATGTAAGTCTGTTTATGTTCATGTGCGCAAGCGCTTGTTTGCGTTCGTTAACGTGTATGTGTGTGTGTGTGTGTGTGTGTGTGTGTGTGTGTGTGTGTGTGTGTGTGTGTGTGTGTGTGTGTGTGTGTGTGTGTGTGTGTGTGTGCGTGTGCGTGTGCGTGTGCGTGTGCGTGTGTGTTATTCTCATATACCTGATACTGCACAGTCTCCTGCATGGCCCCCAGGTGTACAGGTATGTGTGGCGCGTTAGAGACGAGCCCGCCGTCCGCGCCGAACAGAGCGCACGAGAAGTCCAGACGCTCCTTTATATTCACTGATATTGATGTACGTTGCAGAACCCTGGGAATTAATATATCAAGTGTTGATTAAAAAATATATATATATGTATCAATATTTTAATATATGTCAGTCAATTGCTCGGAAAGCTATCGAATGAATTAGGTTGTATTGTTTCTCAAAAAAAATTGCTAAGCGTTTTATTACAAAAAGGAATTATGAGGATATAAATAAATAAAAAAATTCTTACACGAACAAAACAAAACAAAAACAAGATATTTGTCATCTATTTTTATGAATTTATACAAAACAGATTTGTATGAAAGTAAAAATGCTGTATATTTCATACTAGCTTTTGCCGCGACTTCGTCCCCGTCTAATAGTGACTTCCGGCAGATTTTTAGTTCTTCCCACATAGTTCCCGTTCTTGCAGGGTTTTCGGAATGGTCGAGTTCCCGTAGAATTTTCAGGATAAAATCTATGTTTTTTTTATTCACAATGAAGTACTCTTAACCAACAACATATTTATTTGTTTATTTGAATAAAGATTAATATTATTATGTTGATACAAGTTAAACAAATTATTTCGACCAAATTAGGTACCATAAAAACGGTTTTTGTGAGTTAACTTTCAAACAAACAAACAAACTCTTCAGCTTTATAATATTAGTATAGATATGAACGATGAATATTTCCCTCACCTGCCCATCTGTTCAGCGATCGACATGAATCTGTGAGAGAAGATGCTGAGCTGGACCGAGTCCAGTTGTGACGTCACTTCCGTCTTTTGACCCGAGCCTATAGTGATACTAACATCACCGTATTTAGTAATATCAGCTGTACAACCTGGTAATAAAAAAAAAATGATTGAACATACCATAGTAAAACTAGAGAGTTGGCCATAGATCATAAAAATTTGTAGATTATAAAATAGTTCCTAAATATGTTAACATATGTGACATAAATAAATAAGTTCTTAACACAATATTCAAAATTATCATATTGTACTGGCTGACAAAAATGTATATGAGAAATGTAAATTATTTTATACTAATTATTATTATTAAATAATAAATATAGTTATTATTTATTACCTGGCTCCACAAGTATAGTACATAGTTTGTCCATTATAATGGCGGGACCTGGAATTTTATGACCTGGTGATAGTTTCTCCAACGGATATATAGTTGTGTTCTGATAACCGCCTTCGAAGTATACTTGGACGACCTGCAAACGAATATGAACTTTAATTTTATATAATTAAGGTTGAATTTGTTTAAAATAGATAATAATTTCGGCAACAGAATGTTTTGTTCATTTTGTTTTTTTAAGTTAATATTCTGTAATATATGTATATACATTTTTACAGTTGTATAAAAAATACTATATAAGGCCAAGTCCTTTTATTTGACGCTGTAAAGCTCACTATCTTCTATATCTTCTATATATATAAAAATGGATTGCTGTTCCTTAGTCTCGCTAAAACTCGAGAACAGCTGAACGGATTTGTCTTATCTTAGTCTTGAAATGTTTGTGGAGGTTCAGGGAAGGTATAAAAGGTGAGAAAAATTGGAATAATTGCCGGGAAAACCCTAAAAACAGCCCTTTTCTATTTCCCATACAAACGTTTTTTTTTTACATTAGATTTGACAACTAACTAATATGTCAATCATTGTTTTTGATTGAAACAGGAAAAACCTGATTATTTATGGCCTCTAAGACGGAATAGAGTTCGCCTGGTCAGCTATACATATATTACTAATGACGAAACTAACGCGGACGAAGTCGCGGGCAAAAACTAGTAGTATATAAAAATGGATTGCTGTTCCTTAGTCTCGCTATAACTCGATTACAGCTGAACGGATTTATCTAATCTTAGTCTTGAAATGTTTGTGGAGGTTCAGGGAAGGTATAAAAGCTGAGAAAAATTGATTCATTACTGGGAAAACAATAAAAACAGCCCTTTTCTATTTCCCATACAAACGTTTTTTTTTTGACATTAGATTTGACAACTAACTAATATGTCAATCATTCTGTCGCACTTCAACACAGAGATTTATGGCATACAGGTAAACTCTAAAAATATAAATAAAAAAAACGTAATAGATATTTCTTGATTATAGGGCGATACGAAGTTCGCCAGGTCTTCTAGTTACTAATAAAATATATTACTCAATTTCCTCATTGAAAAGCAAAAAAAATATAGACCTTATGAAATCGACTTGAGTTAAATAATAAAACTCTCCATATTTTGTAAAGTATTAAATAATAGAAAAAATTTAATGTTGAGCACAACTTAATCTTATTTGTGTGGAATATATGTGATAACATAACAGGCGATTATGAACATTATTAATAATAAAATAAGGTACTTTATCAACTGTGGGTGTCGTTTCCTTCTCCACCTCTATTGCCGTCTCTTTCCTTCCCTCACTTCTTCCAACACCTCTCACTCTGACGTCATCAACCACAACCTCCCGGTTTGACAGCGTGAAGCCAAACTCGTTCTTATATCTATATAAATAAGAGTATTTATTGTATATGGTTTTATTATATCTTGGATTGACGTCATCTTGAAACTCAGAGCTAAATTCTTTTTTGCAAGAATCTAATTTCTGTATTGATAGTTATCCTACTAATATTATAATTGCGGAAGTTTGTGAGTATGTGTGTATGTTTGTTACTTCTTCACGCTCAAACGGCTGAACCGATTTTGATAAAATTTTGTATACAGGAAGCTGACGTCCAGGAATAAGATATAGTCTACTTTACATGTCGGAAATCCGCGGATAACACCGCGGGACACAGCTAGTAAACGATAATTATTAATTTATAATAGTAGCATATATTATATTATATACCTGTTAACAAACGCTGTATAAAAATCTCCATGTCTAGTAGCTTGGTCGCCTTGTATAGGAGACACCATGAGAGCACAATCTGTTCCGGAGTATCTCAAGTGTAGGTAGGGCTCCAGTATTATCTGGTCATCTGTGAAGCCCTGGGAACAGTTGTCAAATTGCAATCATTATAGTAAATGTTTATAGAAGAACTTGCCCAAAATAAATGTTAGTAATATCATAAACTGGTACTCAGTCAGCTAGATAAGAACACTTGGAAAAGAGGATTTCTTTTTGCGTATAATAGTAAAGCTAAGGAGAAAATAGTATATGATAGCGTTTTCGAACGAACATGTGTTCAATGTGTTGTTAAAATAACTGTTCTGAAATTTTTTCGACGCTATAAGTTTTGACTATTACAGACTAAAATGTTATTATTAATTGTAATATTTTGAATATTCAAAATCCATTAAACAAAAACATAACAATATTTTTTTCGCAAGAAGTTTCATCTATCCACAAGGACCTAACATTGTTACTTATTAATTATTTGCCTAATTTCTTTATATAATACTAGCTTTACGCCCGCAGCTTCGCCCGCGTGGAGTTCGGTTATATATATATATATATGTTCTGTCTCAAGGTCAACTCTATCTCTGTACCAAATTTCATTAAAATCAGTTCAGTGGTTTAGGCGTGAAAGCGTAACAGACAGACAGACGGACAGAGTTACTTTCGCATTTACAATATTAGTAGTGATTTACCTGTGCTCTTAGTTTCTCCCTACATACAGCGGAGAGTGTATCAATCTGTTCGTCTAGATGTGGGTAGTTCTCAGGTTTGTACACATCAGCACACGGCGCCTGTTCTTCTTGCACCACGTCCGCTAGAGCCATGCCGTATGCTGATAGGATACCTGTACACATGTATTTTATATTAACTCTAGTTACAACTGCGTTAGTTTGGTTCAGAATGCATTTTTTTGGGAAGACTTATTACTAGTCATAAATATACTTATCAGTTTAAAATATTTTGAAATTAGCGCACGGAGATATAAACAAAAATATTCTCCTGAACATTATCTCTAGTTCTAATTAGTTCAAAATTTCGCCAGTAATATTTTTTCTTATACAGGGTGTATGATAAACTGTGTCAACCCTTGAAGGCATGTATACATATAAGTATAAGCTTATTATAAAAAATAGTATAACTTAAAAAATATCAAGCAGAGGTCAGTTACAGTGCATAGGCTAAATAAATTTTAAATCGACATTATTCGAAAAAATGTACCAAACATCTGACTCATACAAAGTCAAGACACCGTATTGTCGCAACGGCGCGTGCGTGACCCTTGACCGCGGGCGCCGGGCCGCCGGCGTTATTATTACTATTCTGTTAGTTGTTCGAATAGAGATTTGAAAGTGTAAAAATTTGTTATATCGATAAATATTCTATCGACATTTTCAATATTGCTATAAATAGTTATGCTTTTCACATTAAAATAATTTCATTTAAAATAACTTTTATCTTCTATATATATAAAAATGGATTGCTGTTCCTTAGTCTCGCTAAAACTCTAGAACAGCTGAACGGATTTATCTTATCTTAGTCTTGAAATGTTCGTGGGGGTTCAGGGAAGGTATAAAAGCTGAAAAAAATTTATTCATTACTGGGAAAACCATAAAAACAGCCCTTTTCTATTTCCCATACAAACGTTTTTTTTGACATTAGATTTGACAACAAACTAATATGTCAATCATTCTGTTCGATTGAAACAGGAGAAACCGATTATTAATGGCCTTTAAAACGGAATAGAGTTCGCCCGGTCAGCTATACATATATTACTAATGATGAAATTAACGCGGACGAAGTCGCGGGCAAAAACTAGTTAATAATAAATATTATAATTTGAAACTTGTTCAGGTAAATTAACTACATATTATGTTGTATTATTAGGATAAATCGTTAATCTATTTCTGTTAAAAATGGTGTTTTACAATCAAACATAATAATAATGTTTGATTTATCAAAATAAGTATCGAAATAATATGAATATTAAATATTTATTTATTGTTATGATTTTTTAAATATCGATATTTTCAATAATGTGAAAGTAATTTCAAGGTCGTCACTAGTAGCGCAGCAGCTGTGATGACGTCATTGCGTGTCATCGTGTTATACCAGGGTTTACAAACATTTTGTTACTCTACATATAATAATCATTTAATATTTAATTTTATTATTTTTATTGAAGAGTTTGTAAATGTAAGTTGTTTTATTGTGTTACATTATCGATACTGATAACGTAGTTAAGAGGGTTGACACAGTTTTTCATACACCCTGTATATATTATCTATACTAATATTATAAAGCTGAAGAGTTTGTCTGTTTGTTTGTTTGAAAGCGCTAATCTCCGAAACTACTGGTTCGAATTGAATAATTCTTTTTGTGTTGGATAGTCCAGTTATCGAGGAAGGCTGTAGGCTATATAACATCACGCTACGACCAATAGGAGCAAAGATATAGTCGTAAATGTGTAAAAAACGGGAGAAATTATTTCATCTTTGAAGCATTCCGTTGCGTGCGCCGTGAAAACGGTTCAAGATACACAAAAAATATGTATTAAAGAATAATTGCTCTTTTAATGATCTAAAAAACAGTCCGCGACATTATATGTCTATCTTTTAAGATTAACTCACAAAAACCGTTTTTATGGTACCTAATTTGGTCGAAATAATTTGTTTAAGTTGTATCAACATAATAATATTAATCTTTATTCAAATAAACAAATAAATATGTTGTTGGTTAAGAGTACTTCATTTTGAATAAAAAAAACATAGGTTTTATCCTGAAAATTCTACGGGAACTCGACAATTCCGAAAACCCCGCAAGAACGGGAACTATGTGAGAAGAACCAAAAATCTGCCGGAAGTCACTATTCCACGCAGACGAAGTCGCGGCAAAAGCTAGTCTACCATATACAGATAGCAATCTGCTTATATATAAATGTATACTAAATGCATTCCATTTAGAATTGTTATCAGGAAGACTAGTACAATGCTTTGTTGAATAATAAGACATTCTATTTCAATGGATATAAATCAGAAAGTATTTATCTATGTAGAGAAGCTGCATAGGACCATAAAAATCTTTGTATTACAACCGTATAGAGCTCTTTCAACAAGCTTTCTAGAAACTATATATAACTTCATGACCATACAACCAAGTGTGTGAGTGTCAGTTCATTAGTTATATATAATCAGTACACTATAAAGACCTATCGATACTAAATATTGTTCTACCCACCAGCGTATTTATGTATGAGCACTGTTTTAATCCCCAGCCGGCGGGCCACGCTACACGCGTGTTGTCCGCCCGCTCCTCCAAAACACGCGAGGGCGTGGGCGCGGGCGTCGTGACCACGGGCTGTGGTCAATGACCTGGGGGGAGAATATAGAGGGGGGGGGGGGTTAGAATATACAAGAAAATATACTATATGTATACTATACTAGAAGACCCGGCGAACTTCGTATCGCCCTATAATCAAGAAATATCTGTTACGTTTTCTTATTTATATTTTTGGAATTTACCTCTTAAAGCCATAAATCTCCGTGTTTTGAAGTGCGACAGAATTATTGACATATTAGTTAGTTGTCAAATCTAATGTCAAAAAAAAAGTTTGTATCAACAACTACTAATAAATAAAAGTTAATTAAAAAAACATTGTCCAGCGGACAAAATTGTGATTCTTAACAATTCCCAGATCTCCTTGAACACACACAAAAATTTCATCAATATCGGTCCAGTCGTTTGAGTAAAGTTCGGTGACATACACACTCATAGAAGAATTATAAATATAAAGATATAGGGTTGTCGACGCGATTTGTGTCTTTGTAAATTGAATGTAACTTATTTAAGGTATTCTGGTTTAAAATAATTTTTTCTTTGTTAAGTTTTAATTTGTTATTTAAGTACAAGCTTTAAAAGACAACTTTTTTTTCTGATGATTTTTTTAGAACCTTAAATATATATACTTTAATTAAATAGATGGCGTTATTTTGATATTTAAGTAAGATAATATTTCCCGGTGTTTATTTAAGTCAGGTCTGAAGACTTCTCCATTTGTAACTACATATTTAAATATAAATTATACATGATTTTCTCTAAGTTAAATTCTTCGTCTGGATCATAAAATACAATAAATAAACGAAATCGTTTATACTTTGTTATGGGACAAAAATATTCCAATTAAAAAATCAACTTAAACTAAGAGATAATAGTAATTAACTCGTTACATACATACTATAATTATAATATAAATATATTGTACAGTGACTTTAATCTTTTTTCTTAATAAATGTATATTACCTGATCGGTCGACACATAGCCTCGTTAGCGACATTAATGAATCCCATCGCTACCTCCTCCAATGACATCTGAATATAGATTTTAAAACTCAATTATATAATACATCATTAATTAATTATTTCTCAATTAAAATAAAATGGTCACTAATGAATATATTTTTAAAATTCTTCATAGTCTTTACAAAAAGATTCTATCAAAGGTAAAGAAATTGTATGGGTGTTCTGAGATAATATGTAATATCAATAGTAACTACAGATTTTACTAGGACATAATGATAACATATGTTATACGCAAAATAAATATATAGGAATTTTCTATGTTAAAAATATATGAGTATAAAAATATATGACTTGATATTTATTTGCAGCCAACGGTCGTATCATCTTTGTAATATTTGTAGCAAATGTAGTTATAATATACTAGCTTCGCCCGCGTGGAGTTCGGTTATATCGCGTTTCCAAGAGAACCTTTCAAAAGTCTGTGATAAAAACTATCCTATGTTCTTTCTCAAGGTCAACTCTATCTCTGTACCAAATTTCATTAAAATCAGTTCAGTGGTTTAGGCGTGAAAGCGTAACAGACAGACAGAGAGAGTTACTTTCGCATTTATAATATTAGTAGGATATGTATGCCAACCTCTTTGTTTCCTTCCTGTTTTAAGAACGCGTTTATTTCCGCCGTCATTTTCTTAAAGCCGGTGATCGTCGCTTCTTTATCCAGTGGCTCGTTCTCCGCGGGACCGAAAATTTTTGGAAAATAATCAGGACGAAGTCGACCTAGTTTAAAAATACACGAAAAATATGTAAGGTAATTTTTTGGAAGTAAATTATTAAGAAGTAAATTATTCTAGTTTGGCAGTAATTAATATGAAAAAATCAAAAAAAGGCCTAGTATGAAATGAAAAAAAATTAGTACCATAGAATAGAGCACGTATTTAATGTACCTATCCAAATAATATGAAGATTACAATGTCTAATATAATCAATTCTTTCTTATACTATAATTTCACTTTATAAGTGACTCAATATTAAAAAAGATTACTTAGAACCAAATGTATATCAAATACATATACATACTAATAGATCATTTAATTAATATATCTACCCAGTACCCAAAATATTATGAAGATTAACTATTCTAATGATTTTTTCCCATACAATAATTTCACTTTATAATAGTCACAATCTTGGACTTTATATTATTATGTACTAGCTTTCCGCCCGCGTGGAGTTCGGTTATATCGCGTTTCCAAGAGGACCTTTCAGAAGTCTGGGATAAAAACTACCGTATGTTCTTTCTCAAGATCAATTCCATCTCTGTACAAAATTTCATTAAAATCAGTTCAGTGGTTTAGGCGTAAAGTAGTAACAAACATACACACACACTTACAAACTTTCGCAATTATAATATTAGTAGGTATATCTCACCTAGCAGTAAGTTAGCGTCAGTGACAGTGAGCGGGCCTCCTCGCCTGTAGCAGGCGGGCCCGGGGTGGGCCCCCGCGGACTCGGGCCCCGCAGACAACAGGCCTGAGAGGAATGATAATACGGACCCGCCGCCCGCTGCTACTGTGTTTATATCTGGAATATATTACTGATTATATATTAACTATTATGTTGGGTATTATTAATTGGTAGTATATTTTTTTAACATTATTCTAATTATTATTGAAGGTTAATTTGTAGATATGGCTTAAGCCTTAAAACTTGCACTTTATGATACATACACACACACACAAGCACACTTACAGAATCGCAATGGCTATAGCAACCATTTTATACCTTGATTAATGGACTCTTCACGTTTTTGTGACATCTATACTATGTATTTAATGAGTATGTGTTCTTAAATACTACATATAGCTGCACAAGATATAGTGGGTTTTAATATGGGGAACTTCATTTTGGGGTTCCGTAATAAATAGTCTAACTATAAAGTGAGTGTGGTTCCGTATTTATAACCTAGTTGCGGCGCCTGTATAGTGACCCCGGCTGTAGTGGCCTCGTGCACATGCTCCAAGGATCCCGCGTACCGAGAAACGTCCGTCGACGTACCGCCCATGTCGAAACCTAAACATATAACGTGGTACATAGTCATTAATAATGTATGGAATATGAGAACAATATATAATTACTAATATCATAGTGGCCTAAGTAACTTAAACATTAAATGTATATTCATAAATGTACCATGATTATTAATAAGCAATCACTAAAAAAATATTTAAATATCACAAGAACACATTCTAATTTTATGTATTTGTGTAAACTGTAAATAAAAGCTTTTTATATAAATATCTATTAAATATTTGTTTGACATATCTCTGTATACCTATAACTGGTAGACCGGTTTGTTTGTTGTATGAAGTTAGTGCGTAGCCCACCACGCCGCCGGCCGGTCCGGATAGTATCGCACGTGAACCATTGAACCTTTAATATTTATAATATTCATTTATAACAGTAACACTTTATATATTACAATTCATTAATTAGTTGTCTATTGCTTAAAAAAATCCAAGCAAAAGTATTGATAGCGAAAATAATATCCGAAAGTGTTGAGATTTAAAAGAATGTTTATGTTACTTTCTATTAAATAAGGAATTAACTCTTTTCTTTCTTTAGTCTTAATAGAATTTACATGACATTTATTTTGAAAAGATTGATATAAATTCACAAAAAACCTTAAAACCTACAACTTATCTAAAAATATCACACATAATATGCAGTAGAATATAAAAATCTCACTGAATAGCTAGGTCCCAAAAATAAAACAGTTAGAAATACAAAACTCCGTTGAAAAAATCTATGCAAATTTTAAAGAGTAATTTATTATTATATTTCAAATAATAATCACTTAAACATTACTGGTACAAAAAAAAAATGGAGGAAAATATATATTAAAATATTCATATAACCCACATGTTCATAGGAGTAAGTCCTCCATCCGACTGCATGAATAGTACATTGGTGTTTTTCAGAGCATCTGTAAACCCGCTGGAGAAACTGGTCACGTACTCCCTTATGTGAGGAGTGAGGTACGCGTCCGCTGATGCTGTGTAGCCTCTGGGAACTATCCTGACCATAGACATCACCGCATGAGATAGAGACACCTGGTTGAAACCTGTTTGACAAGATAAAATATTAACCAGAAAGAAAACATATGTATATAGATAGGGCTGAAAACATACATTGTATGTAGATAAGGATGAAAATATACATATATTGTATCTAGATAAGGCTGAAAATATACATTCTATATAGATAGGGCTGCAAATATACATTGTATGTAGATAAGGATGAAAATATACATTGTATGTAGTTAAGGCTGAAAATATACATTGTATATAGATAGGGCTGAAAATATACATTGTACATACATAAGGCTGATAAGCATGGTATTTAAAAGGCTGAAAAAAGGTTATAATACCTAATTCCTCAGCAATTCTTCCAATCTTCAATTCGTGATCCCTGTATGTATAGCTGTGAGCTAGTACCACAGCTATACTGTCTATCCCTTTCTCTCTTAAAGCCGCCAGATCTCTCCGCACTTCTTCCTCATCAATATCCTTCATAACCAACATCTTTTGACCCGTAGTTCCTATAACTTCCTTCCAATCCAGTTTAGATTTGTCAATCTGACATCGATCTTCTAATGCTGGTATAACACGACAATCGATTTCCACAACCTCTTTGTAAAGAACGCCAGGACGTCTTATATTCTGATAAAATAAAGAAATAATTAATTTTACACTAAAACAAATTATTTTTCAATAACCTTAATATGGATGCTACTGTAGCTATTAAAATTAGATATTTTATTATCCGTCTAGATTTTACACTCTTGATTGACAAATAAAATAGCATATATACAACAACATAGCTATGCAAAATTTATGAAAAGAAAATACAATACATTATACAAAGCATATCTACTTTACCAGATCAAATATATTTGGCCGAGCCTGATTTCCAATGAATAAAAGATCTTTAAATCCTTTGTTAATGACAAGAGCCATTTCTGCTCCCTTCCTTTCTAATAGAGCATTAGTTGCGACTGTTGTACCCATCCTAATAGATTCTATGAGAGATGAATTGACTTTTCCATGTTCGTCTACTGCATTACCAGTTTCCTGAAATATAATTGATAAAAATGTAAAATTTCATAAAAAATACCATAAACACTGTGACTGCTAAATTTTAACGCTTTCAATGGAGGTAAAGATAAAATAGAGTACTTAAGATTCTATATATATTCTAAAATATAATTATGTTTAATCTACCTCATGCAATATCCGTCTAATAGCCTCTCTCGGTGCATCATCATAGTTTTGGGGATCCACTGATAAAAGTTTCATAACACGAATTTTGCCATTCGGACACTGAGCATATACATCGGTAAATGTACCTCCACGATCAATTGCAAATTGAAATCCTTTTGGTTTATTCATTTTTCAAAATGCTGTAAAACTGTAATTCAAATTTGGAATATGTGATTTCAACAACTAAGCAATGATCTATAAATTAAAAATTATAAATATCTTCAAATGTTAAAATAATGTTTAAAAAATCTTATTCTACTACTTTATGTTATCAGAATGATTTAGCTGAATCTAATATAAAACAATAGTAATTTATATAAAGATGAATATGTAATAATTGTGTATTGTTTGTTTTTTATGAATGATAAATTATTTCTTGTTCTTACTGAGATAACAGAAGATGAGGCATGGGTTAAAGATAATGGAACTTATCAAATAGTGGAACTAATAGATATATGTGCTAATACATTATTACAAAAAATTGCTCCATAATTAATAAAAAAATCTGTTATATTTTTAATATCTTACTTATCTTTACATAGGTAACAGTTAGAATGAAATTAATTTTAATTTTTTTTTATCTTATTTTTATTTCAATCAACCAACTACAGGTCTATAAAACTTTATATTTTTTTTTACAATTTATTATTTTTATTTCGTGAAAGTATAAGCAAACTGAAATTATATTATGTAAAATTGATAATATACTTACGAATATAAGATACTTCTATATTAATTGCACAAGGTACTACTCCTATTCGATTTTTGAGTTTAAATAAGACAATTGATAATAGACTAACAGTGATAAAAATAATAATAGTTACAAGGCTAACCTTTTCTAACGTCATAAAATACGACTTAAAAAACAAACTAATATACCGATTCAGAATACACCTGAAAACTTCATCTGTTTTTAATTTTAAATTAAATTATAGTTTTTCTCTAATTAAATAGAATATCATTAGTAAAAATTTATTACATATTACATATTTCTTATAAATATATTGAACGTATCTGTTAACAGTAAACATAACCTATCTTTTAAAATGTCAGTAGTTACGAATCACTGTCAAAACGTTGTTAGACTTAGGTTAGTTTTCAAATTTAATGCTATTTTATTTACGCTCAAGAAGATATATTTCACTGGGTGAACATATTAGAAGAATGGGTAGACGAAACAGAAATGTTAATAAATTCGCACAACGCAAAAGAGAACGGAAAGAACAGGTAAAACTATTAATATTTACGTTTAAAATGATTATTTAAATAAAATGCTTGTATTTTAATAATTTTTTTAAGGAAAAAAATCCTCAAGAGAAACCGGCTGACACGCGAAAGCATTATGAAGATATTGTGCGTGAAAATGCAGTCTTCGAAGAGTATTATAAGGTAACAAAAAATACTTACATATTATTTATTTATTACTGAAGAAAATAATTATATATTTAATGACAGGCGCAGAAAGTTTGTCCTGATGATGAATGGGATGACTTCATGAAAGCTATCAAGAAAGATCTCCCAACAGCATTCAGGATAACTGGTTCCAAATGTGAAACAGATGCCTTACTCAATATAGTGAAAAGTCAATATTTCTCAGATATATTGAATCATAAACTTAAGTTGGATGATGAGAAAGAAGAAGAGGAAATCAAACCGGTTAACTTGCCATGGTGAGTAGAATGTTTAATATAATTTTGGTTCTTTTTAATGTGCATAGAAATGCTATGTTATTTATTCTTACATTATTAAAAAATAAGATTATTCTTGGGTTTCTTGGGTTACAGAAGAGGTGCTGAATAAGTCTCTGACATAATTTTGTTTATTTGCTTGAAATATATATTTCTTTACACAAATTATAAAAAAATATTATGAAACAATATATATAATTTTTTACTGATTATGAGAAATTCCTTAACACACTGTTTCCAAAATAATAAATTTAAAGTTTTTATCATTATACATATATAATTTTTAAGCTTATTATATCCAATGAAACTTCTGTTCAAAATTTAATAACCTAGTTTCCATATAAAATAAATTAATATGAAACCTTAACCTTCTTCTAGGTATCCCAACTTCTATTCAAAGTGTTATTACTTAATTTTCATATAAAATAATATTAAATCTTTATCTTTCAGGTATCCCGGAGGTCTAGTGTGGCAGCTACCAGTGTCTCGGACACATATCCGTCGGAATGAACCACTTTACCGTCTTCATAACTTTTTAGTCGCTGAAACAGAAGCAGGCGGTGTTTCACGACAAGAGGCTGTATCTATGATACCACCTGTTGTGTTACAAGTCCAACCACATCATAAGGTTTAGAATACTTATTATATACATTTAAAATATTAAATTTAAATGACAGAACTTATAAAATAAAATGATTTACCTTGACATCATATTATAAACTAGTATTTTCAGAATTAATTCCTGTTTTGGTTACTTTGCGGTAAGTTTGATCATGGGCAGAAGTAATCATTGTTCTTATAAAACATGTAGGAAATCTGAATATTAGTTTTATTTAAATGAATTCTCATCAAAGTCTTGATCTCATTATCACAATTCAGACAACACAGAAATACTGAATTGTTATATTATATATTGTTTTTTTTTTAACTGTGTATATGTATATACAATGTTCATTTAATATACAAGTATACATATAATTTTCTCTGAAATGTTATGCTGCCAATTTCAAGCTTATATTTCAATAAAATCTATTTTTATTAGGTATTAGATATGTGTGCTGCACCAGGCTCTAAGACTGCACAACTGATTGAGTTCTTACATTCTGAAGAAGACAAAATGCCTACAGGTATATCTAATGAAACACTAGGATTGATGAATGTCAAATATTTTATAGGAATAACTCTAATTCATTATAATACTGAAATAACTTATTAATATTGTTTAGAAGTCTATTTATGTATAAAGAATTATGTATAAATAAAATGAAAATTTATATATTTCAGAAGCATTATTTTGGCTTACTTACACAACACTACTCTGAACAAAGTACTGAAAATATACATATAGAAAAACTCTAATTATTATTTGTTTTTCAAATCATATAATTATATAAAAATATACTCTCATATGATAATCAATATGACTTCCTACCATCTATCAAATATAAATTAATTTCATTCATAATATAAATGTATATATAAATGATAAAGTAAATCCTATACTAATTGGAGTTATTTTTCCAGGTTTCGTGATGGCCAATGATGTAGACAACAGTCGTTGTTACATGTTGGTGCATCAAGCCAAGAGGTTGAATTCACCATGCATCATCATCACCAATCATGACTCAGCAGTACTGCCATCACTCGTTGTGAGTGATGTAGAGGTTTGTATGAATATTATATTCAGCCATTTTTTGTGATATTTACCAAACATTTGAATTTTTCACATAAATTTTGAGGTTGTGTGAAAAAAATGTTAGTACAAAAGTTTTAGATCTTTTTATTACCTACAACTTTGCCATAAAACTTATTTCCGTAGGACTTTTAGTTTTGTCGGAAATCGAGAAAACCCATTTTTTACTCTTAAATACCCACCCCCATACCCTTCCCGGCCTCAGATCGCCCATAAATTATTTTTCCTTCATTCTACATACTATAATTTAATTATGTTTTAAAAGCTATCGGCACTGGTCTATTTATCTTATTTCGTTGGACGGCTCATTTGAATTAATTGTGACGTCACTTACATAATATAAATGTCTATAGAACCCTGGTGCGACGAAGCCTCTCAAGTTCGACCGTGTTCTGTGTGATGTTCCATGTTCAGGAGACGCCACATTGAGGAAGAACCCTGATATATGGACGAAATGGTCGACCGGGAATGGAAATAACTTACACGGGTAATTATTAACATACCATAACGTTTGTATTTGTTTCACACAAGCAAAGTTTACTATCTGTATATTAATAGCACTGAAATTAAACCCAAATTAAATTAAGTCGCTAGAAAGCCTTTAAAAATATTATTTATAAACTTTGACTGTTAATCTCTTCATTTATTTTAATAAAAGTAAAAACTATTGGTTGGTTAATATTTCTTAATTAAAAAAGTGTTCTGTACCGTTAAAATATTCGTACTACAAAAAGTTAAAAGGACTACATCGACAAATATATAAGAAATATTATTCAATAGACGTAAGTAAGCTTTCTGTAACATTATTTTCACAAACATTTCCTTTAATGATGAGATCCAAGGCTTTCGCGAGTTTTATTCATTTAAATGAAACTAATATTTTTCGGATATACTACGCGCCTCTATTTTTGTAGAAAACTATATACTTCGGCTACTTTTCAGCGACCGTGATGACGGGCAGACGAGTTGTGAATAAAAAAATAAAGTCTTTAATATATCCGAAAAATATTAGTTTCATTTAAATTTCCTCTAAAGTACTAATACTTGGGTATTGTTCAGTATTCAGTACAGAATCCTTCGTCGTGGTGTGGAGTTATTGGCTGTGGGTGGAAGACTAGTTTATTCTACGTGTTCCTTCAATCCCGTGGAGAATGAGGCCGTAGTACACAGACTTCTGCAGGAGACGGGAACAAGTGTGACCCTCGTGGATGTACAGGATCTACTGCCCGGGTTGAAGTTCCATAAAGGTATAGCCATTTATGCATGTTTTTTATTGTATGCTACAGTATAAGTCTTGACCCTGGCTAAAGCTGGGAAATTGCCAGGAAGAAGAAGAAGAGAGTGTAAGTCTTGAGAGTAGCAAGGGACAGGATCAATTAAAAGGATTTGCAGCATTTCTATGGCAAAAGGCACACCAACCTTTTTGTAACCATTGTCTACTTGTTTAGGAATAAAAGGCTATTATTATTATTACATTATAAGTCTTATGATAGACTTTTTTTCGGTTTTATTTGATATTCTTTAGGGAACAATAATTTATATATAACCTCCTTTTAATGTTATCTTACCTCTTTTCCTAGTACATGATAAATAAGAAAGTTAGTGAAAAAGTATGAATTTCTGTTGTGCTGTTACCCAGACACTGCTTTATGGATTTTTATGCAACTTTATAATATCAGTATATTATAAACGTTATCATTAATCCCGGAATTTCATGAAGTTCATTCGCTTGATCACTTCGTAGCAATTCTTTTTTGCATTTGCAATTCTTTTTAACACACTTTTTCCTTTAACTTTTCCATATAAAGTTACCGTAAAAAAAACTATTGTTATATACATATATAGACCTTACTAATTTTTCATCTATAAACACTTTCTACAGTCTCTTAAAGGTCATATATATTATATTTCCCTAAGGCATGACCCACTGGCGACCGGCGTCTAAAGACATGGTGTTCTACAACAGTTATGATGAAGTACCAGAGAAGTGGCAGACGGTCGTCAGGCCGCAGATGTTCCCTCCTAACACTGAGGACTTGGACAAATATAATCTGGATAGATGGTGAGTTAGTTATAGTTATATTAGTAACAATATACTATATATATATATATATATATATATATATATATATATATATATATATATATATATATATATATATATCAATCAGAGCTATGTAATTTCTAATGTATGTGTCGAAATATTCTATAAAGGAATTAGGCTTGACTTCTTAGTTTTAATGTTGTGCTTTCGTGGTGTATACTATAGTGCAGTACTTAAGTTCATTATGTTTTTTGTATATTTCTTAGTATGTTAGTTTTGATGGCCCTACACACCCAACGTTTAATTTTCATCAAAATCATTAGAGCTTTTAAGTGGAATTTTTATTACATTCTAGGTACAATTGCTTACTGTTTTGTATGAACATTATCGCATGAATTTTAAGCTAAATTTACTTACAGTATGTTTAGTGGAAAAAAATGTGTAGCGATATCCCAGAAAATGTTTTTACTATTTATAATTTTTCTTAGAAGTATAGAATTTGACAAAATGGAACAAGTACTGAGAATTAAACTAAAAAAGATATGTAAATGAAACGAAAAACAAAACGTTGACTTCGATGTATGTGTGTGTGTTTTTCTATCATTCTTTTTTCATTTGATATCAAAACTCCTAGTAGGAAAATTATCGTTAAATGACAAATGAGTTGTGGGCTCTGAAAATTTAATAAAATTTTATACACTTGTTATATTCCAGTATAAGAATTCTGCCTCACCATCAAGACACTGGAGGGTTTTTCGTGGCAGTGTTTGAAAAAACCGCTCTCCTACCGTGGGAGAAGGACCCAAGTAAGAAACCGGATGTGGCTACCGATGAACCGGCAGAAGAACCGGAAAAGAAGGAACCACCAAAGAAGAGAAGAAGAATGGGTGGTTATAGAGAAGATCCTTTTGTATTCTTCTCTGGTGAAAATGAAGATGTATTCCCTTCTATCAAGGAATTCTACGATCTTGATACAAAATTCGACCCTACTTGTCTATTGACAAGATGCCATGTTGGGAAAAAGAAGAATATATATCTGGTGTCACCCATGGTGAAAGAAGTTGTACAGAGAAATGAGAATAGTATTAAGATTATAAACACAGGCGTTAAAACGTTTGTTAGATGTGATAATAAGAATATGAAGTGCCCATTTAGGTGAGTGGGAGTTTGTTAATATACTTGTTTTATATAATTAATATTATTCTTTACTAGCTGCGCCCCGCTGTGTTACCCGCGGATATCCGAGATTTCCGGGATGAAAAGTAGCCTATATGTTATTCCTGGACGTCAGCTTCCTGTATACAAAATTTTATCAAAATCGGTTCAGCCGTTGGAGCGTGAAGAAGTAACAAACATACACACACACACTCACAAACTTTCGCAATTATAATATTAGTAGGATTAATAAGACATGTAGTTGAAACTTAGAGAAATATGTTTATTACTATAAAATTTTTATGAAAAAGTTTATTTTCAACCTAGTCAACACATTTAAAATTGTGTTGTAAGAATTTTTTATTTCGTTATGTTAGTTTTTGGTTAAGACTAATTAATAATTTTAAAGTAATTATTACTGAACATTACTTTACATTGAAAGGGCTGTTTCTGTATTTTCTCATGATTTTAGACTTAAATTTACTCCAAAGCCCTATAGTGTAACAATTTAATTGTTCCCTCAGGCACTTTTTATGCTAGTATTGATATATATACAGAATTTGTAATGAAATTAAACGGATCCAAACGAACAAAAACCGGAAATTCCTCATATCGATTTTCACGGCATACCACCAACGTTAGACGAAATAAGTAGTCACATAAAGAGGAAATCATCTAAATCTGCACCGGGCCCCGATGGTATCCCATATATAGTCTTTAAAAAATGTCCATCGGTTCGTAAACACCTCATAAATATATACGGCAAAATCTGGTCAAGGAAGCAAATCCCGGAGTGTTTCGGGAAAGCAATGTTTGTCCTCATTCCCAAAAAAGATCGAGTTACCGATCCGAAAGATACTAGACCGATAGCCTTAACAAATACAATATCTAAAATCTTTTTCTCGGTCCTACAAACGAGAATGACGCGATTCATGCTCAGCAATAAGTATTTTAGGCCAAATCACCAGAAAGGGTTTCTACCCGGGATTTCTGGATGCCTAGAACACAACACCTTGCTGTCGGAGAGTTTGAAAGATGCTAGGAAAAGCGAGCGGCAAATTACAGTTTGTTGGATAGACTTAGAGAACGCGTTCGGGTCGATACAACACGAGTTGATGCTATTCGCGCTTAGATGGTATAACTTTCCACCCTTAGTTAGCGATATGATTGCGTCGTATTACTCAAAATTAAAGTTTTCTATTATAACTAAAGAAGGCCCTTCAAAAAGTTTGAGTTACAATGTAGGACTATTCCAAGGGTGCTGTTTATCGCCAATAGTATTTAATATTGTAATCAATATCCTAGTAGATAAACTTATCAGCAATGAGAAAAAATGGGGGTATCGGTTTAAGTTCAATAACAAATACACGGAATCCATTTTAGCCTTCGCTGACGATCTCGCAATACTGACACGTCACCCCAAACACTGTCAAGTACTATTGGATGAAGTGGCTAAATTCTGTGAGTGGACGGATGGATTGAGGACAAAACCAAGTAAATGTCACTGTCTGTGTCTTGGTAGGCGGAATACAAGATACACCTCATACGATCCGGGACTATCGATAGGCGGTCAATGCGTTTCTACGGTTACGGAAAATGCACCATTCAAGTTTCTCGGTCGTAAGATTGATAATATAGGACGTACTCCATCTTTAGAAGGAATAGTAGATAGCTTTTTAAATGATCTCAACAAGGTAGATAGCCAGCAGATCAGTAACGTAAAAAAAGCATGGATCTACGATAATTACTTAACTTCACGTTTGAATTGGCCTTTCCTCGTCTATGATTTTAGTAAAACCCTTTTATCTAAATTAGATGCAGGCGTCATAAAGATGTTGAAGTTGTGGCTCGGGCTCGCGCTAACGGCTGATTCATCGGCTTTATTCAGGGATCGTAATAGTTTTGGGATGAATCTAAAAAGACCATCGGAGCTCTACAAACACCTAAGAGTTTCCAAGAGACATATCCTGGGAAAATCCCATGATGACGTCGTTACATCACTCCCAAAAGACAATGATGCCCCAGAGCTAGAGTCACGACTTCTATTCCATAAACAATTTATGATCGGAGCGCAAAATAACAGAGTAGGGTTAGGATCAAGTAGGAAAGTCCAAGATACGGATATATTGAAGTCTTTTATTCGGCAAGACGAGAACGATAAATACAAGATCCATGCAATGAGTTTAGAAATGCAGAACGAGTGGTTAGACATAGGAGATTTTTGCATTCCACTAGCACTAAAATGGCGCACCCTAATTCATGACTGGTCGCCAGCCTTGCTAAAATTTTATCTCAATGCGTTCCAGATGACTCTCCCAGATCAGAGTAATTTAGTAAGATGGGGTAAAGGTACCGAAAAAACTTGCTATATCTGCGGAAAGAAAGTTGGAACTGCCAAGCATATGCTGGTGGGATGTAAGGTTCTCCTGGACAGCGGTCAATACTCGCGTCGTCACGATAGGGTTTTAGAGATCATACGTGAAGCGGTTAGTCTTTCGGTAGCCAGAGCGCAAAGGGAAATAACCACAAACGAGCGATCAATAGGTTTTGTGAGAGAGGGCACCAGGGCTATAAAATCAAACGTCAAGCCTTACTCTATCCTTAAAGCGGCTTCGGATTGGACTATCATGATGGATACGTATGAGAAACAATACAAAATCCCCGAGGATATTTGTGCATCGGCCTCCAGACCAGACATATTTCTGTATTCGCGTATTTTAAAGCGCGTTGTGATGATAGAGCTTACGGTGCCTTGGGAAACCAACATCCCCAAAGACCATGCCATCAAGGTCAATAAGTATTACGAGCTCACTAACGAACTAACTCGAAATAGGTTCGTCGTTGATTTGTACGCGGTAGAGGTGGGAGCGAGAGGTATAACAGCTAAATCTCTCTATAACCTACTAAAAGACTTGGGCCTGTCCAGAACTAACATTAATTCATTCTTGGAACGTACGTCGAAGGCAGCCCTAGTAGGTTCTTTTCAAATTTGGTTAGGTAGGGAGAGGAGCTTGGACAGTGGAGGTGAGCGTATAACGCGCGTTAGTTAAGGGGCCCCTTAAACCTACACCTGGGTCGCAAGTCCCAGGCACTGTTGAAGCTCCTCTCCCTGCAACGCGATGGACCCGGCACCCGCACGGTGAATCCATCGAATGCTAAGAGGTTTCGTCTTTTATATAATTTCTCTACAAGTATATTATATTTTTAAATTTCAGATTATCTCAAGAAGGTCTTCAGAGTATAGCCCAGTACATCGGTCCAAAACGACGCGTGACTATTCTTAAAGAGGATCTAATACAGATACTACAGTGTGACAACCCTAGCAAACCATCAGAACTAAAACTATTCACAGAACACACACAGAATATGGTGAAAGATTTTGGTAAGTTGAAATCTTTATATGTGACTTTTGTTTATAGAAAAATGTAGTGGAGCGAAAATATACTTTAGCTCAGTTAGAAAAATGTTAATTATTACATATAGGAGTCACTCCATATAAATATTTTGTTATTTAGCTTTAACTCACAATGAAATTTGTCAATAACTATGCAAAACCCCTTAATTAGTCAAGGGCTACCAGATTATTAAGTCTTGCTTAATTCAACAAGGTTGCCTATATATTAGGGTTGCCAAATTCATTACCACTGCCTATTTCAGCAGGGTTGTCAAATTTAGGGCTGCCAGTGTTTTGAGAACTTTATTCTACTCGATTTATCAGGAGTAGATAGATTTATTGGGTTGTCAGATTCATCTGCTTTCATTATAAACCACATCTTTACCTTCAGCTACTGGTAGTTGCGTGTTGGAGTATAAAGATACGTCGTCAGGGTTGTCACTCCGCCTGGTCGGTTGGCGAGGGGTTCACTCTCTACGAGCATACACCGCCGCCCCTGACACCGTACACTACTTGAGACTGTTGGGAGCTGACTACAGCAAATATGGTATGATAATAATACTTATATTATGTTAACTTAATTAACTTCTTAGTATACCTGAATTACATTTTCTGTTTGTTTGATATCTAATTGCTAATTCAGGTAAAATAAATATATGTTGTGGCAACCCTAAATTAAACAATAGGAAAATTGTTGCAAGACAATTACTTTACAAAAATACATAATGCGATATAGTTTTAGTATATAAATATGTCATCATCAGTATTGGCCTAATGCATGAGGGAGGTTCGATCCTAGCAAGTACCAATGTGATTTTTCCGAGTCATATTTACTTTCTGAGAATATTTAGACATCACTGACAGACGGTGAAGGAATCATCTTGAGGAAACCTGGACTTATATTTTCACTATTATAAGTTTGAAATCACCAACCCTTCTCCATGTGGGAAGAGGCCTTTGCCCAGCTGTTGTATCTGATAGGCTGATGACGATACAAATATGTTATTTCAGATGTAAATAAGTTCAAGAAGGCTTCAGAAGTCCCCAAGGATGATAGTATTGAGGCTAGTGAATCCGCTTCCACCAGTGAGAATGATCCCAACAAGACAAACGCTATGGAGACTGAAGAAGGAATGAATGTTACATGACAATAAATGTTTTATACATACATTATATTTTTATGACATAAAATTTGTTTTATATGAATGTAAACCTAAGTATATAAGCTTATGAATGCTTAATTATATATTGAAAAATAAAAACTGATATAAATTTGTAGTATTTTTTACTTAATTTTATATATTATAATATAATAATAAATATTCATATTATAATAAATTTTTATACAACATGTAACATAATTAACGCACACCCTGAAAGTAGTTTGTTCAGAATCGGTATCTGGATCGTTTTTTATAGTTTTTTATGTAGGTCATTTTTTTTTTTCTCAAATTAGTTAGAACTAAGTAAATTACAGTCATCCTACGCACGCAACACCAACAGCGACAGTCGGCACACATCAAATACCTACGCACGTGTCCATTGACCTCCTAGATCAGCTGATTTGACGCCACTCGACTTTTTTTGTGGTGTCTTATCAAATCACGCGTTATCAGCTGTTTAGTAATTCTTATTTACAAATTTAATTTAACAAAACAGTAATTATGAAATATTGGCTTTACATTTAAAAAAAAATTCAATGTCGACAAATTTAAGCCTGAAAAGTGTGATGGAAAGAAGAATCATAAATCATAATGTAGTTATTTCGTGTTCTTATTATTACCTACTACTTATTATTGTCGGACGGCACTCGGAGAGAGGGACGCGGGCGCGGCGAGTACATTGTGTCTGTCTGTGTGTGCAACACACAGTGTGCATATTATTTCAACAAAATTGGGATAACTAATTTCACAAACAAAAAATGCAAACGCACATATAAATAATATTTGGTGTATGCCTTGCGTTTGTATTATTATATTCTAATTGGGGTGTTTGAGGGTGTGCGTTAATTACGTTACACGATGTATATGTTTGAGTGTAAATTAAACAAGTTTCAGAATTCAAACAATTTATTCACCTGATATTTAAATATCGCTTCAGCGATAGCAACTTGTTGGCTGTAGTGCTGTTTAAACTAAAAAGTGCAATTTATCGTATACACAATTACATATACGTTGAAAAACATACATTACAAGCATCGAAGAAACAGTTCTTGTAAAAAAACATATATGTATAAACGATTACAGTTAAGTAAATAGTGATTTGTCGTTTTTGTTGCTCAGTTTCTCTCGGCCATTTTGATCTCAAGATAAATATTTCTCGATGTTTTTTTTATATTATCAAAGATCATTGCACTCTTAAAATTCTTATGAGTTTTTAGAATGAGAATTATAACATTACACAAAGTAATGAAAGAAATATGTTTAGTATGTTTGAATCTAATAAAATGAAAAACTGAACTAGTAATCGACAAGTCACTATTTTCGAAATTCATATGGTTAGGTTACTTTTAGGTTTTTTGAATATTGAAAATCAGTTGTTGCAAAATATTTAGCAAAATATACATATAATAATTGCGAGTTCAGTTTCAAATTGACTCTCTGTTATGAATTAATCATCTCATGTCCTTATTTATAATTATAATCCATTCTTTAACATTGGATTATTGAAGCTCTTGACTCATCTTTATATTTTTTATTTTATTAAATTACATGACAGCTGTCAAAATTTTGTATGAATAACATATAACCTTTTTGGTTATACTCATGTTTTTTTTATTATTATCAAATTAAGTTGATGAATAATGGACAACAGTTTTACAGTAGGTTTAGACCTTAATGCAAAAACTCGTAAGTTTCTAAAGCGCTAAAGTAGATTGAGCGAACATTATATTTTATTAAACCTTCAATTTTGTTGCGAAAACAGTTTTCCTAAGTTTTTTTTTCTATATCAGTCCACACGTTCCTACAATACTTTCACCAATCCATTTTAATTACAGATTATATTCATATAATTTTAGAAAAGTTTCAAAATTAAAAAAACAATAGTATTTATTCAAAAACAAAACGGTTATTGTAGAGGCATATAATCACAATTATGAATTATATTTTCTTACATGGTCTGATGTACCTATAGAAATTACTTCCGAATATATGTTTTTTATTTCGTATAAGGAATTATACAATTAAATATTACTAAACAATTGATTGGTTTTATACACAGTTTTGTTTTTTTTTTATTTCATATGTTAAATCAAACAAGATAATCTCCTATTTACTTACTTTCGGTAATTATAAAATAATAGTTTATTTTATGACTTATTTTAATAAAAAAACTAAATGTATAAGGTGAAAGTGCTATTTGACATGTTAAAAAAAATAAAATATAAAATGTAAGAAAAAGATGCATGGATTGTTTCAATAAACTTATCATAATAAATTGTTAATGACAATGCCCTCAATATTACAAATAAGTCGAAAACAATAATTTTGTTTAAAAAAGTGACAATATCATATTATTTAGGTATAATAAATTAGCCAAGTGGTTTGTATAACTTAAATTTTCAGAGTTTATGTATGTTCCTAATATTGGGTTTAAAAAATAATAAAAATAATCTTATTTAAGTTGTTTACTTTCTTTTCTTGTGCTTCCTAAACGCGTTTATGAAATATCTAACTAATTTAAATACTTTTTTTGGCAGAATACATGGAACGGCCGGCTATTTATTTTAGAAATAATGTATATTAATTTCCTACATATTTAAAAAAGTAGTTTTGATATTCTGATTTATATTTTATTTTTATCTGTTCTGTATATAATGACAATTGCTAATTAACCTATAGATTACTATGATACTTCTACTAGGCTGCTACTGCCCACTAGTTTTATCATAACATTTACAATACTACGTCATTAAGTAGACTCTGTATGTTAAACACAAGTTCGCATAGTCTACATACGAAGCTTTTCCCGTTTCTCATTCAATAACTTATATTAATGCTATAATATATGACGAATTTTGTATAGAAAACTGTCAACGCTTCGTATGTATTAGACAATACAGACTTGAGCCAATCATACCATCATCTTAGTCTAAACTTCAATTAATATTATTGAAATAAACTTTAGAAACTTCCCTGTAGTCTTAATAAAATTATTCTGTAAAATAAGGCCATCTTGTTTTAGTTTTGATAAAATTATCAAAGGAAAAGTCATTAATTGTACTTAAGTAGGTACTCTCTTTTTTTATTACGTCTAATTTTAATTGAGATTTAAGAAAATGTAAAAACTGTTTTTTTATTAATGGCCAGTCATTGGGAGACGAAAAAAATAAAAGATGAAAGTACCTAACATTAAATAGTAATTATGTATTTCATTTTACGGACATTATCTTATTTACTTTTCAACTAGCATATTTTACAAGCAAAGGACTTTAGCTTTAATTTAGCTTAATGATTGCAAAATAATTCATTAAACTCACGTCCAAGCCAATACTGATGCATCAATGTTTTAAGCGACAGAAGGAAATCTCTATATCTATGTAAAACTATTTTATTCTAAACCATCAACTGAAGATCACTCCAATGAAATCCTTTTTCCGTATAAACCAACCCAATATCACAGTGGGTGATGTGGTTTCGTTAATCGAATTAATCTAATTATAATTAATTATTAATTATAATTACTTATAACAATTATCTTTCTAGATTACTGTAGTCGATTAAGCAACTATATCTCTATATACATGAAATACTTTGATAGGACGTATGAAGAGACGGTAATGCTCAGTCATTTTAGACTATTGTGTGGAAGGAGTCGCTAATTTGATTATAATAAAAGGATCTAATATTATAAATACACAACTTTGAAGTTGTGATAATAAGAACGCAATCGTAATTATAATTTTTGTAACTTTAGTATTTTACCATATTAAATGATAACTTTAACTCTATGCTCTTCATGATTGAATCAAATTGCTATTAAATAAATTGCAAATGGCGCCTCTGTGCTAGGCCTTATTCAAAAAGCTTCTATCTTATTCATAAAGAGCAGGAAATTTTAAAAAATATTTGCTGCCAGAATCTTATTTCTACTTCACAAAAATTTTATACAACTACCGGTATGACATAAAAAGAGGTCAAACGAATTGGCTAAATTGAATTATACTATAAATATTCCGTTTCACAATACGAATGTAGAAATAAAATAATAAACATTTGTAATTTGAGGCATTGTCATAAACAATATAGTATTTAGTTTGAGTAAATAAATGCAATCTTGTATCTACAAACTTAAGCCGTGGCCTACGAATATGATAAAAAAGAAAAAATATACAACCGATAAAATGTATTTAGTAAAAGTATTAAAAAGGTGCGTTATCAACATAGACGGAATGTATCAGAAGGACGGTAAATACGGACAATTAAACTATAATTATACAATTTCTTCGGTTTCTTAAACAAAAATATCAGCTTCCAAATACTTCTTAACCAGTTTTAAACTGAGTATGAAGAATAAGTAGACTTAAAGTTATATTATTCTGTATTAAATCATCCAAAACGTAGAAAAAGTTAGAAACGCGATAAATATATTAAGAACGTGCATATATACGAAATTGACATTCTGCAAACTTGGTACGAATTGAGTGGTTAAATTAATTCATAAAATAATTTTACTCATTTATCATATAATATACTATATAGAATATATTGCAATTGATGTTCAGATAGTATGAGATTTTGAAATTGTTTTAAATATTCTATAAAGCGGCCAAACTTAATTATTATTTTTATTATTATTATTTTTTGAATTATGTCTTCTCAGCAATTTGTCTGGTAACCTAATATGAAAGACTTTTTTATCTGTCTCGGTAAACATAAAAAATGTCCGCCATTAAAAGTAATTACAATTACATTTATACATAAAAGTAAATAAATAAAACACAACACTAAAACTACAACAGACAATAAAATATGACAAAAAACAATTAGCTAATACTTTCTATGAAACAGATAAACAACTTAACCGCCATATTTGTAGTAGTTCACTAAACAGTGCTCGGTCGAACAGTACAATTAAAAACTAAAATTGGTGTAACCATTTAAATATTAATGCTAAAAAACACCATAACAAACAATAATTGCTAAATTCGTCAAATATTTAGCTGGCTTACCGTATTTTAATTTACATAATACGACAGTGTGTTCAATTAAGCCTTAGTATTTTGACTCTACCATATTTGGAACCTGTCCGCATATGTATTTCAAAGTTTCTATAACATTATTTAACGTAGATATTTCTGAATTAAATGAAAAAGGCTAGTATTAATGTTGGGTTAGTCGCGGGTTGCGAGGACATTGCATCAGATGACGTTGCCAAGGAAGGTCTCGAGCTAAGATGTTGGTCAAACAATATGGACACTTCCACTCGTCTAGGCCTAAAGCTGAAATACCAAACGAAATAATTATTATAAGAGAATATAAATATGTAGTATGTAATTCCTAACAACGGTGGTGAGGATAAAATCATATGTTTTATTTAGATTTTGTAATGGAATAAATAATTTTTTCAAATTTTTTATGATGTATCAACTTACGTGTGCAGTTGACGTGATATTCACTTTCGTCTGAACGTAAAGCCGCTCCACATTTCTGGCACGCCTTCCACAAGCCTTCGCTAAGAGAACATTCTTCTGCAAAGCATTAAGATTTTTTCATGAACATATGAAACTTCCAATATTAATCATTGTAGCAATAATAAATAAATTTTTGTACCTAATAAATGCGAGTGTAGAGCCCGTGCTTCTAAAGCGAGATGACAGTGTGGGCACCGAGCGAGTAGCACACACCTTCGCCAGTAGTGTGCCTCCAATGCAGCAGTGCGCACGCGTCTTCCACACCAGGTACAAGATGTGCTGATACAATATGGTTATCATTAAGAATTCATTTTTTAAGAATTAGTATTTTAATGGGATCTAAGACTTTCGCGAGTATTCATTTAAATGAAACTATTTTTTTTAATTACTCGCGTATTTTATTATTACAAAAACTATAAACTACATACTTCCGATGTTTCGGTTACTTTTCACCAACCGTGATTACAGGCAGGCGAGATGTGAATATCCCAATGAATAACATTCACATCTCGTCTTTTTTTATAATGAAAAACGCGAATAATCCGAAAAATATCTATTAGTTTCATTTAAATTAGTGTTTTAGTTTTTTTGTTTATTCTACTCAATGTCTACATTGTTAATGTTACCTTGTTACTGGCTCCGGCGTTGTTTCACTGCTAGCATCAGCTGCTACTCCTTCGTAAGCTTCGTATTGCTCATTGTTTTGCGTCTGCTGTCTTCGTCCTGTAACGTATAAGAAAATATATGAAAGATTTTCCTTTGAATTACACGAGGATTGATGAAAATATAAAATAATACTAACCTGGACTATAATAACCACTTTCATCCAACTGGCTCTGTTCATCCAAATGCAAATTTCTAACGCCGGCTACTAATTTTGGGGATTCCAAGCCCACATCTCTAAAGTAATCAGCCTTTAATTTCGGTGAATCCAAACTCCTGCTATCAGAATCACATCTCATATCGTTTCTCGACATTTGAGGCGAATCCATGGGAAGGGAATCCATGCTTCGATTGTCATTTTTGGAGTTCTTCGGCGAGCCTATAGTAGGGGAGTCTCTATACTCTAAGTGCAGAGGTTCGTAAACTGTGACTGGACGCTCTTTCAATTGAGGTTTAGACAAGTCATGATCATAGTGGATCATGGAATGGCGGTTTTCTAAGTTCTTATTCGTACGACGGAACACAACTTCCTCCGTTTGACGTTCCTGGAAATGGACCTAGTAAGAAAGTAATTATTTATTTGGTTTTATTTCTAAAGAAAAAATTAGAAATGAATTTGAGAAGTTTACCTTTTCATTCCCACCAACTGATGATCGTGGGGAATGTTTTGGACTGATGGCACTGTCAAGTCTTAGTTTGTTGTAGCCAGGATAATTCGAAGCGTCTTTGGAAGATTTAGTCGGTGTATATTTTTTAGTTGGTGTCTTTTTTAAACTGCTTTTTGTTCTCGACGTCGTAAAACTTCCACTTAGGCTGGAAGGAGCCAGGGTGCCACCACTGGTACTAGATTTTAAGCTATAAGATGATGTGGCATCCATAGAAGATGTCATTCCATAAGATGTAGTCATGCCACTAACCGTAGTCCCGCTTCGTGTAGACTGTGTTACACTAGCTTCTAAGTTAGAATCAGCAATTGACTGATCTCCATTAAGGAGTTGTTCTTCCGTGGGTGCTTGATTTAGCATTTTCTGTTATGATAAAAAGTGTGTATATTTTATATAGGTATAACAATGTATAAACCCAGTAAAAGAGAGTACATATTCTGGATGAATATTTGAAATATACCTGCATATCAATTCTATCGAATTGTTGAAAGAGGTGTCTGTATATTAGATTTCTTCTGGTGACCGCATCGTCCGGTGGAAGTTGAGCTCTGACAACTCTAGGGGATCTAGCGTATGCTGCTAAGAGAATTCTTTCAGCGGCAGCTCTCACTGAGCCGGCTGCGTGTTGAGCCCCTGCAGCGCCGCACTCCGCTAAACGACGCACCGTCAGACCACTAAACAATGTCAATTCTTAGTAATTGATGATGATGATTATGATCAAGACAGGAGGAGGATGTGAATGTGTTTTTCACTTCAATGGACACGTAAAATAAAAGTTACATTATTAGCATTGTTAGGCTAAAATTATCACCAAGTTAAACCCACGCTCCACCTACGATTTCTACATTCTTGTATTCAATAAGGCTTTAGAGTATTGACATTCAATTTATAGTGCATTAATTTTACAGGTCTTTTATAGGGGATATAGCTCAGTGGCAGAGCAATCGACTGCAGATCGATAGGTCCCTGGTTCAAATCCGGGTGTCCCCTTCTTCATTTTTTGGGTTTCTTTTATTTGTAGAATTTTTATGATTTGAATTTAAAATATTCTACATCAACTTTAATCTAAAATTATTGATATATGTAGTCGTCGACTGATTATTTTTCTAAATAATCAATTAAAAAATAGACACTTTTCGATGCTTTTCCTGGACTTTTGAAGCAATGAACAATGTTCATTGAACATGTTAGCCTTATAAGTATCGACAAATAAACAGTCCTGTTAAAGATACTTTCTCAAAGTTTTCGGAGACCGTCTATTTGCCTAAGTATGAGAGACATGGAGGATAAGGCAACATTTGGGAAGTTTATTACTATTGGCTACCTCCAACCCTCCTTTATACGAAGCATCAGCTCCTTGCAGGAGTTAATTACTTCAAGATTAACTTATTATTTATAGCTACCATAGTTTTCTAAAACTTCTAAATTCAGTCTTACCTATTCTTGTCGGTAGAGATTCCATGGCTCAGGATGAGTTGTTCCAGCATCTGAAGACGAGAGAGAGCTAGTCGAGGATGCATGGAAGCAGCTACAGGTCGAACAAGCTGTTGTGGAATTGTGTGCAGGCTTCTGGAATTTAAATATCGTATAATAATTGTTAGTACTTTTCTTCATACATTTTAACCGTCAGATATACTTTTAAATTTAATATAATTTTTACACGTCGCAATTAAAAGGTAAATACATAGGTATATGTACATAAAATTTTATATTTGTAATTTATGACAAAATACGCCCATTTGAACACCAAATAAGACTTAATAAATATTATTAAGGCATAATAAGTTTTAAGATTTTTCAAAAGTATAATTTATCGAAATAAAATTCTTATTAGATGCAATAGGGATGTTTCAGTTACCTGACTAAAGGACAATCAGCTACTGTGAGCACGGTGTGTTGAGCTGTTGAATGCACGCGTGGGGCTGGGTCCCCGCAAGCACGCAGCAGTTCAGGGAGAAGTTTGTCCAGACATCGACCTACCTCCGCTGCGCAAACCCTGAATACATAAATACGCTTTATGGTATTAATAAATATGCTATCAAACATTACGCTACGTTTTTATACGCTACTGTTTTTTTTTACCTAACATCAATATCTGATGGCCATAATAATAGTTGAAATTTCTCATTCATTTATCAATTTACCTTTCAGGAACGAATTCTTTGAACAGCACTCTGACAACTTCATTGGCTTGACTGTAGACTGAGAATACTTTGTCCCTCAGAACTCTCTGGAGTAAAGTAGCTGCTGCTCGCGCTGTTTTGTTCGGAGACGTCTTGGTGCTGCCATTCGATGGTGATGTCAACTCGGCTCGCAGACGCGCCAGACCTTCTTCCTTGTCCAAGTAGCTTTTGGAGAAGAATTTTTCAACCTGGATCATAAAGCTACAAGTTACGAGATAGTACAACGTGTATCATACAAACGTCAACTTGTAGGTCTTTTGTGGGATTATAGAGTTTAGAAATATTAACAGTCAAGGCACAGCCCTTAGGGATTTTTGTCGTCTCTTTGTTTCTTTAGAACTTACCAAAGGATATCCAAATATAAGTATCGGTAGCGCGGCCTGTTTTCGTTCCCTCTCATTCAACTTGTGTACTACGCGGGGATGTGACGAAGAGCTTCCTGTACAGTCTTCTTCACGGGCCTCACGGAGGTATTCGTTTGTATGCGAACTAAAAAGTAATCGAATGATTGAATACGATAAAACAGATTCTTTAAACTCTTAGGTTTTAAGGGTTCATCAATAATAATTTTATAATACACCCTTATAAGAGCCGTAAATAGTCGTTCTATTGTTGTTTTGGTATAAGAAATACATATCAAGAATCGCAATACTTAACAATTTATGTTATTTGTTTTCAATAACAGGTGAAAAATCATACTTTTATTTCAAGAACTTTGTTAATTATATAATATTTTAAATGAGCGAATAGTATTTAAAATAACTCACTGTCTGAGTGCAGGCAACAATCTTTCTTCATAAGCTTCAAAAGTAGACCTAGGACCAGCACTCTTGTTTCTTCGTCTAACTAATGTACCTAAAATATTATAGATTATTAATTTAACCCTTTTTATATAAATAAGTCATTAAAAAAACTAATTTACCTGGATAACTTAATTCTGATGCTCTATTACCATTAGAAGCAGTAGGAGTTATACTTCTACGGGGACTTTCAGTTTCCTTTCTTAAATCTTCTTCTATCTTTTGAACTTCAGTTTTATCTTCTTGGATCGGTTCATCTGGTTGGGCTGGTTCTTCTGGTACTTCTGTTTCATCTTCAAGAATATGGACGGGTGACTGGAATACCAAAAGTTTGGTAACATTTAATATAATAGATTATACTACAATGTATAATAACAGATCAAATGAGTATCAAGGGAGCATCATTTAAAAAAGTTCTATAAAATATTTGCAATAATCCTTAGCAAACAATAACTAGAATTTATTATTTGTATTCGGACGAGTACAAAATTTAAATTACGCATTGAGTTGGATCGAATTATCTGAAATTCATATGATGATTCTATTTTATTACAGAATTTTTATGGCTTCATGGCAGATTGGATTCATGGTGATAATGGCGGGCCTTAACAACGTAGGTAGACAATTAAAAGAAATTGTAAATGGATTACAAAATTATAAGGTTTCCATGAAATAGATAGTCTCGTGAAATCAAAGCTTATGAATATATGCTTGTATAGATCGTCATAATTTTTTTACCACATTATAAAAAATCAGTGTACAGATGCAATAAACTTAAATTTGTTTGTTGTTATTGGTTATTAATTAATCATTAATTCTACATACAGCGAGTATATGATGGCTGTCGATGTGATCTCCATTGAATTCGTTCTCTGGTAAATGTTCTATCGGCGGTACGGGCGAGGGAATGTCGACGCTATGAACTCCCATAGCCACAGACGGCGACAAGTGGTGAGAGAAGTCATAAGCTTGGGGCATAGAAGAGTCATTGCGAGTGTCCGGCTGAGGAATAGATGAAAACAACATAGATTACAATCATTACGTGATTACAAAACGGAATTAATATTGAAGTTATCTTCACTATCACCCAAGTTTGTTGGTTAGCTTATAATATTTAAGTATATGCTACTTTGAATCTGTCTTTTTGGATATTTTGGCTTTAAACTTTACTTAATCAAAATTGCATAGTTACTCAAATAAATTGTAAATATAAAAATAATCTGAATTGTCGAAGGGCAACTACTTTAGCATTCCGTTTCAAGATTTTACTTGAATAGTCATTTACAAAGTCACAGAACCTTCAGTGAAGTGATAGCTTATAAAGTGACTTATTTAAATACACTTCCATCTCATCAATTCGTGCACTTGATTGCTCTAAAGTAATAGAAAGTTCAGTTGTATATAATTAATTCAAAAGCATTTTATTTATTCAAACTTGTATTTCGTAATCATTTTCGAAGTCATGACACTGTTTTTTAGAACCTTTCAAATTATAAGTATATGTAGTACTAAAAATGTTATACGTAAAAATTAATTAATAGTATACTTTTAATTTGTTTCATTGGTGATATCACTTACTCCATCATCTTCAAACAGTCTCCTCAACTCCGGGTCTTCTTGAACGCCTATCAGTGCGTCTGCTATTCTGTCTCTCATCCGTCGCGCTAATTCAAAGTCATCCCGAGCTGCAGCGGTTCTTTTGCGAAGTCTCCACCTTCCAATCCTGATGCCCGCAGCAGCTAAAGCTTGGCCAGCTGATTTGAGTCGTCGTGCATATTCAAAGCGTTCTTCTGTGATATCATAATTATAATTCGCTTTAGCTTAGCTGATCTTTGAATAATTTTCGATTTTAATTATTACATTTAACCTACCACATACAGCTGCCTTTTTTTTCTCATCCAAATTACGAACGAGATCAGCAATTTCATTGTCCACATACATAACGAACGCCAGGTCATCGTAAGGCGAGAAACAAACTTCAGCTTTTGTTGTTGGCAACGATTTGGCGACGTCTTCAACTTCATCACCAAGAACGTTTACAGCCATTAATGCAACCTTAAGAAAATAAAAAGGTGACATTAAGACCTATGGAAATATTAAGAAACAAGTCTACATATGCTGCTTAAGTTATTTCACCTGCTCATCATCTTTCGCTGGTGGATGTGGTCCAGATAGTCTCAGTTTTACGAAACGTGCTACCGTTGGTTCAGGCAGAGCAGCTGATCTGAATTGATCAAGTATTTTAAAAATAAAATCATAAATAGATATATCTAAATTGATTTAATTCTGTACGACCCTCTTATTCCTGTTATCTTCTTATTATAAACTTTAAATACATTTCTTCTAACACTTCTATTCGGTGTTTTATTTACCTTAGTTCTCTAGTGCGTGCTTGTGGCGCAGGTTTAGCGAGTGTCACTCTACCGACACTAGTGTAAGTTGCCCCACACGGTGTCGCCGCTCCCTCTGACAGCAGGCCACCAGACACTAACACTTCTACGCAAGCAGCTAACATACAACAAACACATAATAATTAAAAATAACCCATTATTTATTTTCATACTAAATTTGAAATATATATTTGAGTTATTCTTTGTTTCTAGTATACCAGAACATATCGATTTCGTTTTGTTCTAAAATATATCTTTAAGGTTCAATTTCTTAATAAACTCGATTTTTGGTGTTGAATATAACCACCTAAATGTTATAATCTTTAATGGGTGTGAATAGTCTTATCATAGTGTTGTCGTTGTTGATGTTTGATTTAAATATATGGAGGTCATTAAAAAGGAATTAATTTCATCTAACTATTTTAACAGTTTGAAAACATGTAATGTTTTTATGACAATGGTCTCACGTATAAGCTGATGATGAGCTAAAAGCTGTAGTTTGTGTATGCTGGTGACTGCAGTGAGGCGTAGCAGTAGCTCGTGGGGCGGAGGGCCGGCGCTGCGCCACCCACGAGCCGCGGGACCCTGCGCGTTCAACTCGCATGCTGGATATGAACTGTCTTCACCTAGAAATACAATAAATTAAGAACATTACTATAACATATTCGTGGTTAAAGATACTTTATTTTTTCAAAAAGAAATTACATTTCACTTACTTGAGAAAATTATGACTATAAACATATTTTAAATTAAAACTTCGACAGTCATAATAAATGTATCATTAGGTAGTTTAACATATTCTTACAATAAATTTTGCTTTAAACAAGAAATTTAAAACATACCCTCAAAGCAACAATAATTTTGTACAAAACAGCGATAAGAAATGCAAACTCATAGACACAGAGTAACAAAAACAGTTTGATCATTTGTTATTTATTTCATGCTTTATTTTTATTCTATGTAATTTAATTTAATTTTTTTTGTGCATTAGCTTATATAAGTTATTTTATTTTAATAATGTATTGTCATGTAGTATATGTTTTTTTAGTTTAATTTTAAAGATGTTAAATATTATATAACGAAATAGAGTTGAATTCAATCACATTAAAAGAACACAACTAAAACGATTTATCTTACAATTTCATTTGAACCACACTTAACAAGTACAAAAGAAATTAGTATTTAAAATAAAAATAAGCTGACATTTAAAATGATTACGTCTTACTGATTCGATCGTGAGCATTTAATATTTATGAAAGAAGTTAATTCTTTATGTATCATAAAATAATAATAATCGATAAGGGATTAAATTTTTGTAAGGAAAATCATTTAGTACGTTGAAAGAAAATTAATTTAATTTCAAATATAGTTTGTTAGATAAATTGGCTTTTATTGGTGTATTCTAAGCAGTATTTTTTTTGTCTTTTTCCTTTTAATTATCCTAAATAGTTTTATGAATATAAGAAAAAGAAATTCTTGCACGTGAAGCCAGAATTTTGAATAATATTTGCTGTGGTACGAAGGAATGGAATTACATGAATTTATTGATCAACCCATTATAAGAAAGCATTATAATATATTTTTTAATTCAAATTACATATAAAAATGTTTGAATTTTTTTTATTTATACAAATAGAGAAATATTATATAATTTCCATTAAACAAACACAAATTTGGTCATTACTTTATTCTATAAAGCATATTAAATTATAAAGCATATTATAATACAGTTTATTTTTGTATTAAAAATACTCACTGGTTGCGTAAACTATGTGGAAGGGTATACGTTTCGGCATCGTGCCTCAGCTACCTGCATACTCTCATTAAAATTATATCCACTTCCATAGCTGCATACGAATCTACACACTTATATGGGTCAAAGAAATGCATCACGAAAGTAAACCATGTTTCCACCCTATATTACTTTGTAACAATAGAAACGTCTACATTTCTTATTATATTATAAAAATTAAACTTATATCCTTGATTGTATATATTTTGGCGGAGTACAAAATAAGAATGGATGGATGAGAACGAACGGAGTTAGAGCGGAATAAGTGAATAGATGAAAATCAATACTATTTGCCGGTTTGACAGTTTTCGTTACAGCGCCATCTAGGGAGGGGTGACTTAACTTTAACTAGTTATAATAAAAATTACGTGTACTCTTACATGATTTATGTTTATCAGTTTAGTGATAGATATTTGGTTGATGACTTAATGACAGTGCTAAAAAAATATTTACTAGGAAATTTTTGTACATTCTATGATATGTAGTCACGTAATTTGATTAAAACTATGATAAATACTTTCAGATATCTTTCTTTCTAAACGAGATAATTGAACATTTTTGAAAAAGTTTATACAAAAACATATATTACATACTTTCTTTCTCAAAGTTATTAGATAGATAGAGATGTATCTACATATATATTATAATTTTAATAATTTATATAAACTGTGCAAATGAAATAAGACGTTATCTGGGTGCAAACATAGTTTTAATAATTCCATTACCTTGAAATACTCTAAGAAAATTAATATTCATTTGAAAGCATTATTATATTAACTAATATAATTTGTCGCGTATCAACCAACTTGCTAAGGTCTCAAAATAAATGTACAAACAATTGAAAGATAGTTCCCAGAAACTGTTAAGTTATTAAATTATGTTTCCTTGTATAAATTTTATTCAATGTCTTCCATATTACATAAAGTTTTGCGCTGTGGCTGATGTGGTAATGAAAGCTATTCTTCCTACTGAAGAATTGTCCTAAGAAAAGTCAGAAGCCCGCAATAAACCTATAAGAATATCCAGCTTGGGACGTACCCAAGGTTTTCCATGGTAGCTCGCATCATAGATGTTCTAAAAAAGCTCCTTTTAACCTCTCACTCTGTTCTTAAAGATATGATTAAGAGGAAGAGTAAAAAATTGTCACTATATATTCTAAATTTATTACTAAAAAGTGACATATTTTAATGTAAACTTTGAAGATCATTATGAATATAATGAATAAATAACGCTTGTATATATTATGTATGCTATTTTTACAGGTTTCAAGCTGGAATGAAATCAAATCGTCGTAGACAGCAATTAAATTAAAATATTAAATATTTTTGGCCAAGTTTTAGTACCAAGTACCAGTTTGTTCAATGTATATGAATGAAAACTGGCAGCATATTGTTTGACCATCTAAAATTGTGGTAAAAGCGTTATGAAAGATTTAAAATCGATGTATTTGTCAAGTAAATAACATTATTCTGTATTATATACAAAGGTTTTTGTAGGAATAATCTGAGTGAAATTTTAGTTATAGCATTTGTTGAAATATCTTGAATACATACATCTTCTTTTTCGGCAATTTCCCAGCCTTTAGCCAGGGTCTGCCTTACATGTTGTGAATAGTTTTGGCTAATTGTTTTTACGACCGGCCGCCTGCCTGACATCAACCCTCTTCGGGAATGCATAAATCAGTGATGTCTAAATACTCTTAGTAAATACATGACTCGGAGAAATCACATTGGTACTTGTCAGGGTCAGGATCGAACAGGCGCCCTCGTGTCTGAGATACGGGCCTTTTAACCACTAGGCCACCACTGACTACAAACATGTTACTATCATTTACTTGCAAGCTTTATTTATTATTTTCTTTCATCTTCTAACTGTTTGAGAAATTGATTGACACCATTAATAAATAATCTTACTAATTTTCTATTATGTGTCTGTTTTCACGGACTAATTGGATGAAGGTTGAATCTAAATGTGATCAATCAAGTACACAAAACTTTATATCCGCAATTGTTGTAATAAAACAGAAGATGTTTAAAAATAAAACTTTATTTTCAATTCATAACATTTTTTATAATAACAGTATTAAACATTGCAGTAGTTAGCCGGGGCGTTGTTAAGAATCCAATAGAGGTATGAGGTGACTCTTGTGTTCACCCCGGGATAAGTAGACGCACAGAAACGGCCGAAGCTCACAATACCAGCACTGTATAAACGACCGTTGGAAGGATCTTGGTAGAGCAGGGGACCACCGGAATCATCCTGTAAATAAGAAGAAAGACGTAAGAAAATCAGTGTATTCTTTTACTTTCATTGAATGTATAGGACGCACTGGTTCACAATGTAAGTATAACTAGTCACTGGCTCACTACTACCCTTGCAGAGCACAGTTCTTGCTCTGCGCTAGTCGTAAGACTGCCGAGCGTATGCCGCCCTCTCTAATGGGGTACGTGAGACAGTGTACAGATACAAACACTGCAGAAGGAACATTAATATTAGTAATACCTGACAAGCATCTTTCCCTTGAGCGAATGTACACATCTGATTGTTACTAAGAGTCGGATAACTTCTACTACATGAAGCTTGACTGACGACGTTCACATCAACTTTTCGAAGCACGTTTGATGTTGGACCTCCAGGGAATGTTGTTCCCCAACCTAAGAATATCAGATTGTATTATCTTAATACTACAGATATATTAAGATTCATTCTAATAAAGAATGAATGTATGTTTGTTGAAAAAATAAGTAGTAGATTATAGTTTACACTTTACAGTAATGAAAAACATTACATTTTTTTTGATAATTCTTTTGTGCCTTCGCAGTTATGAATTACAGCATAATGAGTTAATATGAAAAAGACATAGCAGTAATTAGCAAATAAATATAAAATGATAAAAATATGGTGTCTGTATAATAATGATATTTAAAACTGCGAGTATTAAAATGTGTCTGAATTTATATAAAAACATTTTAAAAAATTACGAAGGAACGGTAAGTAATTTTGAACTACAACAATAAGAAAATATATAATATCAATTCAACTATAAAAGTGATGCAGGTTAATAAAACTTGTTAATTATATAAAAATATTTACTAGGACAGTTTTTAATATATTAGTGAAATATATAAAATAAATCGATCTTACCCAAAATGGTAACTTTGGACCCAGTGAAGTCGTTGTTTATGAACTTGAATGGCAGACAGACGGGTCCAACTTTCTGACTGTATACAATACTGCCGTATATCTGTATAATGGCGATGTCATTGTCATATGTATTCCTGGAAATATATAGATATATTATAATATACATATAATATACATAGTATTAATTTCGACAACCACTTAATCATACTTACGAGTCAAATTGAGGATGAATTTTAACCGACGCAACTCTGAAAACTTGCAACGACGGAGAATCCGCTGAAAGAAATAATATATTGTGTGAATACAAGTATCATTAAAATTTCATATTTAATTACATAAGATGTGAAGCGGTTTCAATTTGTAAGATAATAACTTAATAAGTTATGCTTATGTGTATAATTAAAATAAAGTTTTAATATTCATGAACTGGGGACTTTTTATATGTATAACAACAAGTCAATATAAAATGTAGGGTTTTATATATATCTCACATTTATACATATATTGATCGTCACATTATCAAATTATTAGTTGGTTAACTAGTAAGACAATAAACAATAATTTTAAAACGCAAAGACGAAACGTAATGCATTCGCTTTTGAATATTATCAGTAGGGCCCGGATAAATATTTATTAAAAAATCTAAAATATGGAAAAAATATGGAGTATAAAATTAAATACTTTCAAAATTAAACATTGTTTTACTACAAGAAAAGGGTCACTCGTGACGTACATCGTTAAGTTACATTTAAAAAACGATGAAAAAAAGTAGCGAAATATTTATTTCAACAAAAAAAAAACACAGTTTTATTCAACTTCCATTACTCTAGTCTTATCAAATTGGTTGCTATACACAATGACATGCTTCTTTAAATTAAAAAAACTGACCATTTGGTCGACATATAGCATTAGTTACATCTGCTGATTGGTCTCATTTCAAGTCACATGACGTGATGGATGCATACTTAAACATGCTTAATTCAGTAATTGTGTAAGCCATGTCTACAGCCCCCGAAACTTTCGCACAGAATTTTGTTAATTTTTTTAGCGTATTAAATCCTTTATCTTTATCCAAAACATTAGTGGCGGGAACGTAAATTTTACGTACTTTTGTAAATATGGAAAACTATGGAAAATAAACGTTGGTTTTTCATAGTCTAAATATGACAATCCATGTAAAAAACACATTCTAGATCGAAAATCGCGTAAATTAAAAATATGTTTTTACATATTAATCCGGGCCCAAATTATCAGCTTACTATTTCTATTACTTAATCTTGTTTCTTTTTCTTTCAGTAAATATACATAGTTAGTTAAATTTCTACCGCTGCAAGTATTTTTTTACTTGTCTACTATAGTGATCTCAAGTAAGTTTATAAGGAATCTTTTCTCACCTCCAGTACTAACGTCATGTTCGCCAACTACAACCGCAAGTTCACCGAGATTTTTGCCAACGACGCAGTGAGCGGCTGTCAGTACGTATCTGTTATCAATGATGACTGCACCGCATTTGATGGTGTTCTCTCCCACATACACGATACCAGCCATCATGGGGAATTCATTAGGACGAGTCTCCTCACCACCAACGATGTAACTCTGATCGTAAATACAATGAAATCATTATTTTCTTATGTACATATATACCTATTGAATCCATCTAATTTACTTTGTTTATTAATAATGTTATTATACAAAATTAGAGAAACCATATAAATTCGGAAAGATTTTTAAGCGTTTCAAACATAAAAGCAAGTTATTTTTGTATTCTTAAACGGACCTCTTCTAAACGGTTCAAATTTTTGTAACCACAACTGCAAGTTGATGATGGTTGAGCTGTAACAGTGCAGCTAAATCTGCCCCCGCGACTGTACCTCGATGTAATGAGACCTGAAGTAATTGAAATCACATTACTAGAAAGTAGTAAGTTAAAAGCTATTAAAATGTACCTAATTATAGCTAATATTTTAATGTAACTTGTACAATGATCAAATATTAATGTCATTAAAGGCCTAACTGCTACCACTTTGTGCGCTACTTAAGGAAGTAGTCAAGACTAATCAACTAATTAACATTATATAATCACTATAAATAAAGACGAAAAATCTACTGTTATAATTACATATTAAATTTCTATTAAGTACCATCTGAATTTTTTGTCGTTTGAAGGCAATAGAAAAAGACATTCGAAGAAGTGAACTTACCAACACTTATCCTGTTTGCTACAGAGACAGCGGTTAATGTGCCATAACCACAATGATATTCCGCAGACCCCAACTGACTGTCTCCTGTCTTGGATACTAGTAACCTATCCATATAGCAGTCTTGCGTCTGTATAAATATTAATAAATATGTTTAAAAATATAAATGTATATATAAACAATCATAATGGTAGCGAGTTCTTAATTCTCATATAAACGAAGTATTACACAAACTCTGCTATGGCCCTCGGCTTAATGCTACAACAGTTTTGCCAAAATCATTTTGCCTTATCTATCTGACGGGACATTATAATCGTTAAGCCTTTGTGGACGGTCCGCGGATTAAAATGACATCGTGGAGGATTGTATAAGAATTTTAGCCCTTAAGGTATTAATAGTATTTTTGTCTACCTCCAAAAAAGACCTCAAACAAATTATAGACAATTTTCTAGTCCACAAACATGACAAAGAGAAGCTTGCTATATTTTTTAATGCGGTTTATGTTACTACTCGTATAATTTTACATACATGAATACATAAATGAATCTCAACATTCCAGCTGTGGATTTTTACTAATTTAACAAAACTTAATTATTTAAAACCATTTTGTATTAGTCATATAATTATCTGAAAGGAAATTTATCTATATTGTATCTACCTGAGGTAAGTTAATTTCGCTGCAATCCAGTCTGCAGTTATATCCATTTGGGCATTGCGCGATCCAGCGACAAGTCACTCCTGGCCTGTAGCTGTAGGGATAGTTTGGACTGGAGATAGGATAAGTCCTGCCCGCAGCAACCTATAAGAATGCTAAAATTTTCAGAAATATACATTTCCTAACTTTTTCTTTAGAGTTTTCAATGAATATTACTTAAAGTTAACTTATTTTTAAAGTCGTCGATAAAAACCAACAGAGTAACAAACGTGAGAGGGAGGAAAAGACCAGAGTAAATAAATGATTCTTTTTTAATATATACTCACATTTATAAAGAAATCGCAATTCGCATCTTGTGCCTGAACATAGCCCAGAATCAACAAAAAAATAGCCCCTGATATGAACATCTGAAATAAGTAGTATTTTAATAAAATGCTCATTTAACCTTCCTTTTCCATGACCTTATATTTTGTTTCAAAGTACTATTTGTATTAAAACGTGTACTTACTGTTAATCAGGTGGCGGGCAAATAATAATTAAGATATTGTTTTTTATTGATCGATAATAATCATTAATCAAATTAACAATCTAGTGATATCAGATACGTTTGTGTTGTCATGATATTAGTCCTTAAAATATACTTATAGTTGTGAAAACAGTTTTCCATCTTCTACAGTTTTACAGCTGTTTTTATACGAGATTTGATTTTAGATACCTACGGATTTAACTGATAAGATATTGATAAAATTAATTAATATAGAGACAATATTAATTCAGATTTTACCCTTACTGTAAAGTTTGTATGAACTTTTGTTAAGAAATTAATACTGAACAACTTAAAAGCATGTTAATCTGCTAACAAATTCTTAAGAATCATCGTATTGACTGATAGGCAAGGAAATTAGTAACTAATAAACTAAACGAAAATGAAATAACAAAAAAATGATTGTTATCAAGGTTTGATATCACTTATTAGAGGTTTTATAATGTTTTATCTTCATATCAATCTAAATTCATTTTCCGGAAATCAGGAATTATAGTATACATATTTTTTAAGAACAAGAAGGGTGCAAACATAATTGGAGTCCATGCAAAATATGGTGGAAAGTTTTGATGGTTTCTTGGTCCTTTCAAAGAGCAAATACTTATTTTTTTATTTTATTTTTTTGCATACCGAGAAATGTGCTCGACACATATCCATCTCTGTGGGGGCAGGATTTGATTATGTGGGGATGGTTCAGAAAAACTACCTCAAAAGGGGGTATCCCGACCCACTAAACCCCGGTGAATTCCTGTGCTCCGCGAAACGGGCGAGGCTGCCCGATTGAAAAAAGCACCGTAGCCCCATTAGCGGCCGTCCGTGTCTTGACCCACTGCTGTAGAACAAGATACTTAACTTTATATATTAATGAATACAAAACCCAATAGAGGCGCTCAACAGCCGAGTACCTTAAATCAAAGTGGCAGAAACCCTCATCCGGCACGCTTTAGTCTTCCCTGTAGACGTAGGATTCTACAAGGCCACTGACGCTGTTATGTAGGCTCTACATCGTCGACCCACTGTAACCTTCGTGTTATCTTACAGTCTAAAAAGTCTTATTTAAAAGTCTTCTTACAATCATATAGATGCCCGTCTGGTGGTATTTTATAGGATACTATTTAGAGTATGCCCAGGAATTAATTATATAACTTCAGCAACCATTTTTGCTATCGGAAAATTAGACGTACAATTGGTCTCCATCCTTCAGTATTAGATCTTCCTTACATTTGACTTTTTCCTTATGACACACATCATTTTGGAACAGTTTATCAGCGAATGTGTTTCAACTTACAATTCAGAAGTCTTCAAACTAGGGTTTTACTGTGACAATGCTTTTACCCAGTTACGGCTCATTACCACCAACTATCAGGTTCAATACTAGTGAAGCGTTATCTAGTAGTTCAATAAAACAAGGAATTTAGATGGACGAAGGCCAGAATAATAAAGAATTTTAAAACACCATAACTTTTATATTATTATTATTATTAATTCCTGTATATAATATTTTATTTTCATTCAGCTTAACAAATCCAAGGCCGCTTTAATACATTATTATTTTACAAAACAAGCAAAGGAATATATACATATGTCTTTTACTTATGAATAAGAATGGTTTTATGGTCTATGACGTATTCAATATTTCATTTTATTTATTTAGAAAGTTAAGTTCGTCAATTTATTTAAATTTAATAAAAACAAATGTATTCAGGAACTTATCAATTCCACTAAATATGATATGATCTATGATCGGCTTAAATCAATTAGATTCTTCAAGATAACACTCGATTTGTAATTTTTATGAGGGTTTTTCCTTAATAAATATATATACAATGAAAAGCCACTGATATTGTATTAAATTTTGCAGTAATTGGCTGGTGCGTTGGTGGTGACCCAGTTAAGGAAATTGGTGACTCTTGTGTTTATGCCAGGACTGTTTGAGGCGCATAACTGTCCGAAGCTGACAATTCCCACGTTGAAGAGTCGACCGGTAGAAGGATCTTGGTAGAGAAGAGGACCTCCAGAATCATCCTGAAGATGATAATTTAATTAGTTAAAGCATATAAGACTTTCGTGAGTCATTATTTAAATAAAACCATTGTATGGGTCCCATATAGATTAGTAACCAAATACCGACTTTAATTTCATCTTACCATCGAATGTTACTCTACAATAACGAAAACAATGCGTTCAATGTAAAGACCTAAATATTCATTTTATTTATTTAAATAGTTTTTTCATATATAAGTTATTTGACTAAAGTTTAAAAGAGAAATAGTATATTTTTGCATGTCATAATAATAGCAAAAAAAATGAATGACATATTTTTTTAGAAAAATAATATGATTATTGTAATCAATATCTGCGTGATGAGATAAAGAAAATTAAGAATTATATTGAATTAATAAAATAAATATCTATAGAAAACTCCATAGCAATCAGTTTCGACTATAATTACAAATAAATACACAAACCTGGCAGGCGTCTTTTCCTCTGGTGAATGTGCAAATTTGTCGTGGAGTTAGTGACAAGACATTTTGTCGACACGTCGACTGACTGATGACGTTCACGTTTACTTTACGGAGAACACTTGAGCTTGGACCCCCCGGGAATAAAGTACCCCACCCTGGAAAACCAAAGATCACGATGAGACTAACTATTCTATTATTTGTCTGATGCATAAACAATTTTTACTTAAGAACTATTTTTGTACATTTTTTCCTAATAAAGTTTTAATACTTTATTAAATTTATAATCTAGTCAATAGACTAATTCTACTAATATTATAATTGCGAAAGTTTGTGTATATGTTTGTTACTTCTTCACGCTCAAACGGCTGAACCGATTTTGATAAAAAAAATTATACAGGAAGCTGACGTCCAAAAATAACATATAGGCTACTTTACATTCCGAAAAACCCGTAAATCCCGGAAATACGCAGGTAAAACCGCGGGGCGCAGCTAGTAAGTAAATATATTTGGCCTAAATTACTACATTAATATAATTAAATTACTACATTAATGTTCTACAAATGTGTCCAATAACACATATGTACTTTTTTAAGAAGAAGACACTCTGTTCATGTGTTCTTAATTTTGTACATTTAACTTCGTTTAATTGAGTTTATTTGTTGTGTAATCATCTCACCTAGAATAGTTACTACGGCTCCGGTAAGGTCAACGTCCGCAAATTTGAATGGAAGACAAACTGGACCAACGTTCTCACTGTACCTGATGACGCCTTGTATTTTAATGATTGCGATGTCATTATCATACGTGTTGCTGAAAATGAAAGAATAAATTATATGTATGTATTACTTTTATAATTTAAAGGGGTTAACTTGGATTAGTTTGAATTCATACAAAAAGAATATACAAATGTTTTGAGAATTTCGTATTCTACAATATTGATAATAAATACATATACCAAAAAACCCATAGGAGATGGTGATATTGTGACCTTTGACCCTGAAATTCTATACATAATTGCGTACACCCGTTCCATATGTAGGTTTTGAGACAACCTTAAGGGTTTGAATATAAAAGTATTTACACAGTTATAGCTGGGTATCTCGAAATTTTTACTTTATTTTTAGCTTAAATGATTGGACTAATACTTACGAATTGTAGTTCGGATGAATTATAATACTTGAAACTCTGAACACTTGGATATCTGGAGAATCAGCTGGAATGAAAAACGTTTTGTTATGTCTAGTGTGTTTTAACAGTGGTTATGCTCATTGATAAGATAAAAATATCCATGAACTTTTGCAGTTGTCACAGGTTGAATAATTCACCCTGTCAGTCAGGCGAGGTCGGAGCGCCACTGGGTCGTTTTAGTGGGTATACCGGGAATCCTTTTCCCGGGAAGTCCCACATACCCCTCCCCATCTCCCGACGGAGAGGGGATGCGTAAAGCATTTTTTTCCCAGTGCGCACAAAAAAAAAGAGGGAATAATTCAGATTTAGATATTAAGAATTATAATAGGTAGGTAGATAAATTTCTAGCAGCAAAATTTAATAGGGCTAGTTTTATAAAAGGTTTTTTCGTAAGAAGCGTTGATATAAGGCTTGAGTTATATTATTAAACACGGGTAAAGCATCTTTGTTTATGTCGAGATGTTTTGATATTCTTATTTAAATAAATATTTCCGTATTTGGGTACAACTTCTATATAAATGTATCAACTTACTTCCAATCCTGACGTCATGCTCGCCAACCACAACAGCGATGTCGTTTACTCCCTTACTATAAACACAATGAGCGGCTGTCAGTACGTATATATTATCAATGATGACTGCACCGCATTTGATAGTGTTTTCTCCCACATACACAATACCAGCCATCATGGGATATTCATTTGGCTTCGTTTCTTCACCTCCAACGATACGGCTCTATGAATAATATAAGATAAATTGACCGGACCAGTTAACGACTTGCTATAAGTCTATAACTAATTAACTGTAGTGCCTGACTCTAGCCGGCGAATTAAGGGTTAAATATGATTCAGCTGTCATAACCATAATGATCAGGGTATTGTATGTATAATTGACAATATACATTATACAGTAATAATATATTCGAACGGATACTCGTTGCAAATCAATTTCAGTTTTTTTTATGTTTTATAATATAGGTATTCAAATAAATATAACTAAAGAAGCAACAAAACAATACTTCGAATATTAACGATTTGTTTGAAATATAATTAATATTTTTATCTATTACTCACCACTTTCCTATAACCACAATTGCAAGTTGGAGTACTGTCTTGTTGAGCTCTAATTTGACATCTGAATCTACCTCCTGTACTTTGTTTTGATGATACTAGACCTAAAAGTTATTTTCGTATTATATGTTTAGCATTAAACTAAATACTTGAAAATTTAAAAATATCATCATCAGTTTACTAAATATTACGGTATATTTAAAATAAATATTCTTAAAACTATGAAATCTTCATAAAGACAGATAAATAATCCAATAAAATCTTACAACGCATCTACAAAAGAAATAAAATTAATATATAGATACAGATTAATATCTAAATTGTTAAAGATTATACAACAGTTCGTAAATTGATATCATACTCATATACATATAGTTGGTACTCTACAGTTTAATCTTATATGAATAATAGTTCAGGACATCTTTAATGTTATGAGATTTAAAGCTTCCGCGATAATTCGTTTATAATGTATAGCATAATAATAGGTACCTATGCTTATCCGTGATCCCGTTGAAACAGCTGACAGTGATCCTTGTCCGCAATAATACTCAGCTGATATTAATTGACTGTCTCCAGTTCTTGAGATCAACAGACGATCTGTCGGGCAATCTTGGCCCTGGAGGTTGAGTGAGATATTAAAAAAAATACTTTTACTGATTTAAAGGATAGCGTATATAAGAAATGATATATGATATAAGCAACTCATTTGACATAGTATTTGAAGTAAAACTTCTTTGGGCGCATGAGGGTAAAATTTTTACAGATGTAACGTTACGCCGGTATGTAACAGAAGTGTCGAAAGAGAGAGAGAGAGAGATCGGGACCGATTGAGAGAGAGTGAGACAGAGCGAACGTAACATGAAGCAACTAGCTGTGGAGTGAGAGTGAGCAAATGAGAAAGATTGATAGAAAAAGTGAGACAGAGCGAACGTCGTATCTCGTATTTGTACAAAAAAAAAAAAGATTTAAAAATTAGCTCGCCAAAGAAGTTTCACTTCTGAAATTTGTAATTTGTACGCATTTTTTAATATTCAAATTAAATATTTCTATTTGTTCATACCGCTTCTTATGAATTCGTAGAACTTAAAGCACAATTCATTAAGCGTTCCATCTATTTGAATGAACTTCAGAATAAACCAATAACAATTCTTCAATGAGCTTATTCTATATATAATGAAATCTTACCCCAGGTAAATAAACATCGTCACAATCTACTCTGCATTTATATCCCGTAGGACACACGGCTATCCAACGACAGGCAGATTCAGGCGGGTAGCTATTAGGGTAATTAGGGCTGACTATTAACACATTCTCCACGGGGGGAACCTGAACAGAATAGGGTGAATATTTTAATATATACTTTCTTCTTGGCAATTTCCCAGCTTCAACCAGGGTCTGCCTTTACAAGTTGTAAATAGTTTTGGGCTAATTGTTTTTACGACCGGCCGCCTTCCTAACATTAACCCTCTTTGGGAATATTTTAATATCTTATACTGAACTTAATATTTAAAAACCTAGTCGATATGGCTTTTATACTTTCAGATGACGTAATAATACGAATATACATCATATAGGCTTTGAGATATATGTAACATTAAAATAGTATATAACTAATAATGATATCCATGATTTTGATGAAATTTTTTGGGAAACTACGTGTTTTTTTAATATTTGATAAATTCATAATCCCGATGTTTCAGTTACTTTATATTTGACATTCAAAACTTAGTTATATTATATACAATTAAAAATATTTCATGAGTTTCAGAACTTATCTTCCAACTAAGGCAAAGCTAAAGAAGGACGTATGAAAGGGAAAGGTAATACGTAATGCCCTCAACTGATAATTCTATTTAATCAAGTTTCTATAAATTTGTTTGCTTATTCAGAGGTAAGGTTTCTAAATTATTTCCGTATCCGTATATAACACTTTATTTCAGGTGAAGTAAATAAATATATTACAATTATTATCAAGACAGAAGTTTGAATTTTTGTGTCAGGGATGAGCCCTCAATAGAAAACCATTTATTGGAATAAACTAGTTAATTATGACTAGATTAGACACTACTATTGACATACATATTTATTACTGAAAACTATAGAAAAAAAATTGATGTTTTTGACGCTAGCAATGTTTTATTTTCTTCAATTCATCAAATTTTTCCTTGATGAAAATATCATTTTAATATTGCTATGTGCCCACGATTAGTTAAATTTTCATATTTTTTTTATCAAAGACAATTTAAACATATCAAAGATCTCTTTAAGCTGTCATTAATTATAATTAATTATATTATGAATTAATTATATTCATCGATTTTGTTTTTTTTTAGTTTTTAATATTGTAATAACACATTATCCATTATAATGTTTTTACAATTTTTTATGTCTATCTATCTGTCTGGTTGTTCCAGCTAGTCTATAAAATTTCTGGACTGATATTGAGACTACTTTTATTGGCAGGTAGCTGATAACTTAAGCAATTTTTATCCCGATACCGAAATTAGCTGATAACTTAAGCAATTTTTATCCCGATACCGAAATTAAACGTAAACATTAGTGGGAGTTTTTTTTGCAGATGCAGTCGATTGTAACTAGCTAAAGGGTAGCTAGTTTATATATAAATTAAAAGAAAGATTTAAGAAAAGCTTAAAAGTCAGTTATAATATGAATACTTTCAAAATATGTTGTAACTTACGGTGATTGCATAGTCACAACCTGGCTGTTGCGCGTGCGCACGCAGTATGAACAATAAAAGTACCCCTAAAGTATACATCTGAAAAAGAAAATCTTATACATTGCCGAGATAATAGAAAACATTTAATTAATATCTGTAAACATATATAGTTTTAATCCAAAATTAAACACTTAAACATTTTATTACTACACTTCTGGCTTTCCAATTTTCACTAGCAATGAAACCTAAAAATGCTTTGACAAAAAAAGTGTAACTTTTCAATACGATGATAATTGAAATGGTGAAACAGACGTTCGTGTTTTTTTTTTGATACTTTTGAAATATCAAATACAAATTTAGTAAAAACTAAATTGTAAAAATCTTTTCACACGAGAATATTAATGTGTATAAGTATAATACGAATTCAAAGCATAAGTAAGAACATAAAATTTATCCCATATAATGAGATCTATGGTTTTCGCGAGTACTCATTTAAATGAAACTAAAATTTTGAAATTTACTACGCGGTTTTTTATTTTTGACGAGATCTCGTCTGCCCGTGATTACGTCGGGAGTATGTAGTTTATAGTCGAAAATAAAAAACCGCGTAGTAAATCCGAAAATATTAGTTTCATTTATCTCATATATTTTAAGTACATAATGAATTCAATATATTTATTATATCATTCTCAAATTAATGGAAACATTACTCACAATCAACGGCTAATACAGTTCAGTATTTGGCTAGTAAAGTGGAAGTAACATTAACATTCAATTTTGTAGCTGATACAATAACATAAAACAATACAATATATCACACTTGAACAAATATACGTCTACAATAAAATGTTAAAACATACCTTGAGAATTAAATTCACGAAAAATATTACAAATTAATATGGATGATTTTTGCCAGTAAATTTATTTTTCAAACATTTTCATCCAACATCTACTGACATTAAGAAACTAATAACGAATAATTAAAAACGAGTTATGTCTCCTCTGACATGTTTTTCATGAACAGTATGTAACAGTTGTCTGTACAATACTTTCAATGCCTTATAGATAAGGAAATACATTTCATTGTTGATATATATGTCGTGATAAGGCGTCTTTAACTTTAAGGTTGAAGACACGATTTCAAACAAACTAAACTCTCCGTCGTGGTGTCCATAGAAATTTTGTTTTGACTAAATAATAGCCGATTCTTCCTATTGTATTAAAATTGCATTTTAATGGTATTATGCATTTTAGTAATAGGTGTTTTTGAAGATAAGATTAAACTACATACTTATTTTCATTAAAAACAAGCGAATATTATAGATATCAAAAGCATTCAGGAAAAAACATATGCTATATACGTATGTGCCATTAATGCACTTAATAATAAACTGTCCTTTCAAACTATCTTCAGAATGAAAAAAACGATTTTCCTAATTTATTAAATTAACGAAAAGCTAATAAAATCTCTATAAACAACATTAATTATCCATTATGTATGCAAAAAAACAAATGTTCTATTCATAATTAAAATAAATTCGCACTTTATTTGATGCAATGGTTTAAATGCAATAAAACATCATTGTAAAACAGACAACATCTTATTCAACAACAAAATAATTTAACAACTCTTCATAAGTAATAAACGTGACTGATATAAAGAAAGTAACGATTGTTAGAAATATATTAAAATATGAAATAAAATTATTTTATTTAACTCAAAGAGTAAAAGAATATTTGAACAAAATTATAATATTAACTGTCTTCATATAATCAATGTTTAAAATAAACCTAATTTATTTTCTGTCCTAAAATAATAAAATGTAGTAATGCATGTATATACCTTCTTAATAATATGGATTTCACATAAATATAAATATTTAAATAATTAAAATAAGATAATTTTAATTGTTTTAAACGACGTGCTTATATACATCGTTTTATTAAAATATTTCAAAATAATATTAGGTATATTAAGAATTATCTGTCCTCAATAAACATTTTTAAAAGAAGAATTAATCGTGAATTTAAATCAGCATTATTAAATATAAGTATAGTAATTTATTGACACAAAGAAAATTCATGTTTGTTTTGTAATAATATAAAATAAAATGTTCATCAATTAAATTTGAAAATAAAATCGTTTAATGATTATACTGACACTCTAGTGGCTTTTAGTTTTACTTTAGTGAAAGAATAGATTAAAAATGCTTTACATCATTCTGGAAAAGACCTCATACATACTCTTGAACTGTTAGACCAAAATTAAATAACCATGGCTAAGAATCACTCTAAGGAAACTGACTTTCAATAAGAAAAATCCGCATCGATATTGGTGCATCCCTTCAAGACTACGATGTCATAGACACACACGCGTTGACGACAAACTTACCTCTATATATTTATTTATTTAGGGTAATATTTTTTCCCATTTATAACATACTAGCTTTCTGCCCGCAGGTTTGCCCGCGTGGAGTTCGGTTATATCGCGTTTCCAAAGGAACCTATTAAAAGTCTAGGATAAAAACTATCCTATGTTCTTTCTCAAGGTCAACTCTATCCCTGTACCAAGTTTCATTAAAATAAGTTCAGTGGTTTAGGCGTAAAAGCGTAACAGACAGAGAGACAGACAGAGTTACTTTCGCATTTATAATTTTAGTAGGGTTTCAATAATATATGAATTTATTGACTTACAATTCTTCATTACGTCTTTCAAGTAGATGCAAATTATTTTACTGTATTCGTATATAAATATAACTAAAAAAAATAAGCTTCCTATTTTGATTTTATTGCTATGCAGTTTATAATATCAGTTATTACTAGTAGTAGTGCAATTTGTAAGTACATATACAATTAAACAATAATACATTCAGATTATTTCTTCATATGATCGAATGTCGACTATATTTAAAATTTAAGGCAATAATATAAATACAAAGAAATATACATATAATGTTTTGTCTTAATAATATGATACATATATTATGTAGGGCAGACCCTGGCTAAAGCTGGGAAATTGCCAAGTAGTAGAAGAAGAAGAATATGATACATATATTTAATTTTAAATTTTTTGTTTCGATACTTAAAACGATTTATGTTTAAAGAAACCAAGCTTTTCAGATACTACGCATTTTTTTTATTATATAACTACATTATCTAGACGTTTCACTTCCTATACAGTTTACAACAACCAAGTACGAGTTATATTATATAAATCTAGGAATAAATCACAAAGATTTTCATATATATTTTACATCATACAATTTAATTTCATATTTTCTGAAATATAAATTCCATAAAGATATAACTCCCTTTCAATTATCATGTTGCAATAACATTCCTCAGTGCACGAGCTCAAGTAAAAAATGTTACTTATTTTTTAATGACAAACATTTGGCATAGATAAAAGTAAGGTTATTGACATGCGGGCCAAGGGCGTTGTTGTGGTGGTATAAGTTAATTTTTATATGTATATGTGCAATATTATTAAACAACCCATATGCATAAAGAGTTTTAAAAACTTCAAATAGATTGCATGATTGACTTTCTTTCAAGCGGATCTTTATCGAATCATAAGATTATTTAACCATATATATTTATACTAGCTTTCAGCCCACAGCTTCCCCCGAGTGGAGTTAGGTTATATCGCGTTTCCTAGAGAACTTTTCAAAAGTCTGGGATAAAAACTATTCTATGTTCTTTCTCAACGTCAAGTCTACCTCTGTACCAAATTTCATTAAAATCAGTTCAGAGGTTTAGGCATGAAAGCGTAACAGACAGACATACAGAGTTACTTTCGCATTTATAATATTAGTAGGGAATATATTTATTAGACTTCGATATAATGTTTTTCATTATAATATTATCATAACTAAAGATCAACACAGATGTTTGCTAAGTATTCAAGTGTATCAAATTAATTGTTCCATCGAAGAGTAAATATTCCTATGTTTAAACAATAATTTGTCATATGTTGGCAAAGTTAATAAAATATGAGTATCTAATAATCGTCAATCAGAATTTGTTTAAGAGATATAATAAAGTATATAAAGTATACCTGACTAAAATATGTAAAAACATTTGAAAAATTCATTATTATTTATAAACGGGAAAGAGGTAAACTATTACTATTAATTATCTTCTATATATATAAAAATGGATTGCTGTTCCTTAGTCTCGCTAAAACTCGAGAACGGCTGAACCGATTGGGCTAATTTTAGTCTTGAAATACTCCTGGAAGACCAGGGAAGGTTTAAAAGGTGAGAAAAATTGGAATGATTGCCGGGAAAACCCTAAAAACAGCCCTTTTCTATTTCCCATACAAACGTTTTTTTTGACATTAGATTTGACAACTAACTAATATCTAAATCATTCTGTTTGATTGAAACAGGAAAAACCTGATTATTTATGGTCTCTTAGAGGGAATAGAGTTCGCCTGGTCAGCTATACCTACATATATTACTCTTGACCAAACTAACGCGGACAAAGTCGCGGGCATAAACTAGTTTATGACTAAAATATGAAATATATCTAAAATATTTCACCCTTCCGCTTTCGTACGACATTGTTTAAATATTCATAAATATTAAAACACCTTGAGTTATAAAAAAATAAAACCTCTATGAAGGTGGAAGAATTTCTCGTTTTAAATCAGTTAGAACAAAAACCTTCAGGCTTATAATTCATATGTTTATTTTAGAACATAACGTAGATATTAACTAATATATGTATGACGACGTTATATCGTAAAAACAATTAATTTCATTATTAAGCGAATGTTAGAGCAATTGTACTAGAAACCTCGAAAAAACGAAAGTAGATAAATTACATAAATAATGCGATTATTATAACATGTATGCTGCAAGAATCAATAAACATAAAACTGAGTAGATGTACATACAATGAATTGTTAACAATATAGGTTTTTACGTTTTGTTTTTTCTTTGAGCCAAAGGGGACAAACAAGCAAAACGGCCTACCTTAAGGAGGTAGTATTTGCCCATGGATATCCGCAAGCTCTCATCCTTGATTGGGGAAAGAGCAGAGGAAAGAGATGAAACGCAGCAATTAAAGACTACTTCACGCCGGTCTTCTGTGAGAGGGTGGTACTTTCCTGGTCGAGCTGATCCATAGTCGAGCTACAGAAACCTAGATTTAAGACCTAGAATCTACCTTAAATATGAATATTCATTTTAAATGCTTTTTAAGAGATATTCATACTTCTATTTTGATTTATTTCTTTTCACGTTTCAGAATCATACACTACAATATTAAAGCAACTCCATTTTAGCAATTCATTGACATTTTTGGGTATATCTATATAAAATATTTGATACAAGTAGTAATGTAACAGTATAGACTTAAAAAACTTTAAGTCATTTATCGACCTTCTCTTTCAAACAGACGTCTAGATAGATCCTTTAACAAACGGCAGAAATATATGTACATTTGAAAAAGAGATTGAATTTCGGATAATACATTTAAAATATTATGTTAGGTATATTTATCAATTCCTCTGTTTAGGCCTATGTTTATGATAAAGTTTATTTAATTTTGTTTTTGTCTAAGCATATACTAGTTCTTAGAACAAAATGCATAATATTTTATAAATAATAAGTAAGATAAAATTATTAAAAAAAACATTTTTTATATCGCTAAACTTTATATTACACAATAATTAGCTGGTGCTTCCTTTCTAATCCAGTTCAAGAAAGAAGTGACTCTCGTATTGATGGCTGGTTCAGTTGACGCACAGAATTGACCAAAGCTGACCACTCCCACGTTGTATAGACGACCATTGTATGAGTCAGTATACAGTAAGGGTCCACCGGAATCGTCCTGAAAATATTATCAATAATAAATATATATTCAGCTTATGTACTATAAAATTTGCGTTTCTTACCTGGCAGGAATCTTTTCCTGGCGTAAATGTGCATATTTGCCGAGGTGTCAGAGTAGATATATTACGCTGACAACTTTCCTGACTGATAACTTCAACGTTAGCTTTCAATAGCACTTTTGGTTTTGGCCCTCCAAACGTCGTAGTTCCCCAGCCTTAATCAAAAATTAAATTGTTAATCATCATTGATGTATTAAAACTTCAGTTGTTTTGTATAATATTACCTAAAATTGTGACTGTAGATCCATTAAAAGCATGATTTACGTATTTAAAAGGAAGGCAGACTGGACCAACGTTGTCGTTGTAATCGATATAGCCAGCTGTTCGAATGATGGCAATGTCATTATCCTGTGTGTTACTGAAAGCAAATAATATTATAAATCTTGCACGTTATAGTTCTTTATAAGTTTGTATCGAAAACCTATTAATATTTTTTTGCAATGAAGCTATCTGATTACTGCAGAGCAGTGGCAGCTGTACCTTAAGTGCACTCGTGCGCTGAACCACCAATTCAAAAGATTTGAAAATTACAAAATATTACTTCATCTTTATTTTTAAATTATCATTTTAATATTTATTTTCTAAACATACAAAAACGTATAAAAATTAAATTTCTAATTATAGTCAAAAAGTTTGAGCGCTTTAATACATTAATATCTCGTGCACTTCGGCGAGCGCACGAGGACTCCTAATACATCTTGTATGAGATACGCATTGATACGCCTGGCGCGTGAAACAAAAGATACTTCATAGAAATGTACCGAGTAATGAGTCGGTTCTCGAGCGCCGCACGAGCGGCCCAAGGTTACCAAGAGCACCCGATGTATGACGAATTGGAATTGAAAAGAAATCAAAACTTTTTTCCGATATACCATGCACTTTCTGTGCTTAGTATTGAAAAAATAATTATACAAACAATATCCGATTTTAATAAAAATTTAATTGAATAGTTCGCTTCAGAAAAATGTCGTCGCATTGATTTAATGTATAATAAATAAACATAGTTTATGTCAATTGGTTTTTTGTTACATTTTCTAATTTAATATTTTAGTAAAGTGCACCACCAGTTCGATAACCCACCAGCCGCCACTGCTGCAGAGTATACGATGGGAATTCGCAAGGTCCAAAAAAATATTTATATGTACATAAGTCTTAAAAGTATTGTATCATAAGTTAGTCCTCTAAAATTTGCCAGTAATGTGGATAACTTACGGGTTATAATTTGGATGAACTATGACTTTTCTTACTCGATAAACCTTTCCATCGGGATTATCAACTGTAACAAAATGAGTTTTCTAGACAATACAAAATAAATCACAAATATTCTTAAGGATTAACACAATCACTAAACTGCACTTTACGATATCAAAGAAGAGTAATATGTCAATGAAAACTCACCGTCAGTAGTGACGTTATGTTCTCCAACAACCACAGTAAGTTCATCCAATTCCTTATTTTCGACACAATGAGCAGCTGTCAGTACATATTTCCTATCAATGATGACTGCACCGCATTTGATAGCGTCACCGAAATCCGAATACCGTATACTAGCCATCATGGGATACTCGTGAGGTTTCGTCTCTTCTCCACCAACAATTCTGTTCTATAGATCAAAGTACAAATCCTATTTTTAAAGTTCTTATATAATATTAGATATAAAAAATCTCATAAAATACCGTTTTCTTGTAGCCACAACTGCATCTTGGGGTGATAATCGGTTGGGTGGAGATAAGACACTTGAATCTACCTCCAGTACTATTTGTCGATGTTACAAGACCTGTATGACAAAAAAATGAAACGATATTAATATGACTACTATTATTAATGGATAGTTTGTAAAGATATACGGATGAGTGGTTGTATTTATGTGTGTTACTCTTTCGCGCAATAACTACATAACAGATTTTAATGAAAGTTTAAAGTAAAGCAACTGAGACATTTATTATATTTATTTAGATGTTTACTGTTTTAGTGTTTTTACACACTTCATATACTTCGATTTAAGCATGTTAAGGAATTCTACGCAGATAAAATCGCGGATTAGAACTACAATTTTTTATAAGGTTTTTCCTTATCCGAGCATTTGGTACTTCAATATCCGAAATGAACTCAATTCTTTTAACAATTCCAATTTAGGATTACCCAAATGTAAGAAAAAAAATTAACGCTCATTTTTATTTACATCAATAAATTGTACGAACCAAATGTAAGTCGTGAATCAATAGACACAGCGTTGACAAATCCGCGGCCACAATGATATTCAGCTGAGTTCAGCTGACTGTCACCTGTTCTGGAGATGTAGAGGCGATCCAGGGAGCAGGTTGGAGTCTAGACAATGATTTAATTTAAGATACACAAATAAACTTATATAAAGAATTATTATCAATGATACTAAATACTCAATAGTCACTCCCATACTCAACACTTATAAAAGATTTACGACTTTCAGGAGTATTCATTTAAATGAAACTAATATTTTTCGTTTATACTCAGACTAGATGTGAATGTCTTCCCGTGATCACAGTTGCTGAAATGTAACCGAAACATCGGGAGTATGTAGTTTTTAAAATAATAAAACACGCGAAGTATAATCCGAAAAATATTAGTTTCATTTAGAAAAAGGTTATCATGACGATAGGTTTGTTACGAATGTTACAGTGAAAAAAATCGTCACAGAAGATATCTGTTTTTCTTTGACAATAAACGGCCCTATAATTCAATAAACGGCTATATGATCGAATATAGGGCTATAAAAATTAATTTAAATATATTAAAATGTTCTACCTGCGGCATACCTAAACCACACCGAGCCCTGCAGTGATAGCCGTCGGGACACTGCACAATCCACCGACAGGCGACCCCAGCTGGGTAACTACGAGGGAAGTTCGGACTCATGATGCTGTCAATTCTACCCTCAGATACCTATAAGAATTATGTTTATAAAGCTTTAATTAGAGATGAAACCTCTTAGCATTCGATGGATCCCCGTGCGGGTGCCGGGTCCATCGCGTTGCAGGGAGAGGAGCTTCAACAGTGCCTGGGACTTGCAACCCAGGTGTAGGTTTAAGGGGCTCCTTATCTAACGCGCGTTATACGCTCACCTCCACTGTCCAAGCAATTGAATATTTTCTTCTACTAAAATTTAGCTTTATTCGATCTCTATTTGCAATTATTTATTTTGCTAACAAATTTAAAATTAGACAATCTCTATTGGAATTGAAGCACTTCCAATACTGATGATAAGATTACATAATTAAAAAATAGTGAGAAACTGGAAAACGTTTATGTAATTCTTTCTCTTTAATCAACTTTTACTTGGATTATGAATATTTTGATGCATAACTAAACGTGCTACGTATAAAGTAATATACTTAGATTTTTTGTAGCAAAAAACTAATATTCCCAAATGGTTTCTAGTTTACAAACACCTTCAATTATATTACTATCTAAATAGAGTACTACAAGTCTTATCTGTTAAAGAGAAAATGCAATACATTTTGCTGTCATACTTACATACATTACATAGTCGCAATTTGCATCTTGCGCCTGCACGTAGCATACAATATATACAAAAAATGCAGCTACAAGAAACATCTAAAATCAATTTATTATTTATTATAAATAAAATATATATCTTATAATAATAGATATTATGGAGATATTAGTATTTTACCGGAACTGAGAAAATTTACCTTATCACGCCTGTTTTCCTAGCCTACCCTCCCGGTGACAGCGTAAAGTCGCGTGGCTAACAGCAATAGGTATATATTATAATATAAAAAGCAAACTTAACAAGATAAATTCCGTAAACAAGCTGTAACATATAATAATGTCTATGATTTTCGTCATTTTAATTTGCATGTATTATTATCAATAAGGAAAACAGGCCTAACAGCAGCACTCATTTATACATAGTAGTCAGTGATAAGACTACGGTAGAAAATGATTTTTTTTATAAGTAGACGCTGTTGAATGCGAAATCTGCAATGAATGGTTCGGTTATTTATACTGAAGAATTCCTATTTTGTTCAGTTAAATTATTATTATAATATTACACTTTGCTTAGGAAGTAGTGAGTAGGAAGACATATTGTAGTCCAATTATGATTATACTCGTATATTGAATAAAAAATATATAAATGACAATAAACTTACCGCCTGAATTTGATTTAAATATTTACTTTAGTCAATTCACCTACCCCTATACGAGATTGTAAAAACAATATAGTCGTATAGGTCTTTATTAGGCACTAACTGTAAGTGTGTCAGATGCTTTATTTTATAGTCGGCTAGATTCATTCATAGGCCTTTATTAAAATGCGATTGGAACTTTCGAAGAAATTTTAACGAGCGAGAAACTAACTTACTCGTAAAGCAATAAAATCACTTTTCAATACATTGGAAGCTATAGCAATATTATAGTATTGTTGTTGGTATGTGTTGATAGGATTGTTAGTAAAAATGTAGCGATGTTTATAACTAACCAAATATAAAATCTTGTAATTTAAAAAGGTGTCTATAATATATAAAAATTTAAATAACTCATTTAAATTAAGAGACTATCAAATTTCAAGAAGGAACAATTTAAATTTTAACGGAAACATCAAATCATTTTCTAAGTCATAAAACGTATACGGTTGGAAGGGATTTTAATCACTCCTTAGAAAAATGTTTGTGATGTTAAATTCTTAAAGAATCACCAAAAAAAAATATTAACATTTAATTTGTCATAATTCAAAATATATATTTTTGATACATCTTCCTCTTACTGAATACATGCTCTAACCAAAGTATGCTCTACTTGATTGCAACTACGAAACAAAAGCAGATCACAGAACAGCTTCTATAACAGCTTATAGCTTAAGAATTGAAAAGAAAGATGCTGACGTACATAAATCTTGATTTATTTTGGACGCAACAATTTGATTTGACACGTATGGGCATGTTTATGTAAATTTAAAAAGCTTAATTTATTGAGATTTCGAAAATAACAACTTTTTTTATTATTATTATCAACATGAGCGCAAAAATCTCCACCTTTAAATCTCTTCACAAGAAATATCATAAAAACAATATAATAATAATAAGACAGTAAGTTTTATATTAAAAATATTTTAATTGCAAAAAATATAGGCATGCTAAACATTAACCTACTATCAGCGATAGGGAGGCTGGTGTAATCGTAAATCAATGTAACATAAAGCACATTCATAAATCTAATAATTTTAATTACACTGTTATCAATAGTAAGTTAACTACAGGTATAATTTGTCCTCGTTAATTGAAAATCGTTTGTGATAAGGAAAAATATTTAGATGCGGGCCAAGGGCTATTTATTTCGATCAAAAGAAATTTACAATCCAGTGTCCAATCAGTGTTATGTCAAAATAAATTAAATCTTCTTGAAAAATATTTTTCCACAAAAAAAAATATTAGGTGAAAAAATCAATTCGTACACTCTGTAAGAATGCAAGAAGTAATAAAAAAGTCTTAGATGATTTAATTCATTTTATTTATAACTTTCTTATATTAAATAAAATAACAATAAATGTCCCGGAAAAGTTACATATATTCCAATAATACACAATATATACTACATTCCAATATATTTTTATTTCATTACTAGCTTTGCCGATTTTTGCGAACAAAATACGTCATTGGAATCAGGTCTAAATTGGACCAAGTAAATCTCTTTCACAAAACTTAGATACTTCAAGGTCACTATAATCTATTATGTTTATGTCTTAAACTAGTTCTGTGAACTGAAAGAAAACTATCATTTATTCCTCTTATCATTTTCTCTATAACCTTTAACATTTGACTTTTTATCTTCTTTCTCTTTCTTCTCCCCTTGTTTTGGTGAGACAGAGTTATCTGATGTGTCGGAAGCTATTCCTTGTAGACGATAAGCATTGGCTTGGCTCAATCTGCAATCACAGCATTCATCTTAAAAATTATTCATATTTGTCAATTTTTTTAACCTAAAAGGTATTATTTTTGGTGAGCAGAGCTACAATTAAATTCAAATTATTTGAAGATCTGAAACCTTTGTAAAGAAGATGAATGTCCTTTTTGCAATAGAAGCAATGTGATAGACTTGATCTACAAAAAATCAACAACATTTATAAGAAAAATAAATCTGCTTTTTGTTGGAGGGTCAATTCTACAATTATTCCAGTCAGAAGTTTTCACAAAATCTAATTAATCTTTAAGAGATATTAATATTTTTTATTAAGAAAAAAGAAATATGGATTGATCTGTGTAACATCTATTACAATTACTCCTTAAGAAGTGATGATCACATTCACACACATTTATGCGATTTTCTCAGAGAACCCTAATTCACTTCTCGCTATAATTCTAACCTGACTTCCTCAACATCAGCAACCTTATCAACCAGGTTCCGTATAACTCCTTCCTTATGCCTCAAAGCCAGTTCAGCTCGCTCCAGGTCCCGTCTGTACTGAGTCTGGGCTTCAATAGCCTCGCGTTCCTGATGAAGAATACGACGTTCCAACTCCGATAGTGAGGAATGGGCACGGGTTTTTACAGCCTGGGTGAGAAATTTCGATGGGACAATATTTTTTGCACTAATAGGCATACATTTTGCAAAAAATCTGATACCATATAAGCTATTTTAGTGTTAAATAAAATCGAATATTTTTCGTTTATTTCTATCGATAGCTCATCATTTTTCGCTGTTTCTCCGTAATATCCCTTGAATACAAGATCTTACAACGTTATTAAATAAATATATGATAAGCATCTAAACCTTTATCTCTAGTTTAATCTTCTCCAGCGCTTCAAGCGCTCTCTTCAGCGGTTCGTTGCTGGACAGCTTCTGTTTGCGTCTCACTCTGTTTGCTCTAGCGGCTGCAGCTCGTGCCCTATGACGGAATACTACAGCTGCTTTTCTGTACAATCTAGTAACAATAAGCAAACATTATAAAAGCACACCAGACATTTGTTTCTTGAAAATTGAGAGGAAAACAATATTAATTAAATTCTCGGATTTCCTTGACATGTAAAAACTCCTTTGAAATGGAATATGTTTTTGAACATATATATCATCCTATAGGATGATATATATGTTGATTATATCACTTTCGCTAATTCTGATGTATTTTTTTATTAGCTTAATTGTCAAATCTAGACAATGTGTGATATTAAATTTACAAAGATTTTAATAAAACGTTCCATTTTTCTTTAATAATTATCAAAAATAATTATAACTAATACATTTATTTATACACTTTGTACAAGATACTCTGTATTTTTATGACTTGGTAAAGAATTACTACATTATGACACTGCTGTTCTAAATCTCTATCGTTTATTTATAAGATTCTTATTTCTTTTTCTTAAAGCACTTTTCCAGCACATAATATTTACCTGGCATTTTTCAGAGCAGAACGTAATTCTTCTTTGATAGTTTCATTTTCTTCACAAACTTTCTGATACTTCTCGTTAGTTTGTCGGTAATCTTCTTCCAATTTCTTGATTTGTTCGTTTTTCCGTTCTGAATCTATAGCGTATTGGTGTTTTAATTCTTCGAGTAAACTGTTGAGGACAATTGACAGTTATTTGAATTAAAAAATCTACTACAACATACTTGATATTTCAAATTTCAAACTTTGATATTTCAAAATATACATAGACTGGCCTGTTTAAAAAAAAAACATTCAATTCTCCAACAAAGCTAAATGCAATATGATAAGAGGATATAAAAAATTGATCTGATAGCCGACACAACCTTTAAACACACTAAAAAGACCTCACTATACGTCTTTCTCCTTTAAAACTTACAAAAATGGAGCCTTAGGACATGCTGAGGAATATTTTTTTATTTGATATGATGTTAACCAATATCCTTCAAAAGTAAATCTTGATTATGAAAAGTACCATTATACTTATAGTAACATTTCCAGATTATTTTCTCTATAAAAGCACCCAAACATCAATATTTCCACATTATCCTCTCTATATACATAATAGCAACATTTACAACTTACATCCTCTATAAAAATATACTAGAAGACCCAGCGAACTTCGTATCGTCCTATAATCAAGAAATATCTGTTATGTTTTTTTATTTATATTTTTGGAGTTTACCTATTAAAGCCATAAATCTCCGTGTTTTGAAGTGCGACAGAATGATTGACATATCAGTTGTAAAATCTAATGTCAAAGAAAAAACGTTTGTATCAACAACTACTAATAAATTAAAAATTAATTAAAACAACATTGTCCAGCGGACAAAATTGTGAATCTAAACAATTCCCAGATCCCCTTAAACACACACAAAAAATTTCATCAAAATCGGTCCAGTCGTTTGAGAGGAGTTCAATGACATACACTTACAGAAGAATTATATATATAAAGATTTACCGTTTACAGTCATCCAGCCGTCGTTCGTGTAGGTCCGCGGGCACGGTGCGGCACGTGTCTCTCTGTGATGACTTCAGAGCACACTTCAGAGCGTAGTACTCGCGGTGAACAGTTTCGTAATCACGCATTAGCGCCGACACTACATAAAGTGACACGATGGCTCAGTAGTGAGAATGACCGTAAATGGATGTGGGTTCGAATATACTTTTATTATGTAGAACTTTTCGTATTTGGGGGCAATCCATCAAGTAGGCCACTAGTAATAAAGAGGGAGGGTATGGCCGAAATATGATGTCGTGTGATAAGGAGCATAGGGGTGAATAGTTTTATGACGTCAGATATTAAAATTAAAAAAATTAACGATCTTCAAGTAAGTGTAACGTCATATTAGGAAGGGGTGATTATATTAATATAACAAGAACGGGGAAAGAGGTTCATAGATCCTTAAATTCGTGGGACGTACTTTATAAATGGCCCCTTGTGGCAAACTTAAAGGAATTATAAAACTGAGTTGCAATGAGCAACAAAATTTGATACAATTGAAATGAAGACTTAGTGATCATATTTAATTCTTCAAGTTACTTTTAAAGGCTTTGGAATGCTATAAAGAAGTTTGTGTTACTTTAAGTTCATAATATCATTATCAATAAATGTATTTACATATTATGAAGTTTCTTACTCTTATCCTCATACAATTCGTATACTTCTTTTAATTTGGACTCAGCCTTCTCGGCTCGCTCTAACATCGTAGCTCTTTCAATATCACCCGTCTCTTTCTCAACCATCAGTTTCTTATAGCTCTGTCTCACTCTAACCAACTCTTCTTCGAGCGCATTAACTTTATCTGCGAACACTTTGTTTTCTTCGACGATTTGTTTAGATTTCTTGTTCATATTTTCAAATTGCTTTTCGTAGTCCAATATGAGATTATCTTTATCCTGGAGGTTTTCTTGGTAAGCGTCGAATAATGGAGCTGTAATGAATATAAGTTACATATTAGTGTAATATTCATTAAATTTAAAAGTTGAAATTACGTCCAAAGAACAAGGATACTTAATAAAAGTGCTTAATAAAAATTATAAAAACAGGAAGAATACTTAATAAAAAACCGTTGCTTTTCAATTAATGACAAGTTATTTAATGATGAAAGAACTATTGATCAAATATCCATTTTATATAAAATTAGTTCAATAATTATATATTCCTCAAAGAATATTTAATCAGGTATCAAGATTGGTTTATGTGAAGGTATTTTAGCTTTACATACAAAAATATTTCTGTCATAATGTTATGCCTATTCAAGTCATCTCTATACCACTTTTTTATCTAATATATAAAATTCTCGTGTCACAGTTTTCGTGCCCATACTCCTCCGAAACAACCTGACCGATTTTGATGAAATTTTTTGTGCTTATTCGGTAGCTATGAGAATCGGCCAACATCTATTTTTCATCCCCCTAAATGTTAGGGGTAGTCCACCCCTACATTTTTTTTTTTTATTTTTTAGACAAAATTTTTAATTACTATTTTTTTATGATACAACGTACAAAAATACATACAATCCTAAATTTTCACCCTTCTACGATCAACCCTTATTTTTTAATAGCTATTTTAGTAATTTAATCATTTTTCATCTCCGGTCGATAACTGATCAATCGTCATTTAATAAGTTATCCCCGCCAGATATCTACAGGTGTCACTTCTGACCCAGTAAACAGCACGGAGTAGGGATGAGAACGAAGCCGGTCTTCTGTTTCTCTCACACAATTAGACTTCTCTCACTCCCTACACAGTTGTCGGCCATCGTTATTGTTTGTGCATCAAGTGTAGTAGTAACGTTGACAATTATTATTTTGCTAGCTCAGTGTAACTCTCATATTAACTATTAATCATTCCTAATCACTTCAAAACACGGAGATTTATGGCTTTAATAGGTAAACTCCAAAAATATAAATAAAAAAACGTAACAGATATTTCTTGATTATAGGGCGAAACGAAGTTCGCCGGGTCTTCTAGTAGTAAGATATTAAAATGTTTTTATTTAAATATAAATCAAATGTATGTTACCCAAAGCCTGCGCACTAAGAAGTCCTGACAAATCAACCAATCGTTCCGTGTGATCATCTGCACTCTTTGATTCTTCTACCTCTGAAATATACAAGAAAAACAAAAAATTAAATCAAAAATATTATATATAGAATTTATAGTGAAATCTAAGAAAACAAAATCTGTATGTAGCTATACTTAGCTACTACTAACGCCATCTAGTGAGTTAAATAGTAATCAAAGAATGTATGATGATGGTTTTTGTGAATAAATCCTTTATTAATATACAATGAGTTTAAGTTATATTGTATATAAATAAATACTTTAATACAAAGAAACAGAAATATGTATAAAGAGTAGTAAATATTATACCTTGTCGCTGACAAAGACTGGCTGTTAATAAAGAATCCAAATTATATTTTTCAGTTGGTTTAAAAACGTCTTTGTTATCTAAAGAGTTCATGTTCCGGAGTCTTTCTTGATATCTAGAGAGTTGGACATTTAGTCTGGAACGAAAGAAAACATGGCCATAATATATTATACAAAGTGTTTTAAATTATTTAATATGTATACTATACATATTAACCATTAAAAGAAATTAGCTGTAGACATGTTAAAATATACTAATGTGGTCTTTCAAGCCGGAAAAACATCTTAAAAATCAAATTTATATTTTACATATTGTTAATATATTTATATTGGAATTTCATGTTAAGATTCAATTAAATGTGTTTTGTATTTTCACTTGCACATTTTATTATATTGCATTAAAGGTTTCTGACTCTTAAATGCATAAAATGCATGCATGCAAGAAAAGAACCTATAGTTTTAGTTTTGTGTTACCATGAAAATCTTAGAGATTATAATGTGAACAACCTGTATAAGACATCTTTCATAGCTTGCATGTCCTTCTGTAGACGTGAGTTTTGTTCGCGAGCCTGGTTCAATACTATTTGGCGACTGCTGCAACTCATACACACCTCAACTAACGGTATGGTAGAAGATTCTGGAATTTATATATAGCTGACAATATATAATAGACTCTATTACCTAACAGAAATGGTTTCATATTGAATGCACCTTTCAAAAGAACATATACTTCAATAATTATAAAAATAACTTAATCACATTTGCATGTATGTATATTAGAAACACCAGAATTTATTAGTTGTAAGGGCACATAAGCTAATCATTTAAAAGAGTTACAGGATAAAACTATTATGAATCAGAACTAGCGTTATATGTTACACAAATATATGTTTTATATACTCATTTTAATATACTGCTACTTGGTTTAAAGTATGTCATTTATATTTTACAAATATATAATATAAATTAGATACTTCAATTTTTTATAGGAAATTATTAAGTATTTTGTATATATATTCAAATAAAAGTTGTACCTTTATCTGGAATTTCATAATGTTTGACTCTATCATTGAGATTGCTAAGTTTCTTCTCATATTCAAGATTCTTCTGTCTTTCTTCTTTTATAACTTCTTTGCATTCTTCTATATAATTCACTAGTGTTGTATGTTCAGTTTTGAGCCTGTCATTCTCATTTGCAAACAAACTGTTATATTCTAATACAGTTTTTAATTTCTCTCTTAGTTTTGTAATCTGTGATTCCTTCTGAGTGATCTGTAATAAAAAGTAGTTAATAATATAATTAAGGTATTTATAAATATAGTTGAATATATATAGAATCATCATATATCATCCAAATCAATTTGCTTCTTATACATTAAGAAATAACAAAGATGTATACATAAAATAGAGGCCTTTTCAGGTCATATACTGATTATGGAAGAATATGGCAAACAGGAATTTAAAATACAATATAGACAATACAATTTACATTCATTCTATAAGAAATTATTTTTCGAACAATATTTTTTTAATATCTCTTATTATTTAATAGCAAATCTATCAATAGGTATGGAATGGAACTTATAAAATATAAACATGTGGTGGTAGGTAATTCAAACCAAAATTAACATTACAAAGCTTCAAATCTATGTACAAAATATTATAAAACTCCTATCAATAATCTCTTTTAGATAATTCAATTGTAATTGTTGTCATATATATCAAACAAAATGTAACTAAAACTTTTATAGTTTTTAGCCGTAATAAAATATATTAATATGATACATATATTATAATACCTACCACAACCACACTCTCTTCACATCTATCCATCAATGCACTTATGAGGCTCTCATACTTTTTTGTTAACTTTCTCTTCTGTTCTTTAAGTGACTTGCCATCTTTACGAGGTGACATCATTATTCCTTGCATGTTTCTCTTACGAGGTGGTTTTGGTGGTTTTTCCACTGAAAGTAATTTTTTTTAAATAATGTATACTAAGAAAAAAGTAAATATTTTATAGCAATATTTGTTAAGTGCAACATGGCTAAGTTATTATGTGTAGTTAAATTTGGTGTACTTGTAATTTTATTACATTTTAAAAGTTAGGCATACAAAATTTTAAAAAATAATATTTCAATATTAGCCTAATATATTCAATAAACTGAATTTGAAGATGATTAATTGTATTAACTTTAAGGGTATTTTTCAGAAATACTAATAGATTTATTTAAATTTAACTAACAAATCTTATATTACCAATAACATCTTTAGGATCTTCATACAATGGGTTGTCCATATTGTCCCTCTCCAGCATTATGGACTGAGTTCTTTTTATAACAGAGTTCAAAATATCCTGACGTAGTGAACTCCTCTGTTCTGATGCTGATATATCAAAGTGTCGATGGCAATGAGTGAAGTTGCCACCAAAATTTAATTTTGGTATGTCTTTTGTTGAGCATTTCTTAACTCGGCTGTATTCAGGCTGAAAGAAATATATTAATGTTGTTATACAAAGGCAGTTTCTTAAATAGTAATTCCTGGAATGAACGCAAAAATTTATTTTCTTATATTTATGGATAATGATTACTGACGGTACTTGAATTCTTTCCTGAATGTTTATCCATTGTCACCTTACAACATTTACGTTAATACGTTTGAACTGCTTCATTTTAAAAGATATTGACAGTAAAAATTAACTCCTTTACACAATACACATCCAGAAATTATGTGCAAAAATATTATATATACAAAGACGTTCATAAGTAGGTCAAGAGTTCAACACTGCTATTGATAAAACTTTTAGAAAATAGAACACGACAATTGAAAACACCGTTGATTGATTTTGTATACCGTATAGATGAACTAATGAAATTTTAAGTTAATAAAATGTTCTATAGAAATGTAGGGTAGGTATAATTAAAAAATAATAAATTCTTGAACATTTCCTGTCAGTATAAATCATTGTTTTAAAACTATAAACAAAAGTTTGACAATTTTGTTGCTATGGTTACCTTAGGAGCCATCTTTCAATCGTTATTAAGAAAATATAAAAAGAAAACTTCAAAAACAATACGTTTTAAACTCTATACTAACGAGTTCAAAATTTTGTCGTTTTTACTATTTTTCACGTCACAAATTAAATTATTTACAGTATTAATTTGTGACCGCTATTAAATATTAAGTTATAATTAACATAAAACCTGTAGTTAAAATATTCCTTACAATAAGGCATATGTGCTTTAGAAGATAAAATGCAAAGGACTAAGCCAGGTTGTTATTTATGGATAAAACTTATTATAAACTCTAAATAACAAGCAAATTAGTATTTATAACTTAAAACTGGCGACACAGACACCTGTTTGCTAAAAGTTTTTAGTTCTCCTGTCAGCTAAGAGATGGCATTAGCAACTGCTAAGAACTTCAGAACCCGAGCAAATAAGTAGCTTCCCGGCCTTACTTCATTTCATTCGACTGATGTACTTCTTCATTTATTCGGTTTATATAGAATGTGAGCGTGCGCGGAAACAGCTGAGCGATAGTAGCGACTTACCCCGGTACATATTTGTACTAGACAGTCGCATCATGTCTGCCCGCCGGTTCGGAGTTTGTCGGTGTTTTTGCTAACCTAAAAACTGTTTGTAGTTTTTCCGTCCCACTGTATTTGGATGATATCTATTTAATTCATACAATAATTTAGTTTATGTGTTGCGTTACAGTGTTAACAGTGTAATATAAGTTTACAAAAAACGAGATACGTTCCGTCGTATCTTTCGTCAGTTTTGTATTATCGATTTTTATTTTACAATGAGCGTAACGTTTTGTTTACTTTTAATTCGTGTGTAATATTGTATTTAAAGTTTTTTATAATGTGCGGTATTCGACCCTAGTGCTGCAGCTGGATTGATTCAATTATGTGCGAGAGTTCGGGCGAGATTGCGTGTTTTGGATGACAAAAACATGGAATTCGAAAACGATTTCAGCTTGAAAGAATGGGCGAAGGACAAGCCATTGTCCATTCTGCAGCTGGATCCCGCAGACCGTGCCGTTTTGAGAATAGCAGGTAAATTAACCCTTGAAACGACGCTCGCCGTTTTTGATTCCATATTGTGCAACTACGGAACTACGCATAGATGATTATTCTATTAATCATTTCCTTATCACGTGCGATATTGACCAACGTATAAAGTGCGTCCATGATAAAAAATAAAACCAATATTTCGAAGGTATTTATATAAAAAACCGCATTATTCGCTAATTATAGACATGCTTAATTAACTCGTGACCTCGCCGTTTTCGCTTAGCAGTGATAAGTGATAATGGTATTTTATGATTATTTTCCCTCGCATAATAATTGATGCCGGTCGCTATCATTCCTAGTTCCCACGTATTGTCATCGCATGCCGGTGATACAAACGACGACTTTATTATAACAAGAGACTGTAATGTGAGAAAATATTATATTATTAACCTAAAAACATAACCTAACTATAGATGCTTTTAAAATTGGCCTGTTTTAATGCGGCCTTTATGGTAATAAACCGTTACGAAATACGATTAATTAGTTATGACCGTCAAAAATGTTTACTAAACACGTATTTATTTGCTTTGTAGGGTAGGTAGGTATATTATTATGTAATTTCCAAAATTCTGTTAAAAATTCAAATAATTTTCGTAACTGACAAAAGTCGCAGTTTTGCACAATTGTGCAACACTCACGTTGTAATGTAAGGGCTTTTAAATTTTATAAACTGATTGGATACTAGTTTTAAGCTTCATTTTAATATACATACTTTCTAAAACCTAAGTGACAATAATTCTATTTGTTTGTGGTACTTTAGATAGAATAATAATTTCCCCAGCGTGCGTCATAACATTCATCGATTTTACTCCCACGACCCGTAGTGCTTACTCAAGATACAAGACAGTTTTAGTCTTGGACTAGATCTAGACTTGGTTGTGTCTTATTTACGATATTCTAGTTAATAAATTTTATCTAACTGTAGTCATGGTTCCACGAAGAAACGATTTTATTGACAAAAGTTACATTCGAAATTCAAAAATACCCGTTAAGTTACAAAATTTAAATTTATGAAATATGATTTTTTTTAATCCACGGGTATTCCCAAACTGAATCTTGATAATGAGAACTTCATTATTAGAATAAAAACATTTAAGTTGTATCAACGTTTAAAAATTATTTTTATTAAATATATTAATATGTTTGATATTAGTTACGTAAGGGGAAAATGTCAACGACATTTTATATGTACTAGACGAACAGTCGTTGTTTGTTCGTCTATAAGAAAAGTCACGAGATTCTGTTCCAATAGCAGATTATATTGAAATAATTTTATTATTTAGTTTTTTTTTTAATGTATATATAATAAATAAAAATATATTATTTTGAGGTACAACTTTGTATTTTAATCATGTGGCAATAATGTTGCCGTAGTAAAAAATCATTACTTATTTCATATAAAATCAATGTATTTTAATTATCTGTTATTTCATAATTCGGCTTCATTCTGTATCGAACGGACCAACGGGAAGACAGATTTTTTTCTCTTCGAAATTCGAGACGATTTGAGAACGAGTTACAAAATTTAGACGCGTTTTTTTTCTCTTACAATTGATTGACAAACAAATTATTTTTAAAAATTCGTTTTATAATAGATGAAATAATAGTGTGATTTTCTTTTATTATTTTTTGAGAATTATTGTTTATTCTATTTTTCAAAATTGGAACGTTCTGTTTTTATTTTAAATATTTTCGTAAAGTTAGTCTTTTAGTACCTGTACCTATAGTTGTAAATTTGAAATTTATTTATAACAACTTTCATATTAGGCTCCTTCTTTGATAAAATAATAAAAATTTAAATAACTAATTATTAATATTAATAGACAGGATGTATTTGCTGTTTCCGAACGGAACGCCTTGAGGCATTTCAATTAGTTTTTTGGTCGTTTCAAATTACGACTAATAGTAATGAAAAGATGGTGACAATTCATTCAACACTACAAGGCTATTAATAAAATGTTCCTATACTTAATAAAATAAGTCTAGCTTGGTAATTATTTTTTCAAAGAGAACGTCTTTTAATTTCGTAACTTATACTTTTATTGTTTAAGCAATAGTAATCTAATTAATTCGACAAATTAATAAACAAAGAAATTCCACATAATCAGTTCTGTAGATTTCGTTGATAAACAAACAAACATACATAATTAATATGTGATTAAAAATAATATTTAGCAGATACGTCACTAAATCCGTACGTGACGAGCATCAAGATTTGCCAGGATGGAGTATCTTCAGTTTACCGTAAGCTGTACAGCTCGGTCATGTTTAATGTATGTACGTCCATCACATCGTATATTCAGAACATTGACAACACTTACCGGCCATCAGGGCTGATATTTATAGCGAGCGGACTGAAATATTAACACCAGCCTCATATGAATACATACACACACACATACACACGCACACACATACATACATACGTGTCTGTATGCGGTTTTCCCATAAGAGTGATAATTATTATATTCATATCCGAAGGAAATGTATTTTCTATATTATAATGATTTATATCGTAATTATTAGCTTACATTCAATATGTTTAAAACGAGTTTTGTATGGTTACACTACATACGTAGCGTTAATAGTTTTTCATTGATAAGTCTTTGCATATTATAGTAAGTAGTATTAACTTAGATTGTAGTTTATTTAATAAGAGACGGGAGACGCTTCGTGTGTTTTATGACGATGCAATCTTGTCCTAATAGAAAAAATTCTCTAAATTGTAATAGAAATTTCGTTTATATCGTCACTTAAATGAATTATGAAACTAATATTTTTTAATACTACTCGACTTTATTTTTTATACATTTGTACATCAAAAAAATATTAGTTTCATTTAAATGAATAAGAGTCGCGAAAATTTTAAAACTCATTACGTCACTTAAATTTATTAACTGGCATATGTAATAACAAAAAAAGATTATTTTTTAAATGCATACAATTTTTTCCTCCCGACGTCGTTCGAGTGGACTTTAGAATTAGGTTTGAGATATTATGTTTGCATAAAAATATTTAATACAACCTAACCGGCAGCTTCATTTATTGTGACGTTACTTCATACAAAGTGCGACCGTTATGTCGTGTTCCCATGGGAACTACATGGAATTTCGGCTTAGATTGCACTTAATATATATAGTGTCATTAACTTTTATTTAATCTTTTCGCTTCAACCAATAAAAATCTTATATAAACTTTCGCTTTCAGTACTATATGTATAATTATGATACAGTTCTAAGTGCTAACTATTGCTAAAGAGCAATTTTTTTATATAAAGATATTAATTTTAGTTCCTTCTTACAATATTTTATTAATATTATCAACGCAACGCTTTGGTTTCGATGAACCTTAATTAATTTTCATTTAATTATTGACCGTCTGTTTTAATTTAGAATATAATACTTTTGACATAGCCGTCATTAATGTATATATATATATAAATAACCGGCTAAGAGCGAGCCGGATTCTTTCACGGGTTCTACCTATAAAACGAACAACAAAGTCACGCCTGTACGAACAAAACCCTTTATTATTTATTCTGTTTTTAATACTCGTTGGCTAAGCTATAAATGTAATGCATTTTCTATGAGAATCTTAACTGTCTAACAATTATGGTACTTGATATACAGCTTTGTAAAAGACGGACATCGTCTGAGTATGTAATAGACTATAGTGTACCGTTTTAAAGCTTTGTCTACGGGACCCTAAAAACAATACATTAGAACGTATAATGTAAAACCATTCAACCATGTGGAAACGCTTTCATCTTCTCACATATCAAGGCCTGTAACTTAAGTATGACACTATTATAACACCCTATATATATGTATGTGTATCCTTGGAATTATTTCTCATTAACTAACTTTTTTTAATATTTTTTAAATCACTATGTTAGTTTTATCCTAAATATTGTTTTTTAGTTATTGATGTAATAAAAACAATTGATAGCCAGTTTTGCATTATTTAAAAATTTTTGGCTGAAGTTCCAAATATTTTTTGCATGATAGTCTAAGGGCGATTAAAAAAATACTATAACTGGCTGGAACATTGAAATATAAAAAAAATATTAGTCCTTTATTTAGTCTTGTATTGAAAATGGTCAATGACGGCTTAAAAATGAAAATATTAATTAAGTTACAACATTTGAATGTTTTTTAGTTATTAATTCATAACTCGTGAAACTTAATGATTTAGTACATTTGGTTCACCAGCTTTTCTAGTACTGGTAGATAGTTACCTACAGATGTAAGCGTCATATATACAGGGTGACTGGTGTATTACTATCAATATTTAAGGAGCATACTCGGTACATGATTCTCATTCGAATTAGGTAAAAAAAATAGGTACTTAATTTTTGACCAAATTTCCGTATAAATAAATAAAGTGTGGACACGTTCCAAGTGTTCCAAGTGTGGAAGCGTGCGGCGGCGTGCTGATACAACACCACGCCGCCGCACGCGTATGTGTGTGTGTGTATACCTAATCTGTAGGGTGTTCACACGATGCGTAATTAATTACATAACTTTTGGTTAACTTTACTTAGAAGTTTATTAATATTTATGTTATATTAAATTTTATTTTGTCATATATGATCGTCAAATATCACGTCCTCAAATATCGATAGTAATTCACCAGTCACCCTGTATAAAATACACTACACTATACATAAAATGTTATGTTACAGACTATGCATAGATTTTAAATAACAATAAATCATTCAAATTTCGTGATGTTTTTTTGCGTACTAAAAGACAAACACTTAAAATATGCTAATCAATTTTAATATCAGTATTAAAAGATAAAATGAATAGAAAAATATATAGTTATATCTCGTGTCATTGTTAATACCAGTAGTTGTTTGTCGCTCAATCATTTTACAGCCACATTCCAGTTTTTCTTAAGAGCGATGGCCTTTTGTGATGGCAGTCAAGTCGTATCAGCTTCGTGTCGCTGATGGAAGGAATTGTATTAAAATAGAATCACAAAACTGTTTGAGCGTCTGACATTGTACTCGTCTTGACAGACTAAACAAAGTAACTAACACTTAGTATTTAATATAGAACGATCAAGGTTCAATATTAAGATCCTTACTAATATGAAAAATGCGAAAGTAACTCTGTCTGTCTGTTACTCTTTCACGCCTAAACCAGTGAACTGATTTCAATGAAATTTGGTACAGAGATAGAATTGACTTTGAGAAAGAACATAGGATAGTTTTTATCCCAGACTTTTGATTCTCTTGGATACGCGATATTACCGAACTCCACGCGAGCGAAGTCGTGGGCGGAAAGATAGTATAAAATAAATCAGTTTAGGAACTTTCGTATAATTAAAATATGTATAGTGTTTTCTTTATTGAAATGAAACTAATATTTTTTACGTGTATTTTATTATGTTTATAAACTGCATACTCTTTACGTTTCGGTTACTTTACAGCTACCGTGATCACGGACAGACGAGATGTTTTGCTGTTCAATTAATCTTGAAATTAAATATAATAATTACAGAATTAAATTCCTTTTAAACTATTGAACAGAATTAATGAGTAACCAAGTTGAGTTGATTCATGTTAACAAGATTAAATTACTATTATTTTAATAATAATGATGATAATGATAATAATAATATTTTTCATCATCATTATCATTATGTCTGATTATCTTTAACAAGTTTCCACGTACTGATGTATCATTATAAATTAAACGATTATATGTGTGTATATATTTTTTATATATATACGAACAATATAATTTATACCCATATAAACTTGACCCAAATTTACAATATAGCGGCGCCTGATCGATAACAATACCCATAGCGTAACAAAAAAACATAAAATTGCTTTTTTAACTAGACTTGTTCTAGTTGTTTTTGATAAAACTCAAAGATTATATAAGTACGCTTAGAATTTTTCTGGCATCGAAAGTTCAATGACCTAACAGCTTTATTTGAATAACAAATATGTCTTTTGCCAATATACATATTATGTATATTAAATATATATTGCATAACAATTTTATTTTCGATCATAAAAATAAATGTATCGAACTAATAATAATAACATATGTATATGCAACGACTTTGTTCATGCCATATAATTTTTAGCATTTATATTAACAAAATAATGTTACTTATATAACAGTATTACGTAATTGCCCTTTATGCAATCAGCTGTTTACCAGTGAAAGATCTGTCCAAATTGAGAGCTGTTATAGAAATTAGTCGGAACAAAGAGACAGTCAAAAATATATTTACGAAGTATACATATAATAAATATATATGCAATACACAAACAGACATTTCTATAATTTTTTTTGATGTTTAGATACTGATTCGGTAGCTGCATTAAAATTCTATGTACCGGTTACAAAGAAGCGGCACAAAAAATACGTCTAAACCGATTTACAAAGACTTGAGAATTCCATAGGATTAAAATGACAATAGATATACATATTGTTATTGTATGAATAGATGTTACTGAGAAACTAGTTCCATTGTAATATACCTACATGTATAATCTTATCCTACAAATATTATTAATGCGTAAGTTTGTGAGGATGTACGGATTTATCTGTTTACTTGACGGATTTCGGAAAAACTTTAATATAGCTTAGATGTTAGAAAAGGACATAGAGACATCATTTTTACATATTTTATACATTTCTCTTTTTTAGAATCTAATTCCGAAGTCCGAGATGAAGTTGCGAGCAAAAACTAGTTTCTTCTAATTATGTTATAAGTTATAACCATTATCTTAATAGTATTAAAATGTAATCGTATATCAATTATTATTTACGATTTAACTTAAAAGTCAACATTTTAAATGAAAATCCAATAAAAATAATGTACTTATCGTTATATTGACAATGGTTTTTTATATTGATGATTTGTAGGTAAAATAATTTTTTTATTATTAACAGACTTACTGTTAATACTATAATAGATCTAAGCGCACGGTAGTGCGCCGGCCAAGTTCCACAGGCCGGCGCATGCCGTGCACTATATTTACACGAACCGTTTCGACCCACTTTTGACCCCCCTGTAGCTCAGTGCCTATTGCAAGTACAGAGATAAAATTTTACCTACGTAATCATATACTAGAACTAAAGCAGTATGCCAAATTTCATAGATAAAGCTTCAGTAGATCCTGAAATATGACCCTGTGAAAATAGCTAATTTTGGCACTGACTCACTGACAGGTAATCAAAACCTCTAGGCCACTTCCCATTGTTTTAGCATTATGAAATTTGGTACACAGGTTGTGTGTTATATGTAGATTAACAAAAAATTAAGAAATTTAAGAAATCGGTCAAGCGTGAGTTGCCTCAATTCTAAATATCGAATTTTTAATAAATTCGACCCACTT